ACTGTGTACTAATATATTTAGTTACTTATTTAAGTTAGTACTTAACTCTTAAGTTATTTTGTTACTAACCAATATGAGTCACTGGTACTACAATAAAAATAGATTATTATTATTTCTTTTTATTAATTTTAATAGAATTACCCCGAAAGATATTTTTTTTCACCTAAGATATTACATAGGTACACTACCTAATGCAAATAATTTTGGATTAAGATGTTTATTTTATTTGCAATATTTTCTCTTTATTTTTTCATGCGTAGTATGTCTGGTGATAGTGATAGAAGATCCTCAAAAGCATGGCAGTTTTTTACGGACCTCAAAAATGATAAAGCTGGATGCAATTATTATCTTAAGTAAATAAAAAGAAATATTAATTTATTTTAACACAGTTTTTATTATTATTATTATTATTTCTCTGTGTGTGGAATTCCTAAAACGACAGCATACGCTGAGTGATTATCCTTTTAGTGACATCATACTGCTGTGTAGGCAGCATTTTGTTTAGATTTATTTATACCTCCTGTTCTTTAATCTTCATTAGATATTATTTAATTGTATTGTTATTTTATGTTGTTGTTTTTTATTTCTGTTTATGTTAGTGCTATCTCGCAAAGATGTTCACAAATAAAACATTTTCTTTCTTTAAATTTTTGCCAGAAACAATTTTCATACAAAGGTGGTGGTGCTTATAACCTAATTAGACACACAAAACCAAGCATCCTCAAGTATTTGTCTCTATACGTGAAAGTCCAATTGAAAATATAGCTTTTTCTGCAACAGATATTCATCATATTACGACAGCTTCAATTAATTCAACTGCACAAGAACTTGACATACACACTGAATTTACTGCTTCAACTTCTGTAATGCCTGAATCAACCAATTCCTTATTAGCTACAACAACCAACACCACTCTATTTAAAAAACCTTCAGTAACTAACACCAAACTATCACAATACTTTTACAAGCCGCTTTCGGCTAAAGACTGAAAATCTGAACAAAATGTTAGTAAAAGTATTTTCCAAAAATTACTTATCCTTGAATCTCCTGAGCTCAAAGAATTTATAAAAGAACTAAATCCAGCCTACCAGTTACCTAGTCGTAAGACTTTATCCAATGCATTAATGACAAATGTCTATAATCAGACAAAAAGGAACTTTATCAAGTTCAAGTAAGAACTCTATCAAGCAGAGTATGTGTCTATTACAACTGACGGGTGAACATCTGTCCCTAATGATAACTATTTAGCCGTAACTCTTCATTTTTTCTATCAGCAGGCCGAATTGAAAACTTTTTTGCTAGAATGTGTCCAGTTTCCATATAGACATATGTCACAAAACCTAGCAGAAGAACTGAGAAGAATCACAGATATGTAGGAAATTACCAACAAATTCGTATCAGCAATAAAATTAAATAATTGGAAACAAATACCCTGTTTCGCTCATACTTTAAATCTTATAGTCCTATCTGCGTTGAAATTAATTAAAGACATTACCATTAAAACCAAGAACATAGTTGAGGTATTTCGTAGAAGCCCACTTGCATGGAAAGGTTAAAATATGCAAAAAAAGCTAGATGAACCTCTGTTGAAACTAAAACAAGAAGTTTCCACACGCTGGAACTCCACATGCGATATGTTTGAAAGAATATTTAAGGTTAAAAATAGTGTCATGTCCTCAATTGCAATAGATTATCCAGACAGAGACGAAACTTCTCAGCATTCCACGGATTCACCGTGCGGGTGCCGGGTCCATCGCGTTGCACGGAGAGGAGCTGGGACTTGCGACCCAAGTGTAGGTTTAAGGGGCCCTTAACTAACGCGCGTTATACGCTCACCTCCACTCTCCAAGCTCCTCTCCCTACCTAACTAAATTTGAAAAGAACCTACTAGGGCTGCCTTAGCCTTTAACTAGTGACGTGTAGTCTCACAGGCGTCGTGTGTTTGGTGATTCTTAGAATTGATGATTTCCCCCCGCTTGCCGCGACCCGGTATCTCAGTAGCTTTTGTTTAAGTTCCTAAACGACCATAGAAGGGATCAGAAATGCCGTCCGATACGTAACAGGTTCGTAATTGTAATTTGAAATCCGATTGTAGCCTGTGAGACTACATGTCCCTAGTTATGTAGTAAATATTTTTTCGAACAATTTTCTTGTTTTTAGTGCAAAATGGCAGAAAACGCTGGGAGAAACGTGGACTTCAGCCGTCGACTTGATTATGAAGTAGATGAAGCAGATAAAAAATGCTCCATTTATTCCAGCAGCCGCCGAACGAGAAGGTGGCCAATGGTGGTATTCTACCGCATAGTGGACTTGAGCGGCATGAATGCTTATATATTATATAATATGCATCAGCCTAAAAATACAGATAGAGGAGATTTTCTAAAGTCATTAGCCCGTTCACTAGTGCTACCCCACTTGCAAAGACGTGTTGGGTGCAGGCAATTACCAAGGGAGTCACGCCTAGTGATAAAACGAGTTCTGGCTGACTATGTGGTTGAAGAAGATGTCCAAAGTCCTGAAACTAGTAAAGGCAAGCGAAAGGCATGCAGTATTTGTCCGCCTAAACTTCACAAAATGACTGTGTACACATGTGTCGGCTGTTGCAATCCCGTATGTTTGCAATGTTCTCGACCCTTGTATAAAAATTGCCAATGATTTATGCCAAAAAGAGTATGTGTCAGAATTTTTATGTTTTGTTTTCAGAAGAAGCTTTTATGTTTTTTTTATCGTAGTATTGTTTAAGTTTTCATAAAAAGAGTTACATTTGTCATATCATTTATGTAAGGTCTATTAAAATATTAAAATAAGGATCTTATGTCAATTAAGGCTGAGAAGTACAATTAAGTGTTAATTATCATTTGTATTTAAAGTGATTATAAAAACTGATTGAATTAATTTATATTTGTTTTATAACATTCTAATAAATAAATATCAACGCATTTTAAATCATTATAACGCAATTTTATGACAAAATTTAAATTTAAAAGTAGTAGCCTGTGAGACTACATGTCCCTTATAGTGTTCTCAATTTATCACGTCCCTAGTTAAAGGTTAGATGTACGTTTCAAGAATGCATTAATGTTAGTTCTGGACAAGCCCAAGTCCTTTAGTAGGTTGTAGAGAGATTTCGCTGTTATACCTCTCGCTCCCACCTCTACCGCGTACAAATCTACTATATATAAATATTAATGCTGAAGACATTGAAGTTTTGGAGTAAGCTGTACAAATTCTTTCTTTTTTCAAAGATGTCACTGAAGAGATGAGTTCTGAGAAGAATATTACTATATCAGAGGTAAAATGATATCACAAATAAAATAAATATTATTTGTATGTTTAAATAAGAGTTTTTCTTGAGTTATTATTAACATCGATTATTTATTATTTTCAGATTATAATTATATTAAACGCCCTTAAAAAGAGGTGTCAAAATTTTTTATCTTCGCAACATCCCGACTGTGTGTTAAGGATGGCTCAAGTGCTTTTAGGCGAAATTAACAAATAAAAAACAAAAACCTCAACCTTCTACGTGTTGGTACGAACGCGTAAATAGTGACAAATCCTGACGTTTTTATAATAACTAAATAACGACTGTTTTGAACTGCTAAAGCGCTACGTAGGCGCCTCTCTCTCTCTCTCTCTCACCCGCTCTGTAACGAGTGTCAATTGTGATTTGTAATTCCTTTTCTTAATTATAATAAAACCAGTTAAATCTAAATTCAAGTGCTTTATTTATATACAACACTACAAGAGGAGGACAGTACTTCATTTTGAAAACATTGGTGAAATGGAGGACCATATTGTTCTCATATGGACTGGGTTGAATAAAGAACAATTCAACCAGATGTTCCCGAACTATCAGAAATTTCAAAATCAGGCCGCTTATCTAATGAAGCTTAGAACTGGAGATTCAAATGTAAGATGAGCAAATTTATTAAAAGTATCACGGACAACTCTTGAAAAGTGGATTCATCAAGTAAAAGAAATACTTACAGAGCATTTTGAAGCAAGAAATCTTGGGTTAAACCACATTAATAGACAACAATTAGTAAGAAGAAATCTTGCAATACCTAAGTCTTTGTTTAAAAACTTTGAGGGAGTTGACGTTTAGATATTTTACCAATACAGAGATCCAATGGTGACTGGATACCAACGGTGCAGTGCTGATGAAGAGGTAAGGAGAATTAAGCAACTCCTCTTGGATCCTACCATAGAAAAAGCGATGGATGTGCACAAAAATTTACAAACTTAAAAATTATAGAGTTTACCGTGTAGTAGACTACACTACTACTTTCTTCTTAGAAGAAGAAATGAGATGGTTAGTACCACGAGGTGTGAGGTGGCAGATTTTAAAGATGAATCAATATGATTTGGGTCACTGGGGAGATTCGAGAAAATTCTACAACGCATAAAAGAACATTTCTTGTTCCCTACCTAGAATGTGCACACCATAAAGCTCCCGGCGGGAAACGTGAAAGTGAATTACAATCTATCATTGTTAATTTTCATCTGTAAAACATTTAATATGAATTTATAATTATAATTGCATTGTTTATTTAATTTCAAATTTTAATTTAATAGTTAATTTTAATTTATAATTTAAGCCTAACATTTGCATGCCTTAAGGTAGAATGTACTGTACTGTACTATATTCTGTACCTACATTCGGAACAAATAAATATTATAAAAAAAATATATATATACACCCTATCGAGAAGGTAAGTAAACCTTAACGTTTCTTACACACTGAAGTGCTGTGTACTGTTGTAATTGGAAATCAGATTTATTGTTAGATATGTTAAGTACTATCTCATGTATCTAAATGTTTTAATCTGTAATTGTACCAAGCAAAATAAATAAATACCGTAAATGCAGATCACTTGGGACTTTTTATCAGAAGTAAAAAAGGAAACTGCTATTTATTGGTGATTGTAGATGGGTTTACAAAATGTGTAAGTATAAACGCGGTCAAAAATACAAAATCAATCATTTCGGTACACGTAATGAAACAATACGTGAGTTATTTTGGAGTTCCCTCACGCTTGGTCACAGACAGAGGCACTAGTTTCACTAGTAAAACTTTCATATCCACCACACAAAAAAGCCCCTCAGAATTATTATTCGGCTTTAACAGCAGAACAGAAGATAAGTTTAGCGAAGTCATCAATGATACAATAAATAGAATTCCGGTAGAAGAATTAGACGAGTTGAGACGGGAGAGAAAAAAAAAAGAACAACAGGTAGAAGAAATTGCGAATTACAATAAACACAGTAAGACAGCGATACAAAACAAGGAAGGGGATTTAGTGAGAGTCGAACGGCAGGTACCTAACGATGGTAATTCACAGAAACCTGTAGTAAAATATCAAGGTCCTACCGCATAGTAAAAATGCTCAATAATGATCGATTCTTGGTGTATTATACACCTTTAACTCGAAAACATGGTCGGAAATATGAAGCTGTCGTGGCCTTAGATAAAATCCAGCGTTGGATGAATTTTTCCTAGAAATCTCGAATCAGATTCTTTTGAAAATGAAATCAAAAACGATGAATAGTATATAAAAAGTCGTAAAAAGTTGTATCCTAAATCAAAATACATCAGTAACGTTTGTAATTATATTCAGATTAATTTTATATATTAGTAATATTTAAAATATGTTCCTTTATATTTTTTATCTATATTAAAACAAATTTTTATTTTATAAAAAATGTATATGGTTTGAATTAAAATATTTTAAATTGTATATTAAAATTAATTTTAAATAACAGTAGGGGAAAGTGGTCACCATTCGTACGCGGGGCATATTCGTACAACACGCTTTTGCTTGTGTGCATAGACATACCGGCGTGTTTTCGCACGCGGTAAGTAAATTATTTACGTAAGTTTAATTCGTAAATCTAAGTAGAATTGTTATGTTTTTGACAATAGGGCGATGATTCATTAATGTTAACATTGATTATTTTGAGCTTTGATTGTTATATTTCTGAAAACTGAATTAGAATTTGTATGAGGTTGTATTTTGTGTGCAAGGCATGGGGTGCATTCGGACAGCCAAACAAGGGGCACATTCGTACGTACGAATGCTCCCCATTAAACTTTATTTAGCACCAGAACATCAAAATTAAATTTTTAAGAAATAAAATATAGTAAACCTTTTAAGATTATCGTGCAGACAGCACAACAACATATTTTTTATTTTATGAAGTATCTTTCTTCTAACAAAACGAAATATTTTTATTAAGTAAACCTTATAATTAATATTTTATTGCAGAATCATGGTGCGAATGAGAAAAAGGGTACGCGTACTCAAGAGGTGGGTGAAGAGTCCAGGAAATTAGCAATAGATGACGTAATTCGGTATAGGAAAGCCGCGTTGAAATATAACATCAAGTCATCGACGTTGGAAAGCAGAGTCAAGAAATTCAAAGATAACACCGATGGACCCTCACGAACATTTCATTCTAAGTTCACGAGTCCACAAGTCTTCTCCTTGGAAGAAGAGAACCGCTTAAATGATTACATCATTAATTGCTGCAAAATGCATTATGGGCTAACAACAGTACAAATTCGCAAACTTGCCTACGAATACGCGAAAGCGTCAAATTTAAAAAATCCCACTAAATGGGATGAGAACCAAATGGATTGCTTAGAGTGGATGCGTATAAAGAAAGTATAGAGAAAGAAACGCCAACCTCAGTCTGCGAAAACAAGGAAAATACAAGCGCAGCTAGATCGTTTTCCTTCAATAAGACGAAGAGACTGATGATCGCAGTATTAATAATAATTTAAATGTGACAGCAGAAAAAATCATAGATAATTATTTTGTTTTGGTCAAGTTTGCAAAAAAGACTTCTGTTGTTTATTACGTCGGGAAAGTTCTCAGTCATTATTCGGGTACAGAGCTGAAAATATTTTATCTTCGGAAGAAACCGGGATCAATATGGTCATTCTTTTTCCCTGATGTAGAAGACATACACACTCTGTATATCACCGATGTCGCCATGACCCTCCCTGAACCGAAACCACCAGCGAGCTGTACAGCTAGAATGGCTAGACTTTTCACGTTTGCAGTTAATTTAAATAATTATAATATTCAATAACTTCCAAAGTAACAACCAAGTGTATGATTACCTACTTTAAGCTTAGATTGTCAAAGACTGTACAACAATCTCTTAAAAAATTATTGTAAATATCTCATTTAGACTGATTATAAAGTTTAGAATTATCAATAAGTAAACTAAGGATGAAGGATTTAATCCTTTGTTATTTTTCTAAAGAAATATATCGACTATGAGTCAATTATGAGTCTAGTCAAATATTATTAAGTTAGTTCTTTGATAAATGAATATTTTTTAATTATTAATAAAAAAAAATTATGTCTTTAATAGACGTTTTAATTACCCTGTATGAATCTACCCCATGGCGTATGAAAGTACTCCACCTACTGTACCCCGTACTTGGGGTACGTTCGTACAAATCTCGTCTCGTAGAAAAATGACTATAACTTTTTAACCTTTGAACACAATAGTTTCGGACTTTTTTGTAACAAACTACAATATATTTGTTACACTTAGGTACATAAACTGGGTAAATTCGACAATTATTCATAAACTAAAAAAATAAAATCTAAAAAGCGTACGAAGGGTGACCACTTTCCCCTATTCTTATTTGATGAATTCTGACTTTGACAACTTCATTTTTGATTATGATTGTATGAAATTTGGTTTATTGTAATAATGATTTATCAAACTTTAAAGGAAAGCGATGGGACTCTCTTAAAGTAGGATGGCCGAGCTGTAGTTAGTTAGTTTATATACAGGGTGACTGGTGAATTATTATCGATATTTGAGGACGTGATATTTGACGATCATATATGACAAAATAAAAATTAATATAACATAAATATTAATAAACTTCTAAGTAAAGTTAACCAAAAGTTGTGTAATTAATTACGCATCGTGTGAACACCCTACAGATTAGGTATACACTGACACTCACACATACGCGTGTCGTGACGTAGTGTTGTATCAGCACGCCGCCGCACACGTCCACACTTGAACACTTGGAACGTGTCAACACTTTATTTATTTATACGGAAATTTTGTCAAAAATTAAGTGCCTATTTTTTTTACATAATTCGAATGAGAATCATGTACCGAGTATTCTCCTTAAATATTGATAGTAATTCACCAGTCACCCTGTATATGTTACTACTTAAATTATGTTTAGCTACAGTTATTATTATTTAAGATTAATTATACAAAATATTTTTACAATTTAAATGTATTATTAAATTCTTCGGAGCGCGTAATGAGTAGACGTGTTAAAGTTTTTAAATTAAATAAATAATTTAGTTACAAGTGAAATTGAATCCTCGAAATACGAACATAAATTTCATTCTTATTTGTCGCAACTTGTGGGTCCTTACATCATTTTTATTTTTATTTTTTATTTTTGTTAATTAATTTGTTATACTAACATAGTCATCAGCCTATCAGAAGCCCACTGCTGAGCAAGGCCTCTTTCTCACATGGAGAAGGTTTGAGCATTAATCACCACGCTTGCTCAAGACGGGTTGGTGATTTCAAACTTATAATTGTGAATCTATAAGTCCAGGTTTCCTCACGATGTTTTCCTTCACCGTATGTCAGTGATGTCTAAATACTCTCAGAAAGTACATATGACTCCGAAAAATCACATTGGTACTTGCCGGGTTGAACCCGCGACCTCGGCAACGAGAGGCGGGCCCCTTAACCACAAGGCCACCACTGACTTTTTTAACATAGAAGATAAGTAATATGTATCAATAACAATAAAATGAGTCAGTCACTTGAAATAAAAAGTTATTATTATTATTATTTCATTATCGCACTGTGCGAAAAATACAACGCAAGCGCAAGAAACAAGTGCCTTTGCCCCTTCATACTCGTTGTGTGAAAGAGACGGGTTCCAATAATTCATTTTGCTCTGCACCAACCGTTCGCAAAGATAAGGCGAGTACACACACTCTATTAAGGCGGGCTTAAATAGCGGCAAAATATATGTCCTTTTTATCTTATTTTTCTAGCAAAAAATAATCTAGTTATAATATAAGTCTATAAGTTAATAATTTCATTATATTTTGATTCCTGTAATCTGTTCATATTTTTCTGTGTAAAACTCTTTCTATTAATAATTGTGTATTTTGTTATGTATTTTTAAGTGCTAATGTATTTTTTTTATAAGTGAAATATTTAGTATATAATCGCCTAGTTGTTGGGTTATAATTCAGCTCATTTATAATGTTTACTCATCAATTATTTGCATATTTAGTTATAATCTGTTGTGTGAACCGTTTAAAATAAAATAAAATAATTTGAACACACGAAATGAGTTTTTACAATCATCTACTGAATTAACAATACGATGTGCATCCCAAACCGATCTCTCCAAACCACGTGTATGAACCTGAGTTATCTCAAGTGACACTTTGGAAGAGAAAGCAACCTGATTCAGATTATGAAGGCTTAAAAAATGATTTTACAAATTTCCCCAAACAACTTATGGCTACGTTAAATTGTTTTGTTCAGAAACAAACAACAATTATGAATAAAATTTCGGAAGATTAAGTATAAGGGACGAAATAGAAAAATTGCATAAAAAGTACCAACGAACGTCTTTCGGAACAGACAGTTATTGCTGATAAAATCAGATATTGCTGACCTTAAACATGCGAACAATGCAACAACTACAAAGCTTATTTCCTTAGAAACTGATATCAACAATCTTAAAACTAACCCATCGGATCAGAAATCAGCAATAAATCTTAACTATGAAGATGTTGTTTTCCGATCTCCATGAAAGAGAAATTAGGAGTAAAAATATAGTCACGATTGGTATACCAGAGCCCATAATAAGCAATAAAGAAGAAAGAAACACAGTTGATAAGAAAGAGGTCAACAAACTGATTAAATTGAATTTTCCCGACTGTTCAGAACCACTCAATCCATCGTGTATGCCAATATAAACCGAATGGAAATCGACCAATCAAAGTCTGTCTTATATCGCAAGAAGCAGCAAGAAACAATTCTACGTAATAAATCTATAATTAAAGAACCTATTAACATATATAATGATCAAACTCCACACCAACAACAATATATGAAAAAAACTAGCAGAAGAGCTATAGCAACGTACTCAAAATGGTGAGACCTAGTCGACTGAATATCAAGTGAAAAAATCCTAGGTCTTATATTTTTGTTTTTTCTGATGTAGAAGACCAAACAAGCGTAGATTATAGAGATTTTTATACGATTGTTTTTGTTTGTTTTTCTGAGTTTTATTTGTTTAATAACATGACAGTCTTTTCAATCCTGTTCTGGTTAATTGTGATACTCATAATTGTTAATTCGGCTAAGCTACAAGTATTTTGAAAGACTGATTACAATATTTTCGCAATAATAAAGTAATATTTTAATGAAAGCATTATAATTTCAACCAATTTCATACAATCTCCACTTAGTATCAAAGTGCCCTGTTGGTGGGGCACAATGATAAAAATACAATTTTTAACCAAACCTATATTATCCTTTTGTTTCACATCTTGAACGATTTTTATCATTGATATTATAATATTAAAACATATAGCTAAATGCTGACTTGAAAATTAATCAAAATCATGACATTTATGTATATGTTATTTGATTTTCAATTTTTATGTATCAATGTACCCCACCTCCCCCTATTTATTTCTCCTAGAAGTGATTGTAATATTGAGAAATAAAGTGATTTTAAATCGTAAACCGTATATTTATTGCTGTGTGATTTTTAAATATAAGATTGTAAACGATTTTTTCGGTTGACCAAGTGGGCATTCGAGGCGAGAGATTGTAATAGTAAAGACGATTGTGATCCTAAGAGTCATAATAAAAAGTGTGATAAAATCTTAGTTTAAATTCCCACTGACCTAAAAGACTTACAAATAAGCACCTTTTTCCTTCTTTAAGAGATACCAGAAATCACACTATAAATCTAAGGACTCAATATCGGAAACTTTAATGTACAGGAAAGTACAAAACTGCATTATTTAAGAAAAACATATTGGTTATGGCCCCTACTATATATAACAAAATACCTAATGAGATAAAAGAATAAACTTATAAAAAAAATTGTTTTCTTTTCTATTTAACAAGTGCTATTACTCAGTAAACGATTTTCTAATGGATAACACAATTTTGTAAGAAATTGCTGAATAAAAAATGTATAAAATACAAAATATATAACTTAAATAATCTGTCATGGTATCACAAATCCTCGGATATATAATATAATTGTATAGTTGATTTTAATTATGTAATTAAGTTTAATTTATAATTTTAATTGTATGAGTATTGTTAATTTGACTTTGTTATTTTATTGAATAGTTAATTTTAATCTGTAAAACACTTAATATGAATTTATAATTATAATTGCATGGTTAATTTAATTTGTAATTTTAATTGAATAATTAATTTTAATTTATAATTTAAAACCTAATATTTGCATGCCTTATAGTAGAATGTACTGGAACTTATATTAAAATCTATTTATACACCTATATTCTGTACCTACATTCAGAGCAAATAAATATTATTATTATCATTAATAGGCCAAATCACCAGAAAAGGTTTTTACCCGGGATTTCTGGATTTATGTTGTATTAATTTTCTTATATTTTTATACAGAACTTTTTGATTCAACCTCGTATATCAAACGTTATGAATAGGTATTGATTTCACAATACACATAGAAATCTCCATTTTTGTAATAAACAAGAAACTCACAACCCAACGAGACTAAAATTTTGACCGAGCATTTAAAATTAGACCAGTGTTTGAGCATCGCAATAGAAAAGAACAATTAATTCTCTAGCACATGATAAAATTCAATGGACATATTATGCGGCCATATAAAAAAATTGTCAAACGGTGCTTCAAATTATGGTGTCATTTTGATGCGACCATTAACCTACACGAATTTCATCTATATACAAGCAAACAATTCCCAAAAGAGGGTTGATGTGAGGCAGGCGGCCGGTCGTAAAAACAATTAGCCAAAACTATTCACAACATGTGAGGCAGACCCTGGCTAAAGCTGGGATATTGCCAGGTAGAAGACACAGGCAAACAAAACACAAGCGTTGAGTATGAATTATGTGAAGCCATAGTCCTTCAATATACTCAAAAACTAAAGGATCTGTGAGTGCTATTACAGTCTAAACAAAATAAGGTAAACTTCTATATTTTGAAGTCTAACTCGATTAAATAATTTTAAAGCGACACAAAGTGGCTATTTCTTTTTTGTGGTGTTCATTAAAAAGCTCATGAGACAAAACCCATTGCAATTTTTTTTAATGTATTAGTTTTTTAAGTATTTTTAAATAAATTGTTTTCTTTATTTTACGGCTAGTCATCTAAGCTCATTGACCAACATCGAATATTTAATTTTTTCCCTTTAAGACTGACATGTCTAAGAAATTGAATATCTTGTATCTTTTTAAAAATAGCAAAGTTTTTAATCGCTATATATTTTCAGAAAATCATTTCACACAATCTATTCCAAATATACGTTTTTTTCCCGTAACCTATAAAATGATTATCCCAATATAACGCTTCCGAGGAATAGATACTTCAAGTAACAAAAAAAATTCTTATGCGAGTTGAATTCAACGATAAAAATATTTCGTAGACCATCAAAACTGGGTTATTTTATCTCAATTTTAGAGCCAATAAATGTGCTGCTGAAATGATCAAAATCAAAAAGAGGAAACAAAGATCGACCCATTACAGAGTAAAGAATAAATAATTGACTTATCACGTCACGACATCAGCCTATCAGAGCCCACAGCTAAGCAAAGGCCTCTTCTCACATGGAGAAGGTTAGAGCATTAATCACCACGCTCGCTCAAGACGGGTTGGTGATCTCAAACTTATAATTTGATAAGTCCATAAACGATAATCATAAATGCTTCCCTAATTGTAAATTTCTTCTATACGCTGATGATTTAAAAATATACCGAAGTATACATAATTATCAGGACCACATCTTGCTTCAGGAAGATTTAAACAGATTCACCGCCTACTGCTATGAAAATAAATTGGAGCTTAGTCTCAGTAAATGCAAAAGCATAAGCTTCACCAAAAAAAGGAAGGTAAGCGGGTTCGTGTATTCCCTTTGTGACACGGATATAGATGAAGTCCAAAGTATTAGAGATTTGGGTATAACAATAGACAACAAACTACACTTTGATACTTACATATATAACATAATTAGTAAAGCCTTCCAAATGTACAGCTTCGTCATACGGCCCTCTACTGAATTTAAACATCCATCCACTCTCGTCTACCTTTTTAAATCATTAATTAGACCACAGCTTGAATATGCTGTTGCTGTATGGAATCCGATATATATGAAATACGAGAAAAGCTTAGAAAAGGTACAGAAAAAATTTTGTATCACATGAATTATCAATGTTGTAGAAAACGTTTGATCTATGAATCACTTTTAAAAAACTACAATCTACTTGATCTCAAATATAGACGACTGCAATTAGAAGCTGTGTTACTATATGATATTTGTAATAATAAATTCGATTGCCCGACCATTATAAACCAAATTAATCCCGCCGTTATCCATTTTTTGCTGTAGCGCAATCCCGCACTAATGCCGGTATGCGTTCCCCGTTAAATCGAATAATTAATGCTTATAATAAGAATTATTACAATTTAGACATTTTTACTAACTGTAGTAGGGCTTATAAAAAACAGGTTATTCATGTATTAAATCACCAATAGTAATTCCTAGTTTTATATGTATGTGTTTATTTATACTTGTATATTGTTTATTATATATTTATATTGAACAAAATGTTTATATTTATCTTTTCACCATAATGACTAATAATTAAATTCTTAATTGTTTGAATTAGTTCATATTTAAGTCTTCAACAGGTTTATTTTTATTTTATTTTGTTATGTTTAATGTGACCATCGTTGTTGAGTTTACAATAACTAATATGTACCGACTTATTAAGCTATAAGAAACTATAATTGTAAACTTGTATAATTGTAAACTTAAACCCGCGCCCTCGGCAACGATAGGCGAAATCTTTAACCACTAGGCCACCACTGACTAATAGTTGACTCAAAGAGACAGAAGTACAACAGTAGTGAATAAGAAATAGACAAACAAAAAATTAAACAAGCCAAATATATACCACAAATAATGTGTTTGCCAAACTTATTTTGTATAATGCTTTCTTTGGAAATAATTAATCCTTAGGTGTAAGTAAAAATTTTAGATTTCCAAGACCAATCTAGTGAAACTTCTGACATCATTGTCAATTATTTAAACCAAGTGTTGACAGATAATAATTTGACTGCAAAAGTCGTAGCATTTTGTGGGGACAATGCAAACGTCAATTTCGGAGGTGCAGCTAGGCGAGGAACTAATAATGTTCTAACGAAATTACAATCATCTCTGAAAAAAGAAATAATAGGTATTGGATGTGGAGCCCATGTAATTCACAATGCAATAAAATCTGCTGCAGATGGGCTACCCGTAGATTACGAAAGCGTTATTGTGAAGATATATTCCTTTTTCTATATTTATACAATTCGAGTTGAAGCTCTAAAAGAGTTTTGTGCCGAAACTGAAATGGAATATCAACAAATGCTCGGTTATAGCAAAACCAGATGGCTTGCTCTCATGCCTGCGTTGGAGAGAGTTTTAAAAATGTACCAGCCGTTAAAAAGCTACTTTTTGAGTATTGAAAAATGTCCCCTGTTACTAAAAAACTTTTTTGAAGATCCCACATCCGAATTGTGGTTTTATTTTTTACACGCTCTATCAGCAAGTTTTTATCAAGCTGTCTTGAAACTTGAAGGTCAGACTGTATCGGCAATTGAAGCTGCAAAAGAAATCAATCAATTAAAAGACAATTTAACTCAGAAACAGACCAATCAGTTTCTTCCATTTATGGTTCGTCAATTAATGTCAAAATTAAAAGATAGTGGTACTGATATCGATGAAGAATTTGTGAAAAGGACGGCTACAGAATTTTATAAAACAAGCCGTGAATATCTGGAGCAGTGGACTTGCTTTCTTATCCAAGAAATGGAGATATTTTATTGGGCAGATTTAAAAAAGGTCCCCACATGGGAAGACATTCAAAAATCTCTGGATGTATTAATTCAAAAGCAATATATTGACTGTAATAAAGATACTGAAGTGTTTGACGAATTTTCATTAATTTCTAATTACATCACATCGCAAAAAGTAACGGAATGGAATAATTTAAATGTTTCCACGGAAACCCGTTGGGTGGAAGTATTCAAACACTTTCGCGCCAATAATCTTCAGCATGAAAACTTTTCTATTATAATTGAATATATTTTATGTTTGCCTGCTACAAATGTTCCCGTAGAAAGGGTATTTTCTATTATGAATAAATTGTGGACATCCGAGAAAACCCAGTTACAAATTTCAGTTCTAAGGGCGATGTTGATAATTAAGGTGAATATAAAAAAAACGTGTCAAGAGTTTCATTCTTACTTGAAATCGTCACCAGCTATATTAAAACAAATTTGTTCTTATGATAAATATAAACATAAATAAACATTTTGCGTACCTTTCTGAATCGTAACTCTCTCTTAAGCCAACTAACATTTTCTGAATAAATAACTTTAAAAAGCGTTGTTTGTTTCATTTACTACTTTTGATTTAACCTAAATAAAGCAATGTCCCGTTTTGAGTCAAAAAATAAATGGTCACGTTAACCTACTCTAAGACCACTATAACTTATCCTAACTAAATGAAATTACTAATTACCCAGGCTTCTACACAACGCCCTAATATTTATCTGAGCCTTTTACCGCCTCTTTAGTCAATAAAACCCACAGGTAAGCATTATCACCCACTCTGTTAAATACTGGTCTACAATATAACAAAAATGATAACAAACCCACATTCAACTTGTCTAAAACAAACTCTAGATAATGATGAGATATATAAAAGCAAACAAAAAAGCAAATTATTGCAATAAAAACTTAAATTTCTACATTTATAGTATAAATTAAAGAATTATTAACTAAAATATGCAATAACAAATCGATAAGTACATACAAAACTATCTAAAAATTAAAGAAGAATAATAATGAGACTTAAATTAATTAATTTTTAAAGGAAAAAATTGGTAGTAACTTTTATTTACATTTCAGGATAACTAAATAATAAATTATTACTACACTCTACATTTTAATCTCATTTCTTCAAAATACAAATACAATAATTCAACATACGTTTGACGCTTTGTTTATCAATATTATCTTGTTTCGTTGGCTATAGATAGGATCGGTTCAGTAACTTATTCGATACTAGCTTTCCGCCCGCAGCTTCACCTGCGTGGGGTTCTGTTATATCGCAATTCCAAGAAAACCTTTCAAAAGTCTTAGATAAAAACTTTCCTGTTCTTTCTCACGGTCAACTCTATGTCTGTACCAAATTTCATTAAAATCAGTTCAGTGGTTTAGGCGTGAAAGCGTAACAGACAGACAGACAGAGTTACGTTCGCATTTATAATATTAGTAGGGATTTATATTAGAATATATTTATAAGCATAATAATTTATTCGCAACACTTATTATTCGTTAGACAGAGCGGCGAATTTGTTTGCTATAGCTGTGTGTTCCTCTTCATCAGATTCTCCAGAACCTTCGGTCTGAGATTCCGAGCCGGTCTCTGTGTCCGAAACAGACTCGGTCTGTGAGTCCGATTGCGATTGGGCTTGTACCCACTTGATGTATTTCAGTTCTTCGCAGCTCTTGAAGTTCTCTGAAAAACATATATTAAAATAAATATCATTTACGAATTTAAATATGTGTGTTATACTTGTTTTGGCCTATTATATCAAATTTATTTGAGTTTATTAGGCAATGATTTTCTAAAGCAATACATTAATAGGCGACTATTTATCATTTATTGGAAATGTATGAAATTTTCTCCATAATGAATTCTATTTCCTACATATTATCTATACTAGGAAATCAGGTCTCATAGTTAAAGAAATCACAGATAAGATATCTAATTCCTATCAAATATATTACAAATTTATGACATATTACCCCCACCCCGTTTAATACAAAAGTGGAGGAGGTAGTTATTATAAAAGCAAAGTTATAGCTTTAAATCGCCCACTATAAACTATTAATTGTACGTTGAAAATAATAAAATATAAAATAAGGATCACATTCCAGTCTTTCAACATCGATCACGTTTATATTGTGTCGTTTAGGTTCTGTACCTCAGTTATTTTTTTGTTATTTTTGCTATAAAATTTTTGTTATCTAAAAAAAGTTTCATTTTTTTATTTTTTTATTGCTTAGTAATAAGTTGGTAATTTGTTATTCTCTTTTGTTATTTACATTTTATATTGTATTGGTAGTATTTTTTGTTTTCCTTTTTGGATAATTTTAATTTTGTGTAATTTTAATTTCCCCTTTTGTATAATTTAAGCAGAAAAAAAAATCCATGCCGTGATAACTTATAACTGAAACATCACTTGGCAAAAGTGTAATTATCTTTATTTTTTAAAACTTATAAATGGTGTATGTTTTGTTAGTTGTCCTTATATAAATTAATTAATAATCCTTACCAATCCCTCCCGGAGGTCTGAGCCACAAACATAGTTTCCCATCAAGAGCCATCCTCAACAAACTATTCGCCGCTCGATAAGTGTCCAATCTGTAAAAACATTAAATATTTTGAGGAATATGAAAGTAGATATAGCAATATATATATTTTTCTCTTTGTTATAAAGATGTAAGGTTGATTTTAATAGTTTTTTATTTATATTAAAACTTCTTCTTCTTCTTCTACCTGGCAATTTCCCAGCTATAGCCAGGGTCTGCCTTACATGTTGTGAAAAGTTTTTGGCTATTTGTTTAAGAAGAAGATTAAAACTATGATTTAAGAGTAGATATTCGATTATAATCAATTGATTATTTCATGTTCAATATAAATGTTATTGTGACATACACACTGACATTTATTATATGTGTGTGTGAGTGTGGCAGTGTGTGTGATGTTTATTTCAAATAATTTAATATATTTCTTATATATTTTATGTAAAAACTATCTTTATACACTTCATCTCAATATGATCTAAAATTAATACATTTCTGAGGTGGCAGTGCCTAGCTGTGGTCAAGATATTACAGCTCGAACATGTGCTGGCTCGACCGTAAGTACCACTCTCTCACAGAATATACTTATATACTACCAGTTCTAAGTTTATAACTCACGTATATTAAAATAATTATTATAATTGATGAGTTCAAGAATTGTATGCAATATGTATTTCAACTGATTACTTCATTACTATTGAAAACTACAATTCATCTTGAACAGAGTATTTGAACATCACTGATTTATGCTTTCCCAAAGAGGGTTGATGTCAGGCAGGCGGCCGGTCGTAAAAACAATTAGCCGAAACTATTCACAACACGTAAGGCAGACCCTGGCTAAAGCTGGGAAATTGAGAGAAAGAAGAATATATAACAGTTATTAAGAAACTATCAATGTGTTTTATGAACGAATCGTATATGTTAGAATGTTCTCAATATTTAGTAGCAGCGCCATCCAGTGACGAGTGGACGAAACTGTCATCTATACGTTTTCTAGAACATTCCTATTGTTAATAAGTATTAATATAAACGAGTATGTAGTGTAATGTTCTAGTGACGCTGTTATGTACAAAGGGTCGCTAGGACGTTTGTGAGTGTACCGAGAAGAGACATGCAAACTATATTACATGTTATTATAATAAAGTTAATATTTATTACCTAGAACTAGCGAATAATATTTACCTGGCGGCTTTCGCTGTAAGGTAGCCTCTCTGCTTGGCCCACCCGTCGCAAACATCTCTAGGCGACCAAGTATCATCGTTATCTGGATGTTGTATACGTAATAACGAGGGTAGATTTATACGCTCTCCGATATACCTGTAATGAGATTTGTTACATTTTATCATTTATACTAGAACACCCGGCGAACTTCGTATCGCCCTATAATCAAGAAATATATGTTCCTTTTTTTTATTTATATTTTTGGAGGTTACCTATTAAAGACATAAATCTGCGTGTTTTGAAGTGCGACAGAATGATTGACATATTACTTAGTTGTCAAATCTTATGTCAAGAAACGTTTGTATCAACAACTACTAATAAATTAAAAATTAATAAAAAAAAACATTGTCCAGCGGACTAAATTGTGAATCTAAACCATTCCTAGATCCCCTCGAACACACATAAAAAATTTCATCAAAATCGGTCCAGTCGTTTGAGAGAAGTTCAGTGACATACACACTCACAGAAGAATTATATATATAAAGATGTAATAACAATAACATTTATATATAGCTTTAAATTAGTATGTAAACTTTTTAATTGTGCACTGTTTATATTTAGTAAATATTATGTACACTTGTCATTGACGTACATATCTGTTTTAATATAGTCACTTTAACTGTAAATATTCAATATGTATGTTGTAAGTATGCCTTGTTGTAAATAAATAAATAAATAGCTTTTGCACATGACAATGTTTTTTTCATTTGTTTTATACAGGGTGACTGGTGAATTACTATCAATATTTAAGGAGAATACTCGGTACATGATTCTCATTCGAATTATGTAAAAAAAATAGGTAATAAATTTTTGACCAAATTTCCGTATAAATAAATAAAGTGTGTACACGTTCCAAGTGTTCCTAGTGTGGACGCGTGCGGCCGCGTGCTGATACAACAACACGCCGCCGCGCGCGAGTGTGTGTGTATACCTAATCTGTAGGGTGTTCATACGATGCGTAATTAAGTACATAACTTTTGGTTAACTTTACTTAGAAGTTTATTAATATTTATGTTATATTAATTTTTATTTTGTCACATATGATCGTCAAATTTCGCCTCTATTTATAATAACCAACAGTCATTGTTATGACTACACTTGCACAGAAAGCTATGCAGATGATACCTGATAATTTATCTACACTCAATTATCGATTATTCAAATAATAACTGCGCCGATATATATGAAACAGTCAGCACCATCTATCGTGTGTCGTTACTTCATACAATACATCTGTTATGAAGTGTTCCCGGAACTACACGGACTGAACGATACATTATATAATATGTGTTATTATAATGTATCATATATTATTACATCCAACAAAACAAATTTAGCATGAGTTTTTAAATTACCAAATCCCTACTAATATTATAAATGCGAAAATAACTCTGTCTGTCTGTTACGCTTTCACGCCTAAATAACTGAACTGATTTTAATGAAATTTGGTACAGACATAAAGTAGACCTTGAGAAAGAACAAAGGATAGATTTTATTCCAGACTTTTGAAAGGTTCTCTTGGAAACGCGATATAATCGAACTCCACAAGGGCGAGTAATATATTTTTATTGTTTAATATAATAGGTAAGTTTTTTACCTGATAGTTGTGTATGGTTCTCGTAATTGGGCTATAGGGTAAGATCCCATTAAGACTTGTATGGCTCGGGGAACTAGCGAGGGGAAAACTAGTCCGGGACAATCGCACAAACGGACCTGGGGGTAAATCAAGTTGTTAAGGGTAATTATAGTTGTTAATATTTGTACATTAGTAAAGGTTAAGATTTTATTGACATTTTGGAAATTCATTTGAAACCTTTAAAAATTGCAATTTAATTCGTACAAATACATTAGTTTATATACTAAAATTGCAACAGTATTTTCATGTTTATTCGAAAAATAGATTGTTCTCCCATCACAAATTAAATTTAACCCTTAAAAACACAGTTCATTTACAAATACAGAATATTTCTAAACATTAAAACTTACAAACATTATTAACATATCATAAAAGCAAGTAGGTCAGGGTAAAATATGTTTTTACATGAAAAATAGGAATTACCCTTACCTGACTTAGGGTAATATATGTTTTTACATGAAAAATAGAAATTACCCTTACCTGACTAGTCAGAAATATAGTCTGGAAATGCTTCGTATGTCCCGGAGTGCGTGATACAGAGACAACTTTTTTACCCATGATGGCGTTCATGAGTGATGATTTACCCACATTTGGGGTACCCACACACCCCACCGTTAGGACGCCATTTTTATATTTCTCATGATTATAATAAGACGTATCCGGTTTCTCTACGATCGTTTCACCTGTAAATATTTGAATTAATTTAAGTTATGCATTTGGATAAGTTATTTTGATTTGGTTTTTCTATATACGGAAATTACTATAACTGATTCAGTTGATAGATTTTTGTTATTTTTGATATGATTTTTTGATAATTAGCTGATTTCTAATTAATATCTAATTAAAGGAGCATCTGTGCTTATACGATAGTTTGAGGATTTGATATCCGTTTGAAATATATATATTATAAATTATGTAATTAAATTAAATAATGTCTTGTAATTAAAATAAAACTTCATACATATTAAAAGGAATTTTACATATTATAAGGAATTTAACTGTTTGTGAACCACACAAGTTTTACTGTACATTAAAAACTTTTCATATAGTATATTGCCTCACTATTAAATTAGCTAACAGCTATATAGCTACTAAAATTTAAATATGAAAGTCTATAATGATAAATAAAAAATACATATAGCGACACTATAGCTTAAATAGAAAAGTAACCAATAGCAGATTCAAATCCTGTTCGTGTTAATGTTTTTTTTATTTCTATAAGTTATATTAAGTCGATAAGGCTAATATGTTAATCTTCTTCTTCTTCTACCTGACAGTTTCCCAGCTTTAGCCAGGGTCTGCCTTACATGTTGTGGATAGTTTTAGCTAATTGTTTTTATGACCGTCCGCCTACCTGACATCTCACTCTTTGGGAATGCATTAATCAGTGATGTCTAAATCTTATAAAGTACATATGACTCGGAAACGTCACTTGTACTTGCCAGGATCGAACCCGCGGTCTCATGCATGAGAGGCGGGCCTTTTAACCACTAGGCCACTGAGTTAATGCTAATATGTTAATATTATTATAATCACTCACCCACTTCAGCCTCATCAAAGTCCAAATCACTCTCATCTTGTATCTTCTTCTCCCAAGCGCTCAAATCCACTTTACCCTCAACTATTTCTTTGCACGCATCTAATAGTTTCGTCGCACCCTCCGCGCACATACGTAGGCGACCTTTTCGTCTGCGTACTTGGAGACCTGGAGAATTTTCGACCAAATTAGTTTTACCCCGGGGTAAAAAATATTTCTATATTATAAAACGAGTTGTTTATTATGAATAATTAAATAATATTATATAAACATATAATACAAGCATTATCCTATGATAGTTGACATAATCCAGTTGCCCTACCCTATTAATAAACTATTCTTGCCATTAACACTCAAAAATTCTATAAAACATACAAAAAAAAAATATCTCATATTTCATTATATTCAACTTTCTATTTGTAATACCTAAATAGTGTTTTATGTTGAAGTAAGACAACCGTTTAATGATGTATGTTAAAATAATTTGATTATACAGATTGAATTAACAAAGAAATGAGTCATAAACATAATTATTATAATTTTGGTAGAGAATATAGTATTTTAACTGGATATATCTTAATAACAAATTACATATTTCATAAATTTTCTTGTAAAAATTATCGTTACCAGTATCGAATATTATTGATTAATACAATTTCATCTACAAGATATAAAAACATATATAGTCCGTTTGATTTAAGCTGAGCTTTGCATTTGTGTGAGTGTACACAGATAGTGTATGTGTGGTGTCAATATTTTGAATGCCACGTTCTTTTCTAGTTTTGAACCGGTTTATTCTGTTTTTACTTCGCCCCGCACCTTAATCACTTCACTCTTTGTACTGGTAGCAATATCAAATGTTGAAAACGCAATGTCAAGTGAAGAAAAATATAGTGTTTTTTCAAAATTTTTATTACTTAATAAATTTGATTCCATAATATTTTACAAGTTTTGATTATTTTATTTCAAATCCAGAATAGCTCTATCACTTATGTTAATCAATTTAAAATATAATAAATTGAGTTCTAAAAGCTTTTGTCTAACTCTACATTTACTTTCACTCACACAAATGCAAAGCTCAGCTTAAGTCTAACGCACTATACATCTCATCAAAATGAAAACACGGACTTCTTAGTAGACCGTGAAAAGACTCAAAAGACCGAGTAGACCAAGCTTAATATATCAACTGCTTACCCGCTTTATCCGTACCGGAACCAACCAGGTTATATCCGGGGCACGACGTAAAATATACAACTTTTAAACCCGGATATCTCTCAGTGAGATATTTTTTCCACGCGGCGACCGCCGGCGCAGGAACTAGATCGATTTTATTAAGAACCAATATCATATCCTTATCAACTTTCCTTATATACTCGTAGAGAGACGGAGGGAACATCGCGCCCTAGAAGTAAAGATAGTTGTATGAATGTAGAATAGAATAGAAGTTAGTATTACATATAAGGGCCTAATCACAAGAATCATGAAAAAAAACACATTAAAATAAAACTAATATTTTCGTATACTACGCGTTATTATTTTAACTATATACTTTTACTACTTGTTACTTTGCAACCGTGATCATTAAGACGAGATGTGAATGTCTGTTAACTGGTCTTGTCTAATGTTTGATCTTATGTGACTTGTTCACATACAAATTACATCGGTTGGAGTATGCGTGTAATTTGTTGTTTAAAAATAATTACAAACGCCTAGTAAATCCGAAAAACACTAGTTTTATTTCAATGAACACTCGCGAAAATCTTAAATCTCATTAAACAAAACAAATAAAAGTATGTAGAGAGAGAGGATGGGCCGTAGTTAAAATAATGAAATTCCTTTAAACTTTATATAAGTCTAGAGATCAAATTATCCCTACTAATATTATAAATGCGAAAGTAACTCTGTCTGTCTGTCTGTTACGCTTTCACGCCTAAACCACGGAACTGATTTTAATGAAATTTGGTGCAGACATAGAGTTGACCTTGAGAAAGAACATAGGACAGTTTTTATCCCAGACTTTTGAAAGGTTCTCTTGGAAACGCGATATAACCGAACTCCACGCGGGCGAAGCTGCTGCTGGAAGCTAGTAGCATAATAATTAATTATTAATTAAAAGCGGAATAATAATTAATTCGTTTTCACAAATTAATTATCCAAAGTGTCAAGGTTAAGCAAGCTAAGTATGTACAACTAGTGTGTGTGTCTGTGTGTGCGTGTGTGTATGAGTGTATGTATGTGTGTGTACTCACAGCATATCTAACATCCACGATCAGTAACAATATGTCACACATCTCCAAAACCCTCCACAACTGTCTCCATGTCTCCAAATTAAGTTCGAAGTACGAGATATCTTTCCAGTGTCGAGAATTCTGTAGAGACTGGATGTACTCCTGTAACGAAAAAACTAATTACATATACAGGGTGACTGGTGAATTACTATCAATATTTAAGGAGCATACTCGGTACATGATTCTCATTCGAATTATGTAAAAAAAATAGGTACTTAATTTTTGACAAAATTTCCGTATAAATAAATAAAGTGTTGACACGTTGCAAGTGTTCCTAGTGTGGACGCGTACGGCGGCGTGCTGATACAAAACCACGCCCCCGCTGCGTATGTGTGAGTGTGTGTGTATACCTAATCTGTAGGGTGTTCACACGATGCGTAATTAATTACATAACTTTTGGTTAACTTAACTTAGAAGTTTATTAATATTTAAAAATAAAAATAAAATAAAATAAAAAATAAAATAAAAAAGCCTTTTATTTCCTTCAGAAAATACATACTTACAAAGTTAGTTGTTTTTTTTATAATAACAAAAGAATAAATAGCACAAATAAAAAAAGAAAAAATGTTTTTTTTTTATAATAAGTTAATAGTTCCAGGTTTTATATGCATGTTTTTAATAATTAATATTATGTTTTATTATTCTGTAGGAACCCCTCTGCAGGTAAAGGCCTCCTCCAAAAGTAGCCAGTTTTCTCTGGATTGCGCTATTTGCATCCAGTTTGGACCCGCTATACGTTTTATTTCGTCCTCCCATCTGTTATAAGGTCTCCCTTTCTTTCTTTTGCCCACTGGCCCCCTCCATTCTGACACTGTTCTTGTCCACCTGTGATCTTGCAGGCGTGATATGTGTCCGGCCCACTTCCATTTTAACGCCATAGCTTGTGCTAAACCGTCTGTTGCTTTTGTGATGTTGCGTATTTTTGTATGTCTAATTTTATCTATTCTCTTAATGTTAAGCATACTTCGCTCCATTCCTCGTTGGCACTTTATAATTTTTTCTTTGACGTTTTTGTTGAACTTCCATGTCTGACAGGCATAGGTTAGGCATGGTATAAGGCAGGAGTTCATGACCTTTGTTTTCAGTTTAATTGACATGTTACTCTTGAATATTTGTTTGAAGCTCCAGTATTTATTCCACGTCAGCTGGGCTCTGCGCTCAATTTCCTGGTAATTGTTTAGCCTGTCGAAGCTTATTTGTTTGCCTAGGTATATGTATTTTTCCGTATATGTAAGAGTACTGTTGTCGACGTAAATTGGTACTTTGGTGTTATTAGTCATTACCATAGTTTTAGAGAGGTTCATTTCTAGACCAGCGAGCTTGCTCGCTTGGTTTAGTGAGTTTACCATGTGTTGTAGTTCCTTTCCTGTCTCTGATATCAGTACCAAGTCGTCGGCAAAACGTAGATGGTTTAAATATTTTGATTTTACTTTTATACCACATCTGGTCCAGTTAAGCTTGCTTATTATCGATTCTAATGTGGCTATAAATAGTAAAGGGGACAGTGGGTCACCCTGTCTCACGCCCTCTCTTTATGGGAAACCAAGAACCGGCTCTTTCTAGTTTGACTCTACTTTTACTCTTCTTGTATATGCTTTTGATAACTCTTATATACTCTTTTTCCACATTCTGTGTTGCTAGAGTTTCCCAGATATAGTTGTGTGACACCGAATCGAATGCTTTTTTATAATCAATATAAGCCAAGTACAGTGGTCTACTTCTCTCTTGGTATTTTTCAATGAGAAGTTCGAGTGTGTGGATGTGATCGATGGTGGAGAAGCCTTTTCTGAATCCTGCCTGTTCGACAGGTTGTCTTGTTTCCAGCGAGGAGCTAATTTTTTTGGTAAGGATTGAAGAAAATAGCTTATATGTACTCGGCAGCAGGCTTATTGGTCTATAGTTCCCTATATCATTTGGGTTGCCTTTTTTGTATAAGAGAATAATGTTAGATTCAGACCATTGCGACGGTGTCTCGCCAAATTTGAGGATCGAGTTTAAACAAATTTGTAAAAGGTGTAGCCAGTATTGGAGCGGCTATCTTTAGAGTCTCGTTTGCTAGGTTATCCGAGCCCGGGCTTTTGTCTAGTTTCAGTTTGTTCAATGCCTCAATGACGTCGTTTTCATCAATTTGGAGGCTTTTTGGTTCGTTATCATCACTGTTGTAACCTAGGTTTCCGTGGTTAGTGTCTTCTGGCTCTTTTGTGCTGTATAGATCTCTGTAGAACTCTGTCGCTATGCTGATGATGTCGTCACGGTTCCTTTTGGTTATTTCACCTCGTTTAAGCTCTTCTATCCAGGTTTTATTTGGTTTCAGTTCTTTATATGCCTTTTTTGTGCTTCCAGTTTGGCGTAGATGTTTTTTCAATAGTTTTAAATCTATAGTTGGCGTAGTCTTTTTTTATGTATTTGTTTACTAGCTTGTAAAGCGCCGAGATTTCGTTTTTTGTTGTTCTAGTTTTGTTTGAACTTTTTTGTAGTTCTTGTCTTCTTTTAAAAAGTTTTAATGTACGCTCTGAAAATATTTTGTGGTCTTTTTTTGAGTTATGCACTTCTCGGGCGTTTTGTAAGCTTAATGTGATGATTTTAATTAAGTTATCGTAATATTTTTGAACTGGGACATTTGTCTCAGCTAACATTTGGTCTTTCGATATGTAAGAGTTTAGGTATTCTTTGAATTTGGAGATTTCTTCATCACTTTTTACTCTATTATATTGACAGTTTGCAAACTTTGTTCTACTTGTTTTGAAAAGTGTATCATGTGATATTGTAGCTCTTACTGGCCTGTGGTCCGAAGGGTAGTTGATGTTCAGTACCTCTATATTTTTGAACAGACGTGGTCGGTTTGATAGTACAAAGTCGATTTCGTTTTTGTACGCTCCATCCGGTGATCTCCAGGTCCATTTATGTTTGGGTTTTTTCTTGAAGAAGGTATTTAAAATTGATATTTGGTTTTCCATGGCGAAATCTATTAATCTTTGTCCTCTCTCATTTCTAATTCCATATCCGTGTCCTCTTGTGATTAAATGCTCCTCGTTTTTTGGCATACCAATTTTGGCATTAAGGTCACCCATCACTATGAAGTCTTTATGTGCTAGTTCCATTGCCCTGTTTACTGTCGCGTACGTAAGCGCAGGGAACTACATTGCTCCGTTAAATAAATTTGTTTTAAAAATATAAAGACTGTGTTTTGAAGTTATAAAACGTAGATATGTGTAAATAACCAAGACTGTGTGTGAACTACATAAAACATTATTGTTTAAATAAGTTGAATGCGAAAGTGTGAAACGATAATAACCATATAATTCAGGTGCTTTTACTGAGGACAGTGAATCAAAAGAAGTGTCTTAATAAAAATAAATGCTTTGCTTGCTTTGCTAAAACGAATTCAAGAAACACCTAAAGTTCTACTAATTTAAAATAAAACAAAGAAATATTAAAAATATACAGTGAAGTTAGTAGACACAAAGAGAATAACTTTTTCTGAAGAGGGTCTTTAGTAAAAACTCCAGACACAGATCATAATATTGTACATACAGTTCGCAAGTTTTAACTGAACGATTAACAACATCGTTGGCCCAACGGTGTGAACCATACTTTCACACGTGAGCGATACGGGTTCAAACCCAAGCTGTGTTTAGCGGCCTATATCAATTTATTTATTTTATTGTACGGAAGTTGCTCCTGTGTCAACGGTTTACTTCGGCTCCATGTTAAAGTGATCTCAAAAATAAAAATAAGTAATCTTTCATAATTCTAGAAACCGTTTGTCAATATAAAAATTTGAAAGTCAGTTCAAAGAGACTAGCGACATCTGTGGAAAGCTACACGTATCACCAACACTAGTCCGAAGCATCCTATACCTATGCTCGATTTATTAAGTGATCAAAGATATCAAAGGTATCACTAATACGAGTCAAAACCATCTTCGATCCACGAGCGGCCCGACAACCCTAGCAAGCTGACTCAGGAACACAAGAGGAATCAGGAACTTAACCAAAACCCACCCGAGCAACTGAAGCAGGTGCAAAGCAAGCTAAGAGATGGAGGAAATTATGCACGAGTTACGAAAAATTCGAAAAGATTTGGATGAACAGAAAACTGCAATAGAAAAAAGTGGGGAAAAAGTGACCGAAAAAGTTACGCAAAACATAAACAGTATTTTAGAAGACAAGTTTAAACTACTACATGAAAATTACGAAGATCTAAAGGAAAAATGTGAAAACCAAGAAAAGCGACTATATTTTCTGGAAAAACAGGCAAGGAAAAATAACATCGTCTTCTTCGGAATAAAAGAAGTGGAAACATCATATTTTAACCTTGAAATTCTCATAAGGAACTTTATCAAAGAACACTTCTCTCAAGACCTGGATCGCAAGGATATTCAAGAAGTTAGAAGAATAGGCAAGAAGGGAGAAAGACCTCGACCAATAATTGTCACTTTTTGTACACTTGGCACAAAAATAAATTTATTTAAAAATAAAAATACACTAAAAGATACCGGTTACTATATAACTGAAGATTTTCCAAAAAATATTCTGGAGAAGAGGAAAGAGCTTCAAGAACAAGCAAAAATCGAAAGGGAAAAAGGAAACCTTGTAAAAATAAAATACGATAAGCTTGTCATAAGTGGAAAAAACAAAACAGCGGGAAATAAAAAAAGAACGCTTTCAACTTCACCCGAGGACAAAACTACAAAGGGAGCTGAAACAAATACACAGGCTAATAAGAAAAATAAATCTCAAACGCAAATAAGAAGAACTCCAAGCATATCGGAAGGCATTTTAAAACCGGGCATGATGAATTACCTGGTCAACAGGAACACCAACAACTCATCAGATCTACAGGAAAATAACAAAGTTAATATATAGCAACTACAACCCCCCTCGCGCAACGTTAACGTACAGCAACCACTATCAGAAAACGTAACTCATCTTCCAAGCCGGCTGGTCACCGTGGAAGATTACGACCACAACCCTCCAAAACACCCTCCACAAAATAAAACCCCACAAAATACGTTATATATTCTGACATACAATGTTAGAACTCTTTCATCATATGAAAATTTGATAGAGCTAAATGAAGCTTTCAAAGAAATTAAATACGACATTTTAGGTTTATCAGAAACAAGAAGAAATGGAAACAAGATAGAAGAGTACGAAAACTTCATTTTCTGCTATACAGGTCACACACCTGGAAGACATGGAATAGGTTTTATTGTTAAAAACCATCTTAAAAACAACATAGAAAACTACATTGGCGTTTCTGAACGAGTAGCCATGCTGAACCTGAAATTTGAGAATACTAGATTATCCATCATTCAAGTCTACGCCCCTACTGCACAAGCAAACGAGAATGAGATCGATGACTTCTTATTAATATTTATGTCATATTAATTTTTATTTTGTCATATATGATCGTCAACTACCACGTCCTCAAATATCGATAGTAATTCACCAGTCACCCTGTATATAAGCAACATTTTTCTAATTTAATTAGTTTAGAGAATATGAGAAAATTTGTTATACACGATAGAAGGTATGAAGTTTGAATTTTAAGAGGACTTACGATGATCAAACTGAAATTTGACCGCGAATTTTATACTAATAAGATTTTTTTTATTGAAATAGTTAGAACAATAGAAAAAATACGTTTCTCTCTTTTATGCAATATACACGATAGAAGTCACGAATTTTGATTTTTATGTTAGTCAAACTGAAAATTATTTTAGGAACATTCGTGGTGTACACTTAAATAAACTATGTATTAAAAAACGTTAGTTTCTAATACTTAAACATCCAAATGTTATCTACTATAAAGTAATTGTGATTTCTAGAATTTAATTTTTAAACTCAATAAGTACTCAGAGTATTTACGAGTATATATGTATATATTTTTAATTGAATACTGATGTGTGTAAAATCTAAAAGTAACGAATGATGTCTTTTTGAGTTATTGAGTAAGATGATTCATGAAAGAAACTTTGAAAACATTATACACCAAATAGTTCATTTAAAAACAGTTTCGCTAATTAATGCGTACATATTTACCCCAAAAACTAAAATTACCCCAAGCAAATAACTTTTACCCTCGAAAATAGGACTTACCCTGAAATATTTTTGCTCCTGCGCGTCCAACTGCGCGGGAGACATGTTGAAATCCCACGGCGGTCGTTGGGGAAAGGAAAGTTCGGGAGGAAAGTAGTTAGAGGGATCTATTTCCATTTCCGCTTCCGATACTGGCTCCAAAGCCTTACTGAAAAGGTATACGTAATTACTAAAATTTTCCATCATACAAATTGATGTATCAATTGGACAGTAGAGGTGAGCGTTTAACGTTAAATAGGGTCCCTTAAACCTACACCTGGATCAAAAGTCACAGTCACTGTTGAAGCTCCTCTCACTACAACGATGGACCCGACACACGTACCGTGAATATATGGAATGATGAGAGGTTTCGTCTCTTTATCTTTTTGTGATTTTTTTGATACTGAACTATATTTAAGCAAGAAATGAATTTCTGATACTGAATCCAAAACTATACAGAAACGGTATCCCTAATTTTGGAAATTACTAAGATTTTAGGTAATACATAATAAAATATTTATATGTTTGTGAATCTTTTGATAGTGAAGTAAATTTAATTTAAAAATAAATAATTGAATTGAAGAAATTTTATTCACAAGTTAAATAATAAGAATTAGAAGGGGAAAGAATGTTATCAAGTAGATATATAATGGTATAGTCTGTTAAGGTACAATACAGAAGCCGCATGTTTTGTGATTATTATATTTTGTTTCGAAACTTTAATCGAAATTATTAAGACAGTTTCAGTGAAAAGCAACCGAAAAATATTTTCTATGTTATTTAAAAATTATTCCTCATACATATAAAATTATTTTCAAAGGTAAGTGATGTCATTATATCGGTTTAGTGACGCATTCACACGGGGAGAAGTTAAAACATCATGTTCTAATGTCAAATGTCAACACAGAAAAAAGTGAATAGTAATTAATATGACAAATAATGACTTGGAGATCTAAACATAAGAAATTCCAATGTAAAGCGCAATTCTTATTATCTCTGAGCCTCAACGGATATAATGACGTTACAATCAATCACGGGACGATTTTAAAGTGCTTGAATTTATTTTTTATAATTTATTTAAAAAAATATATAAATAAATCTTAAAAAAAAAACATAAACATGCTTCAATTTAAATATTCTTTTGTATACATATAAATTTCTGGTGATATAAAATTTATGCAACTTCTCAATCCAGAATTAATACTCACAGGGCTTCCTCCTTTTTCATTTTCAATTCCTCGTCACTCTCTCTATAGAACTTCAAAGTGTATCTGTTGCTTTGGGCTCGTCTGTTCGGCTGATAATTCACAGAAACAACATCAAAACTTGTGTTACCCGAAGATGCTGAAAATTATATAATATATTTATTATTATAGATTTTCTAATATCTGAGAGATTTCTGTTGAGAAATAATGTTCATTTATTATCGTACTAGCTTTCCAAGTGGAGTTCGGTTATATCGCGTTTTCAAGGGAATTTTCAAAAGTCTGGGATAAAAACTGTCCTATGTTCTTTCTCGAGGTCAACTCTATCTCTGTACCAAATTTCATTAAAATCAGTTCAGTGGTTTAGGCGTGAAAGCGTAACAGACAGACAAGCAGACAGAGTTACTTTCGCATTTATAACATTAGTAGGGATGATTAATTGACAGTAAAAAAATGAATTAATAGTACTCAATTATGTTAAGATATGTAATATTTAAACTGGAGAATAATGGTCATTGAAATATTAAGTAAGACTTATGAATAATAAAACTACCTTGTACGAGCTTACATCGAGTCAAATTCTAAGATTTATCTATATATATAAAATTCTCATGTTGCGGTGTTAGACAGAGAACTCGTCCCAAACGGCTTAACCGATTCTCATGAAATTTTGTGAGCATATTTAAGCCAGAATAGTTAATATTAAGTTGATTAAACACTTACTTGGCATAAGTAGCGTCTTATTCTGTTTCTTGGATTGCAACTGTTGTTTCTTTGCTTTCCCGCTGAAGGGTGTTTTACGTCGAGCTTGAGGCATGATGGATTGTGTACTGTAATACATACAATATTATTGTTAAAACAATGTTAAAAATTTATGTTAATTGTTATTGGAATTGTGTTAGGTAGAGAGAGGAGCTTGTATGGTGGAGGTGAGTGTTTAACACGTTAGAAAGGGTCCCTTATACCTACACCTGGGTCACAAGTCCCAGTCACTGTTGAAGCTTCTCTCACTACAATGATGGACCTGGCACATGCAAGGTGAATACATGGAATACTGAGAACTTTTCATCTAAGCTCTTTCTTTTACATTCTCTTTTCTATAGGTACCTACATTTTAAGAACAACCTGACCATATTTATTCTGAAGATTCTAGAAAATTCTTTCTAAAGTTGTCGGCTGTGGATTCTTTGAAGTTGAAGTCACTCATTAGTATATACAGAAGCTATCTTTAGATTAATACACAGTAGGACCTCGATTATCCGGACTAATTGTTGTCGGTAGGCATCCGGATAATTGAAAGTCCGGATAATCCAATATATGAAGAAAAACTGGCTTTTTGCATATGTACATGTGTAGTCTGTACCATACATATGTAATGTGAGGTGTTTATTTAAAACAACAAATACATATGAGCGAAAATCAACGTTTATTAAGAAATTTTACATAATGTACGTATAAGTGTTATAAGTAGGGCCCGGATTAATATGTAAATACATATTTTTAATTTAGGCGATTTTCGGTCTAGAATGTGTTTTTTACATGGATTGTCATATTTAGACTGTGAAAAACCCAACTTTTATTTTCCATATTTTACCATATTTCAAAGTTAAGTCCATATTTTACAAGAAAATGTCATAATCATCCATATATTCACAAAAAAACATAGAAAAATAAAGGATTTAAAACGCTAAAAAATTTAGAAAATTCTGTGCGAAAGTTTCGAGGGCTGTAGACATGGCTTACACAATTACTGAATTAAGTATGCATCCATCACGTCATGTGAGTGGAGAGATCATTCAGCAAATATAATGCTATATTTCGACCAAATGGTCAGTTTTCATTTTGATAATTTAAAGAAGGACGTCATTGTGTATTGCAACCAATTTGATAAAGCTAGTGTAATGGAAGTTAAATAAAACTGTTATTTTTTGTTGAAATAAATATTTCACTCTTTTTTTCATCGTTTTTTAAATGTTTCTTAACGATGTACGTCACGAGTGACCCTTCCTTATAGTAAAACATGTTTTTTGTTATGTTTAATTATGAAATTATTTAATTTTATATTCCATATTTTTTCCATATTTTTTGATTTTTTCGTCCATATTTTATGTACATATTTTAGATTTTAGAATAAACTCGTCGCGATTGGCAGTCCGGATAATCGCGAATTCGGATAACCGAGGTCCGGATAATCGGGGTCCTACTGTAAGTGAATTTAAGTTATGGAGTCGCAAATTAAATTTAATAACCAAGTTTAAATGTAGAGAGACGAATTTCGTATGACGCTGAATCACACTCAAGTAAATGAAAACGCGAAATATTGAATAGTAATAACAACCTCGTAACTTATTTTTCGGATTTTTATAAAGCAAAAGTATTTTATAGAGTTTATAAATGACCATGAGGTATCAATATTCAAATAATTATCCATACTAAACGGAATTGTAGGTAATTACAAGACTTACAGCAATGAAACTGAACACCGGTAAACATTGTTTGTAACGAGAATTTGTAAGAAAAAATCATTGAGCAATACTCATGTATGTAATTATAAATTACTTTGTTGTATTACAGTTGAAAAAAGTATAGCCAATTAGTGAAAGTTACAACGAAAATGATATATTATTGAATTAAACACTCAACACCGCAAGAGTGGTTATATTTTCAAATACAGCATGGGTTAAGGAGTTATACTAACTTAAATGAATATTAAATATTATAAAACTCACCTTTACTTAATAAATTAGAACTTGCACTTCTCGCAACAGCTTAAAGAAACTGAAAATGTTAAATCTCTCAGTTCTCGAAATTTCACATTCCGACCATCGGTAAGGCAACAAATAAACATCAGAATCAGATATTAATTCCAGGTAGATATAGCAACTTTGTTGGATAGTTGTCAGATTATCAGAAATTCATTCAATTTTAATATTTAGAAGTTTTTTAATTAAATTAATATATGTAACGAAATAAATTAATTCATATATAGATAATAGAGATAAGTTTTATGAATTAAATTATATTTTCATATCATATTTCATATATTTGCATGAGTTAAGTGACAGAAACTTAATAGTTATCAAACTATATTGTAAAAAATAAAATATTAAACACAATGTAATAATCAATATCAAAAATTCTATTTTATACCTACTGCTCATAAAACTTATTTGTAATTTGAAATATGAAGTCCCTCTACTTTAGTCATACTAATAATGACAAAATGACAAAATGATGACTAATAATGACAAAATAATTGACAAAATATATAAATAAAATTATATTATATTTCACATATAATAAGTATATTTTAATTTTTTGAATTTATAATACCAGAAAAATTGTCCTCTAAGCCTGTCTTCCAAAGCACATTGAAAACTAGATGACAACTAACTTTCATTTCTTACTATAATAACCTCGAAATGTTTGACAAAACATCAAATGAGTAAATAAATAACCGACTCTTACCTTCTTATTTGAATTTATAAATAAAATATAATTAATAATGTTACCGCTATCATTATTGAGAACCGCCCAGAACCATCCGATGCTGGTGGAACTCAAAAATGGCGAAACATACAACGGACATTTAGTAAGTTGCGACAATTGGATGAATATAAATTTAAGAGAAGTTATTTGCACGTCCCGCGACGGAGACAAGTTCTGGCGGATGCCGGAATGCTATATCCGGGGTAGCACTATCAAATATCTTAGAATACCTGATGAAGTTATCGATATGGTTAAAGAAGAGACTCAAGTTAAATCCCGCGGGCGTGGAGAGATTTCTAAAGGCCGTGGTGGTCAGAACATGAGATCTGGCAGAGGTGGCAGCCGTGGCGCCTTCGGTAACCGTGGTAGACCGGCGCCTTTGTCACGCGGAGGCGGAAATGCTGGCCGGCCGCAGAACAAGAACAAAAAGTAGCGTACTAAGTCTTTCGTATATTAAATTATTTTTAAGCATCTCTTTGTTTTATTTTATGATTTTAATGAACTGTTTGACTGGTTTTTTTAAATGTTGAATGCTGTAATGCTTATTTTCATTGCTTTATATAGAGAAACAGTAGAAAAGTGTTTTAAAGGGTTAGTTTGAGTTATTACTTATAATACCTAAGCATTTTAGTCTTTTATATACAAAATCTAATATTGAATCCGTCAATGATAATTAAACCTACTAAAAGATTTAGGCCTGTCATGAACTAACATAAATTTGTTCTTAGAATGTACTTTTAAAGTAGCACTTGTAGGATTGTTTCAAATTTGTTTGATGAGGAGCTTGTAAGGTGGAGGTGAGCGTTTAGCGTTAGGTAGGTGCCCCTTAAACCTACACCTGGGTCACAAGTCACAGTCACTGTTGAAGCTCCTCTCACTACAACGATGGACCCGACACACGCACCGTGAATACATTGAATGATGAGAGGTTTCGTCTCTTATTACACAACTCTAATGGTCATATAATAAAATGGTGGTTCATAGTCTAAGGAATTAGATTTTAATTTTATTGCCTTTTCATATATTGCAATACTAAATAATTATAAGCTGATCTTGCAACATCACTTGTATGCAAATTTGCTTTATTAGTTTAATGAAAATAGCATTGAATAAACTTACACATGTTAACAGTAAGTGAAGATTCATCAAAAACCATAAGCAATGTCAAAGATTAGCCAGAATAAATGTACCAAAAAATAAACTATAGTTTTGAATGTATAGTATTCATATATATAATGTTGATTTAATAAAAAATAACAAAATATTACACATAGTAGGTTAAATAAGTAACTTTCATGAGTATATAAACGAGTATATAATAGTTTTTAATGTGATACTAATACATAATGATGATTCATGCCTCACAGAATCTAACATGTGATTATAAAATGACTCATGATAACTAATGTACAGAGCTCCGATGGTTCACAAGCAATAGAAGGACTCAGTACAAGACTACAGATCTTTATAGAAAAATAATTAACTAATGGGTACTTTAATAAATCAAAGAGAAGGGTTGCTTATAAAATATATACAAAGTGATAGTCAGTTAGACTTAAGCTGAGCTTTGCATTTGTGTGAGTGAAAGTAAAAGTAGAGTTAGACAAAAAACTTTTACAATTAAATTCTATTATATTTTAAATATATGTTATGTATCTATAACATAAGTGCTAGATCTTTCTAGACCAAAACTAAAATAAACAAAACTTGTAAAAGATCAGGTGTAAATATTGTGGAAAAAAAATATAACGATTAATAAAAATTTGAAATAAATATACAAATTCTTCACTTGACATTGCGTTTTCAACATTTGATATTGCTACCAGTACATAGGGTGAAGTGAGGAAGGTACGGGGCGGAGTAAAAGCAGAATAAACCGGTTCAAAACTAGAAAACAACATAGCATTCAATAATTTGACATCACACCTACACTATCCGTGTACACTCACACAAATGCAAAGCTCAGCTTAAATCAAACACACTATACAGGAACGCTTCTCAAACTACACTAAATATAAAATTATGGGTAGTTAATAAAACTCATTTCATATTTCATGATTATATTCGAGTACATATTACAGAAAACTGTTTAATAAAGTCATAATTCGTCAAAAATTATATTAGAAAAGTTGTCACCTTAGTTACAAATTCTTCAAGTAAATGGCTACATTGTATTTGAGAGTAAAATTGATATTTTTCTCTATGAAAAAATAAATTTAGAAAAATAATTCAATTTGAATAATTAATATCACAAAACAGCTGTTTTAAAGATATTTTTTGGTTGTATTTAGTTTTTAATATGAATGAGTTAAATAACAAGTAATCATATATATATATATGTTTGTAGTTACAAATGTTTTTTTATTGAAAGCAATATGAAATCAAATAATTTATAATCCCATTGAGGGATCTTTCAATCATTTCACTTAATACTTTACAATAGAAAAATTTACAAAATATTTTGATATATGAGCGCATCATTAAAATCAGTTTGAGATATCGGATAGTTAACGGTCTCAGAGACCGATTAATAAAACCGGTCTGAGAGACCGATCGATTTTAATACACAATATATCCGGTCTAGTACACTTAACACTAAGTCCGGTCTAATGGACCGAGCTCCTGGTATCTTCATCTCGGTCTCACAGACCGCAAGTGCCGTAGCGCGCACCTCGCGGCTGTACCCTTAGCGATGCGGTAGTTACGACCCACACCTTTAAAGGAACCTCGACCGAACACTTCAACACACACACGCACACGACGACCGTCGGCTAGACGTTCAGGTTTACTGGAAATACAAAATATATATATATATATATATATATATATATATATATATAATTTAACGTAATTAACATATATATGTAATATTTAGTAGTTACTCGGTATAACTCCTCGTGTGAAAATCCCATTAAAAACGATCCAGCTCTTTTAGAGATAAGTTGGAACAACTACTACACACAGATACATGAAAAATAAACATTTATATACATATAGTAATATGTTGTTATTGTATATAATGAACAATAACAATACAATTAAAATTAACATATTTGAACCGAACCTTTAAACTCCCGAATTCACCCGAAGTGACGTTAAAGAGATGACATTTGGTTTCACTTTTACGAGGGAAAGTATTTGTTGAAACGACTTGTGTGTTTGTAAAATGAATTAAACTTATTTAATGTGTATTGATTTCAGATAATAATTAGTTTGTTCTAGTTAAAGTTTTATTTATTTAAAAGTATTGGATTTATAAGACATGTATATTTTGATGATTTTGTTAGAATCCTTATTGGTAATGAGTAATACATATGTATATATTTAATACTTGGTATTCTCTCTGGTAGCTTTTCTATTATTAATGTGTGACACTATGGTTGAGTAATGCGCCTTTTTGTTTCAGTTTTGTAACAGTTTATTTCTTAAATAACTATGAACAATACAACGATTGTTATTCTTCATATTAGGAATCCTATATTAATAAGTGTAATTTGAAAGTTTTCCATCAATTAATCACTAAATGGCGAATATTTTTGACTCAAATACAACTTTATTGTCTATTCTAATATATATATGAGTAACGAAATGACATTTCATTAAATATAAATTTGCCGCGCTTCGCGTTTGTAACTTGTCGACCAGAGACGCGTCACTATTCACTAATGGCGGATTATGTTTAAGTTTTTGTTCACTTTATGATTATTAAAACGTGTAGAGAGATAAACTAATTAATAATTGAGGAGGTGATATTAGTGGACTTTAATGTCGTTTCTTTGTATTTTCAGAGAAACAAATTGTGGTTTGCTTTGAAAGCTCTCGATAATATTCCTTATATAATAATGAGTTCATCTCACCCAAACTTGGCTGTATCTGGTTCAGCTTCTAATAGTTCTCTCACAGGTGACTTCGGAGCGGCCGCACTGAACGCGTCTAGCTCGGCACGCAGCAGGCCGCCTACTGCTCTCCATACGGCCGCTAAGGACATACCTACACACACAAATACACATACATATATATACATGTATAAATACATAAAAAGTAATAATTAATATTCATTAAAGTTAAACTTTTAATAATCCTATTATATTATATCCACCTGTGTCATGTCGCGTTACAGACGAACAGTGAAATAGTTATAAATAGGTTTTAAACTATAACTTAGGCCAATAATGTAGTTAAATTCGAAAATGCTTCACGGTACTTATTTTAATTTGTGAATTAATAAATATTGCAGCTTACAAACTTCTAGCATTTAAATTGAAAACGATGTTATTTATTATGTATTAATATCGGACTTTAAACGATTTGACTTGATCCTCTTTCGTTCTCAGATCATACGTTCTTAGAACTCCTATAAAAGTTCGTAGAAGAGGGACACTTATTTACCAACCTACCTAGATACATACATGCAAACCTAGATACCTACCTATCTACCTAGATACTTACTCAACTATCTGCCTAAATAGCTATCTGCCTACCTAGATACCTCTCCTTACTAAAAATATATCTTAAATCAATTGCCTATCTTCTTTGTACTATATATTTATCACTCACCAGAATCAAGAAATATAGCCCCAGCGACAGACTCAAACAAGTCTCCAAGAGCTTTCGGTACTTCTACGTCCTCTGCTTGCTCCATCTCATCCTCTTGTATAAGATAATGCTGTAATAAATACATCACAATATAATATTATATGAAACCAATATATATATATGAATATATGAAAAACTTTAGAACAATAATAACGCATATGAATATTTTAAATCACATTTGTGTGAATAATTTTCTGTACATATTTAAAGTGACTTGAAAAAAGAGGATGTTGTCAAAATAGAATTTATTATCAACTGACAAAATTTCACAATTATAAGTTTGAAATCATCAACCCGTCTTGAGCGAGCGTGGTGATTAATGCTCTAACCTTCTCCATGTGAGAAGTGGCTCAGCAGTATGCTCTGATAGGCTGATGATGATGATAATACTACTAATATTATAATTGCGAAACTTTGTGTGTGTGTGTATGTTTGTTACTTCTTCACGCTCAAACGGCTGAAGCGATTTTGTTAACAGGAAGCTGACGTCCGGGAATGACACATAGGCTACTTTACATCCCGGAAATCTCGGTAACACCGCGGGGCGCAGCTAGTATATACATATATGTGTCTTAAGATGATATCTGATCAAAATATGTAGTGTTAGAATTTTGAGAAGCAATCTTTGAGACATGACTGATGTAGGTCCCCAAAAAAATTCTGTTTTTTTGTATTTCAATCATTTTTAAATTAGAGGAATTAAAATACGTTTTTATACTTCGAAGTCCTGAGTACAGAGTCTTCAATTTTTTTGTATGAATGTCATTTGAATGAAAAAAAACTTGATTGAATTTTACTTTGTAGACTTGCAAGTTATATTTTTTTTATTATTATTATTAAATCTACTACATGATAGTGATGTGTCTTATCGATAAGTGGTATCGGGATTCACTTCATTATTTAAATTACATAATAGTAAAGGATTTTTGACATTAAGACTATACGTCATAATAAATTATCCCCACGATACAGGTCTCCTAGTGTGGGGTCCAAAGATAATCAAAATTTTAAAATTACTAAAACCATAATGCACCTCAACCAATGGAAAACATTGTAATAGTTTAAGTTTAAGAAGGTAAATTGTGTCATATGTTAATCTATTAGGTAAGCATTGTGTTTTTCAATGTAGTCTATTATTATTATTAAAGATTTGGTTGATTAACCCATAAATTATAGATAGAATATTAGCTATATACATATATAACATATAAATACGGACATTTTTATAAGTTATTATTATATCTGACCTCTTCACTAATGGAGTGTCCATTCTCTTCTTGAATTTTAACATACTTCGTCAACACTTCGTTGAGGCCGGGAGACATGTGGCGGAAGTATCTGGAAAATAATACAAATATATATATATATACAGGGTGACTGGTGAATTACTATCGATATTTGAGGACGTGATATTTGACGATCATATATGACAAAATAAAAATTAATATAACATAAATATTAATAAACTTCTTAGTAAAGTTAACCAAAAGTTATGTAATTAATTACGCATCGTGTGAACACCCTACAGATTAGGTATACACTGACACTCACACATACGCATGTCGTGACGTAGTGTTGTATCAATACGTCGCCGCACGCGTCCACACTTGAACACTTGGAACGTGTCAACACTTTACTTATTTATACGGAAATTTTGTCAAAAATTAAGTACCTATTTTTTTTACATAATTCGAATGAGAATCATGTACCGAGTATGCTCCTTAAATATTGATAGTAATTCACCAGTCACCCTGTATATATATATACTAGTTGCTGAACGCGACTTTGTCTGCCTTAGTTCCATAATTAGTAATGTACAGACCAGACGAACTCTGTTCCTTAAAGACAGTAGATAAGATTTTGTATTTGATCAACTTATATTTCTTCAATCGCATGTAAAGTACCCTATGTCCTTTCTATGTTCTAATCTATCTCTCCACCAATCTTCATCCAAACCCATACAGTCGTTAGAGTTATAAATAGTGTAACTAACACGACTTTCTTTTATATAAAGATAAACTAGTATATTAATCTGATGAAAAATGAAATATAGTGAATTTTACAAAACATGGGCTAAGGAAGAGACAAAATCGTAGAACATTCCATAAAAACAAAAAAAATACATTTTAAATTTCTGTACATTGATTCTTATATATGTATAATATGTTAAAACCAATATATTAACATTTCTGCCTACTTATCCTCTCAAATTTTTTCCTATACCAGCAAAAATTTACTCCTACTATCAATTACTTAATACTATGTGTAATATCCCTGGTCCTATATGTAAATATAACTAGTCACTGTCTCATTAATACCCCGCCTAGAGCGACGCACGTCCCCGTTCTGCGTCACGCTAGTCGTGACACTGCCGAGCGCATGCCGCCCCCTCTAGTGGGGTACGTGAGACAGTGTATTATATCTATTGTATAGATACATACACTACACTATGTAAAGAACCTTAATAATTTATTTGTTTTATTTAATACTTTTTTGTACACCACAATTACAATACAAACAATTACAAAAAAATACAAACAAAAAACTAATCGTGAAACAAAAGGCGGCCTTATGGCTTATTAGCCATTTCTTCCAGACTACCTAGAGTTAGAGGATTGCGTTTGGAAGACAGTATAGGGTGGTGCAATTTTAAATATTCTTAAAATAATTACAACCTCAACACATACAAAAATAAATAACAGTAATAAATATTCAATAATATGCATACGTACATACATACTTACATTAATATGGACTATACTACTTACTTGTGAAAGCCGTGTCTCGCCGCTAGTGTAGCGAAGATCGTGTTATTGACAAGAGCTGATCTGAGGTCGGTGAGCGCGCCCGGAGAGTGGCGGCGAGGATCCTCGTATAGATGACGCGTTATTAGATAATCTGCGAGCATGGATAGGTATGAGATAGATAGATAGATAGATAATGTTGATTCCCAAAAGAGGGTTGATGTCACGCAGGCGGCCGGTCGTAAAAACAAATAGCCAAAACTAATCACAACATGTAAGGCAGATCCTGGCTATAGCTGGGAAATTGACAGGTAGAAGAAGAAGATATATAGATAGATAGATAGATGAGAAGTCGTTTAGGAATTGGGCCTAAGTTTAAATGGGTAGAAATTTGGAAGTACAAAAAATGATCGTTAGATTTAAGATGTACTGATTCTTCAGCTAATGGAAGTTTTAGTAAGTTGAATTGGTAATAACTTAATACATCAAATATCAATGCAGTGGAAGAAATTAATGAGGAAATTTTTAGATTTTTGTATGGATTCCACTTAATCCTTAAATTTGATACCATCATCATCGTCAACCTATCAGAGCCCACTGCTGAGCCTCTTCTCACATGGAGAAGGTTGGAGCATTAATCACTTACGCTCAAGACGGGTTGGTGATTTCAAACTTATAATTTGATAAGTCCATGTTTCCTCACGATGTTTTCCTTCATTAATCAGTGATGTCTAAATACTCTTAAAGTACATATGACTCGGAACATCACATTGGTCTTGCCAGGATCGAACTTATCCTCATGCATGAGAGGCGGACCTTTAATCTTTAGGGCATCACGAAATTTTGGATTCCACTAAATTCATCAGATCAGATTATTATATTTAGGTTCTAAATACATTACTTACCGAGAATAGCGTCTCCCAAAAACTCCAATCTCTGATAGCAGTCTGTGAGTGTGTTATTGTGACACGACGCGTGCGTTAGCGCAGTTAGTAGCAACGAACGATCACGGAAACGATATTGCAACGTAGCTTCTAACGCGTCGTAACCTAAGAAGATTGACAATAAATTATTATTCACTAGTTTTTGCCCGCGACTTCGTCCGCGTTAGTTTCGTCATTAGTGATATATGTATAGCTGAACGGGCGAACTCTATTCCGTTTTAGAGGCCATTAATAATCAGGTTTTTCCTGTTTCAATCGAACAGAATGATTGACATATTAGTTAGTTGTCAAATCTAATGTCAAAAAAAACGTTTGTATGGGAAATAGAAAAGGGCTGTTTTTATGCTTTTCCCAGAAATGAATCAATTTTTTTCAGCTTTTATACCTTCCCTGAACCTCCACAAACATTTCAAGACTAAGATAAGATAAACCCGTTCAGCTGTTCTCGAGTTTTAGCGAGACTAAGGAACAGCAATCCATTTTTATACATATATATAGAAGAAAAAGATATAACGACAACTTACAAAACATACACTATTTATGTATTTTAAAATAAAGGTAATTACATTTTTAGCTAAGTGTTGTTTCAATTAAAAGTTATCACGGCATGGAAAAGCACAGTATTTTCTATTAACCATAGATATATCTTAGATTTTAGCAAGTTTTATTCAGTAAATAAATGTCGGTCTTTCATAAATGATAAAAACAACTGACAGACATTCACATCTCGTCTTAATGATCACGGTTGCTGAAAAGTAACAGAAACGTCGGGAGTATGTAGTTTTTACTAAAATAAATTCGCGTAGTATAATCCCAAAAAAATTGGTTTTATTTAGATTGACAATATGTATATCACAATAAAATTCATTGAGAATTTATATTGAGCTTAAGCAAAAATTTTAAACTTAGATAGAGAACAAAAAATGTACTCTTTTGGCCAAATTCCATTGTTTTCATATATATGGGCCACAAAAACATAATATTCATCTGAAATTGTACACTAAAATACAAAAAGACAATATGTAATGATCATTAAATTGAGAAAAAACAAATTTCTTAGCAAATTCTAGTGTTTTCATGCAGATGGGCCAGAAAATATATAATACTAGCTTTCCGTTCGCAGCTTCGTCCGCGTGGAGTTCGGTTATATTGCGTTTACAAGAGAACCTTTCAAAAGTCTTTGATAAAACTATCTTATGTTCTTTCTCAAGGTCAACTCTATGTCTGTACTAAATTTCATTAAAATCAGTTCAGTGGTTTATGAGTGAAAGCGTAACAGACAGACAGACAGAGTTACTTTCGCATTTATAATACTAGTAGGGATAAACCTGAAATTATATACTAAAAGAAAATATTTAATGGTACAAACATATTTGATTACTTGTAACTATATCTACAGCAGATATACACAGGGTGACTGGTGAATTACTATCGATACTTGAGGACGTGATATTGGACGATCATATATGACAAAATAAAAATTAATATAACATAAATATTAATAAACTTCTGAGTAAAGTTAACCAAAAGTTATGTAATTAATTACGCATCGTGTGAACACCCTACAGATTAGGTATACACACACACAGACGCGTGCGACGGCGTGGTGTTGTATCAGCACGCCGCCACACGCGTCCACACTTAAAACACTTGGAACGTGTCCACACTTTATATATTTATACGGAAATTTGGTCAAAAATTAAGTACCTATTTTTTTTACATAATTCGAATGAGAATCATGTACCGAGTGTTCTCCTCAAATATTGATAGTAATTCACCAGTCACCCTGTATATATACTAACCTGATAGCATTCGTTCCAACTCTCCTTCTGGATCTTCGATGTATCTTAGAAGTGGGGACGGAGGTGATTTCAACGCACCGTAGATTGTCTTACAACAAAAATAATACGGATTTTATTACTCAGAAAAAATAAATGAATACCGCCGGGCGACATCGTTGTATGTATAATATATAACGAGTGACGCCGCTGACTCCGCGGAACGAACACCAAGCCGTGTGAACCAGAAGATTCCTGATACCACACAAGCTATGGAATGGTATTGCTATCCTAACATCGGGTCAATCATGTAGGATATAAGTTTTAATATGTAGTTCTTATTATAATGTACATATACTAGAAGACCCGGCGAACTTCATATCGCCCTATAATCAAGAAATATCTGTTACGTTTTTTTATTTATATTTTTGGAGTTTACCTATTAAAGCCATAAATCTCCGTGTTTTGAAGTGGGACAGAATGATTGACATATTAGTTAGTGGTCAAATCTAATATCAAAAAAAACATTTGTATCAACAACTACTAATAAATTAAAAATTAATTATAAAAACATTGTCCAGCGGACGAAATTGTGAATCTAAACCATTCCCAGATCCCCTTGAACACACACACAAAATTTCATAAAATCGGTCCAGTCGTTTGAGAGAAGTTCAGTGACATACACACTCACAGAAGAATTATATATATAAAGATGTATATATATTGTCTCCCGGCCTCACCTGCACCCACCGCCCGTCTTTATCTTTATAAGGTTTCAAGCTCCCGGGCGGTCTTCCTTCCCAACACCAAGCATCATCTTCTTCATCTCTTACATCTATATGTTTGTCATCTTGTTTATTTCCCTGGAACGTTTAAAATCTCTTTAAAAACATAGTTTCAGCTTCGCAATAAGTATCAGAATTCAACTGCATATATATTTTTAAATATTTTATATAATGAAACTAAATTTTTGATACTACACGTTTTTGATTAGTTAATGACTCTATAATTATGAGATTCGGTTACTTTGCAGCAACTGTGATCATGAACACGAGTTGAGAGTGTGTTGAAATTAATTTTTTGGCAAAGATTTTACAAAAAGTGTTAGAAATAACATTATTTATAATTTAAAACTGAAATATATTTTATACTTGTACTATATTTCATTGCATACAATTTTCAGATACAAATAATAAGGATCTCTCTTGTGATTTTGAAAAGCTTTTTCGTATCCTTCTTAGTACAAGCTTCCTTTTATAAATATTAAAAGAATATCAAAAATTAAACATGTAAATTGTAAGAATAGAAATTAAATGAAAATTGCACTCAAATGTATTCAAGATATAGGTTTATGAGAGTTATAAGGCAAGTACTAAGACAACTTTATATGTGACTATCATATATGTAATATAACTCACCATTTTGACCACAAACGGATGATTATCCGGTAATTCCACCGTGTGTGTAGGTAATACTGTTATGCCGAGCCAAGACATAAATAATAGGGCGCCTCGTGGACCACACTCTAATAAATACGCACCTATCAACGCTTCTACACAATCAGCTATCGATTTATCTGAAAAGTAATTTTAAATACAAGAAATTAAGTAATATAATGCTATTTAACTATAGATTAATGAGGACAAAAAAAGCAAGTAGAAAAAGTGAGTAACATTGAGTAAGTAATAAAAGGAAAATAAATTTTGTTTGTACTAAGAGATCTAGGAATCTAGATAAATTTTGGTATAAATAAATTTAGAGTATTATCATTATAGTATAGTAAAAGTTTGATAAAAACAATTCCTATCAGATTATTAAAGTTATAGGACAATTAAACTAGGAGTTCGGTTATATCGCGTTTCCAAGAGAACCTTTCAAAAGTCTGGGATAAAAACTATTCTATATTCTTTCTCTGTTTTACTGTACTATTCTGTACCAAATTTCATTAAAATCAGTTCAGTGCTTTAGGCGTAAGAGACAGACAGAGATACTTTCGCATTTATAATATTAGTAGGTATTGTGAAAATAGTATTTAGACAATATTCTAGTACCTTTTCTAACTAAAAGTGGATTCAATCTATAATTTTAATATATATTTATGTTGTACCTGGTATACTATGTTCTGTTATTAGGTTGTAAGGTATAAAACAGCCGCTGCTGTCTACTTGCGGCTCGCTGTCTCCATCCTTCAAGTCACCCTGTACATATAAACTACTTTAAGTTGTTCAACAATAGAAGATTCTTAATTAAAAAGATTCTCAAGAAATTCCGTACAATTGATAATAAAGTATAATAAATAATAGGTAAAAAAAGGCTTTTATAGCAAACCGAACTAAAAACTTAAATAATACTGGCGGCCCTAACAAGGATAATGGGAAATTGTTAACGAATTATTGTATTGTGATTGATCCTTGAGACATATTCAAAGTTTGAACTGAAATATTTTATATATTAACGACTTTTAATTTTTTCACAATTTGTAATAAATTAAACACTTAATATATATATATATATATATATATTCCCTCGATTATATACGTACATGATTTTGTAAAGTAGGCGGCGGTTTGTGACAAGGCGGCAACCAGTTATCATGAGGCTCAAACTTAGACGCGATCATACGCTCGCCGAGACGTTTGTTGCGACCCAGACGATATAGATTCAAATTTGAAACCTGAAACAAACAATAATAATAGAAAAACAGGAATTATTAAGTAAAAAAAATATCAAATTTTCTTTTATGTCAAAAGAGTAGACGGTCTACTTGGTCAGTAGACTATCGCTCATTGACATCCGCAATATGAATGTTATGGATGCATTGTCAATTTTAATTATTGAGAAAAAGGGAGGGGAATAGGGAAATAGCAGGAAATGGAGGGAATAGTCAGTGGTGGTCTAGTGGTTAAAAGGCCCGCCTCTCATGCATGAGGGCGCGGGTTCGATCCTGGCAAGTACAAGTGATGTTCCGAGTCATATGTAGTTTCTAAGAGTATTTAGACGTCACTGATTAATGCATTCCCAAAGAGGGTTCATGTCAGGCAGGCGACTGTCGTAAAAAACAATCAGCCAAAACTATAAACATGTAAAGCAGACCCTGGCTATAGCTGAGAAATTGGAAGAAGAAGGAGGGAATATGGAGAAGGAAATTTCTTATTTGTTATTTGAAGAATTAAATGTATAATACCTGCTTGCTTCTCATATGTGATAGTTTTCCTTCATGCACAGCGGGTAAAGCGCAATACAAATACGCTGTTATAGCAAATTTCAAGAAACTGTCTCCTATAGTTTCCAATCTTTCCAAGTTGATTCCGTCGTTTGCGTTTGACATCGTTAAAGCCTAAAAATTAAAAATTTTGTATTAATTATTGTGATTCCAATATTTTTAATGTCAAAATATGTAAATTAGTTCTCTTTTTTGTTACTGTGTCGCTACTCTATCTTTTGCCATTCAATACCGTATTGAAACAAGTTGAAAACTACTTGCTTTTTGCTATTACTCATTCAAATTGCTATATTAAATTGTAGTTTATGTATTCCAAATGATAAAAAAATAGCAACAAAAGCTTATCTGTGATATATTGCATAAATTTAGAGCATAAAGGCATTTAGGTCATTTATGCATAGTTATTCTATGCTATTTAGTATGAAAACTTAATTTAGATGTTTATGTGTATATAAAATTAAAATCATTAACATAAAATTGATATTATATTTTTCATCAGGTGGCAGACCCTGGCTATAGCTGAGAAATTGCCAGAAAGAATTAGATTTTTATCAAGTATAGGATGTAAATAAACTTCTAATTAGTTTTTTCATAATGAACTCACCTGTAGAATAACACTAGGACTTGGCCCCGGGTGTCCTTCCAAATCTGGTTGATAATCAAAATCGAATTCCTTGCCATTAATACCATTACTGTCTAGATAATAAGGTTTAAATTCCTTGTCTCTCCAATTATTAACTCTATCTATATATTTGTCTTTCGTATCGAAGCCAACATTGACTATTTTCTCATTAACATAATCTGGTGAATCTATATCTACGTCTTTCATTGAGAAGCATTGCATCTTTTTTATCTCTTCTTCATTCAAACTATCTTTTATTTCTTTTAATAATACTCTTTTATTTCTTTCTATCGATTCTAATGTGATTTGACCGTTTTCGATTAGTAATAGATTACCGTAAGGAAATATATCGTCTAATAATTCTGTTATATTTTTATCTTTATCTTTTATTTGTATATCACTATTACAATCTTCTATTGTCAATTTATTGTCGCCATTTAGATTGGAATCATTTTTATTTGTTATTTTCAATAGTTCATTATTTTTGTCTAATTCTTTTACAGTTTCAGGAAGTAACTCAATTATAGGCGTATTTTTGTCGACTAAAAATCCTTTTTCCTTTATTTCCGCTTCGTGTTTCAATACTGCGTTCTTGAATTTCTTCACGTACTATAAAAAAAATATAATCTGATTAATGCATTTTCAAAGAGGGTTGATGTCAGGCAGGCGGCTGTAAAAACAATTAGCCAAAACTATTTATAACATTTAAGGTAGACCCTGGCTAAAGCTGGGAAATTGCCAGGTAGAAGAAGAATATTAAAAAATACAAACATCGTCTAAATAATAACTGTAGACTTATATATTACTAGCTTTCCGACCGCAGCTTCGCCCGCGTGGAGTTTGGTTATATCGCGTTACCAAGAGAACCTTTCAAAAGTCTGGGATAAAAACTATCCTTTGTTCTTTCTCAAGGTCAACTCTATGTCTGTACCAAATTTCATTAAAATCAGTTCAGTTGTTTAGTTGTGAAAGCGTAACAAACAGACAGACAGAGTTACTTTCGCATTTATAATAGTAGGATAATGATTAAACATATAAATAAATATTAATAATAGTGTCATTTGATACTGATAATTCGTTATTGGCAATTTTATATAGGGAAAACATTGTATTAGTCTGCGGTTACGAAACTATTGCAGCCCAGTCTCCTAATGATAGAATTTTTATTACCTAGAGGTGTTCATGCAATAAATCAACGACGACAAAGTTTGGGAGAATTTTCTACACTTTAAAACGAGCTACGTTCTCATTCAAGAAAGTTCTACAAATACACAAGAATGAGTATAGAGACATTCGATTATGTTTTACAGAAAATAAGAAGCAATCTGGCATCTAATATTTTCGGAAATCGTTTAAATTAAACGATTTTAACATTTCATTGTCAATTTTCATAATTTCTATATTATTACTGTGACGAAAATGCAACACTATTGTATTGGCGCGACCGGCGAAATCAAAATAGTTTGTTTCGTACCCGCAGACTAAATGTTTATTTACTTAAAAAATCTTGAAAAATTTGCTTATCTTACTAATATTATAATTCCGAAAGTTTATGAGTGTGTGTATGTTTGTTACTTCTTCACGCTCAAACGGCTGATTTTGATAAAATTTTGTTAACAGGAAGCTGATGTCTAGGAATGAGACATAGGCTACTTTACATGCCGGAAATAGTACTATATAACCCACCTCTTCCGGGGCGTTTCCTTCTCTCAACACTTCCCCCCACTCCTTCAAGTCTCGAGCATCATCTAATGCGTCATTTTGAGGAGCGGGCGCTATAGGTCTTCTTCGTTCTATATCTACAGCCTCTGCTTCGTGAGCGGTTTTGTATTCTATTCTGACTCCCATCGCCGCTGAAAAATATAGTATGAATATATATATATATATATATATATATATATATATATATATATATATATATATATATATATATATATATATATATATATATATATATATATATATATATATATATATATATATATATATATGCTAATAATATACAAGTTTTGATCTATTATATCAGTTAAAATTTAAAAAATAGAATAGATTTTTCTTGTACATTTCTTAGGTACTGATATATACAATATTCTTTTGAACAAATTATATTGAACACACACACATATGTATAATATTTGTTCAATATCTATATTAAGTTGTTTTACAATATATGTTCAAGCAAGATTTGTATATGATAAACATTCAATAAATTATATCATTGTATATATTAGAACATAAGAAAAGTTTAAGAAAACCTTTTCTTTTTTTAGTTTTAGTGAGATAGAACAAAATATTATACAAAAAATCATGTTATTAACGCGAAAGTATGAAGTATGAAAAATATACATATAATGTATTGACTTTAAAGATATTATTTATCATTATTTATGAATTGTTTTATAGTTAAGTACCTTAAATATATAACAATCAAAATGATATTATTAAAAATATTTTGCTATATTTAACTAGATATCTATCCAAAATATTATAAATCCATTTCAGACTCACTAAAACCTGTATTTGGTCTCTTTTAAGAGTTTTTGATATTTCCAAAATTGAGTACTTTAGCTCTATTATTATATTTTCATTATATTCGTAAGTATACTGCTGTATATTTGTTTTTCATCATCATTATCATCATCATCCTATCACAGCCCACTGCTGAGCCTCTTCTTACATGTAGAAGGTTTGAGCATTAATCACCACGCTTGATCAACACGAATTGGTGATTTCATACTTATAATTTGTTAAATCCATGTTTCCTCACGATGTTTCCCTTCATCTATCAGTGATGTCTAAATACTCTTATAAAGTACATATGACTCGGAACATCACTTGTACTTGCCAGGATCGAACCCGCGCCCTCATGTATGAGGCGGACCTTTAACCACTAGTCCACTATGTATGTTATATGTATATATACTTACCGTTAGTATTTTTGCTGCTACAGAAGCCGGTCGTATCCATATCATCATCGCTATCAGACATATTTGAATCGTCGGTATCAAAATCGCTGTAAAATAATATATTTTCTTTGAAAAAATGGAAACGGTACTTCTGTTATGAGATTTAATACTAGTATTTATGAAAAAAACTAATATTTTCGGTTTTAATTGCTTTTTATTATTTTAATCTCACCTCATCTAGTCTTAATGATCACGGTTGCAAAGTAACCGAAACGTCAGGAGTATGTAAATAATAAAAAAAAAACGAGTAGTATACGAAAATATTAGTTTCATTTAACTTCTATTAATATTAAAAGAAAAAGTAATTTTAGAAGGCTCAGAACATCTAAAGTACATATACTCTTAATATATAAAGAAATGTTTAAATGGTAGTTAAATAATTGTAACCATTTTTATTATTTACTAGCTTTCCGCCCGCAACTTCGCTCGCGTGGAGTTCGGTTATATCGCGTTTCCAAGAGAACCTTTCAAAAGTCTGGAATCAACTCTATGTCTGTACCAAATTTCATTAAAATCAGTTCAGTGGTATAGGCGTGAAAGCTCAACAGACAGACCGACAGACTTATTTTCTCATTTATAATATTAGTAGGTGCAAGTACCTGCCAAAGAAATCTTTAAAAATTTTTTCATTGGATATAAAGTTATAGATACTTTATATAGCGTATCTATGAACTATAGATATAGATAGTAGGTTTACAGAAACATTTGGTGAATATATTATTATTATACCTGGACATGTATGAACAATCGCTGTCAGCCATAGAGAACGTTCTGGTAGGATTGAAATCATTTTTAGGTTTGTCTATGGGATCAGACCAATTCGCACCTCCTGTAAAACAAATTTTAATTATATACATACTAGTTTTATAATGATCACGGTTGCCAAGTCCTAGCGGCCCTTTACACACGACACCGGCACTAGAACATTACACTACATACTCGTTTATATTAATACTTGTTAACAATAGGAATGTTCTAGAAAACGTGTAGATAATAGTTACGTCCACTCGTCACGAGATGGCGCTGCTCAACGTCGAGGAGATGACACCTCTCATCATTCCATATATTCACGGTGCGTGTGTCAGGTCCATCGTTGTAGTGAGAGGAGCTTCAACAGTGACTGTGACTTGTGACCCAGGTGTAGGTTTAAGGGACCCCTATCTAACGCGTTAAACGCTCACCTCCACTGTACAAGCTCCTCTCTCTAACAAATTTGTAAATAACCTACTAAGTCTGCTTTTGAAGTACATTCCAAGAATAAATTGATATTAGTTCTGGACAGACCCAAATATTTTAGTAGGTTATATGGCGTCCTCATTTTAAACGTAGTATTTATCTAAATGATTGCATACTACAATATATTGTCCAACTAACATAGACTACTTATTTTTTTTTTGTTTTTCCACTTCTTTTACGATTCCCAATTAATTACTATCTCTCTATCTAACCCAGATGTAGGTGGGGACCCTATCTAGAAATTAAAAACGCGTAGTATATAAAAAATATTAGTTTTTTATACTTACCAGAGCTTGAAGTACAGAAAGTAACATTTGGTGGCAAAGGTTCCATTAATTCATCGAGCGGTATCGAGGACGCCATATCATTACTCCATGTGCCTATTTCGAAACCCTGTACAAATAAGATTAGATTACAAACAACACAAGTGAAAAAAAATTATATAATTTACAATAGTTACATAATTTTGAAGTGTAACGTCTTATGCAACTTTCAAAAAGGTTGCATTAAGCGTTTAACGCCACTGAGGGGGAATAGAAAGATACGAAGCGAGAGTAGTGAGGGTCAATAGTGACTTATAAGTAATGTTAATCAAGTTTGTTTTAGAGAAACATTAAAAATTCTTTATAAATCAATTTCTACTCCTTCCTATTTTCATTCAATTACGAAATTTCACTTATTTCAAGTATTTAAGAATTATTAGTTTTATTTTTTTGTTGATTTTTTTAATTTCGTTTAGGTATTGTTAAGACACAACATAATATAAATCAACAATTAATTTCTTAGTCTAACCTCAAAACAAACACTCATTGACTTCCTGGTACTTAACAACGCCATCTGCTGTTGTGTCGTTAGAGCAATTAGTAAAAACAATTAGAAACAAGTATTACTATTCGCCAATATATGTCAGGGAGAGTCATATTTTTAAACTTCTTTTTGTTATTTTTTAATAAAATAACATTTTCTAAAAATGATTCCTAACTAGCTCGATTTAAACCCCCTATATACTAAATTTCATGAAAATCTTTGGAGCCGATACCGATTATACATAAATATGTATACAGGAATTGCTCATTTAAATATATAAGATACTAGAAGACCCGGCGAACTTCGTATCGCCCTATAATCAAGAAATATCTTTTACGTGTTTTATTTATATTTTTGGACTTTACCTATCAAAGCCATAAATCTCCGTGTTTTGAAGTGCGACAGAATGATTGACATATTAGTTAGTTGTCAAAACTTATGTAAAAAAAAAAGTTTGTATCAACAACTACTAATAAAATAAAAATTAATTAAAAAAACATTGTCCAGCGGACGAAATTTTGAATCTAAACCATTCCCAGATCCCCTTGAACACACACAAAAAATTTCATTAAATCGGTCCAGTCGTTTGAGAGAAGTTCAGTGACATACACACTCACAGAAGAATTATATATATAAAGATATACTCACATTCTCAGCATCTTCTTTCTCTTGTAATATATCATTAATAGTCTTCTCTTTGACTTCTGTTTTTTCTTCTGTTTCTTTCTGAATATCTTTCTCAGTATCTCTGGGACAGCCATCACTGTAGAAGATAATATTATTTACTTCTTAATATAACAGATATCAATATAAATATAATTCTTATAAACTGAAAGTATAAATCAAAAGTTTTATCCTAATCTGTTTAGATTTCACTTTTAGGGAATGTCACCTGTCAATTACATGTCTACCAATACAATAAATAAGATTTTTTGTTTTATAGTTATTACTAGCATTCGTTGTGAAAGTTTACTTATGTAGAAATATTTTTTTCCATTTATATACAAAATTATATCTCAAACACAACATAGATAAAATCTTTAACAATATTACTAGCTTTCCGCCCACATCTTCGCCCGCGTCGAGTTCAGTTATATCGCGTTTCCAAGAGAACCTTTCAAAAGTCTGGGATAAAAACTATCCTATGTTCTTTCTCAAGGTCAACTCTATGTCTGTACCAAATTTCATTAAAATCATTTCAGTGATTTAGGCGTGAAAGCGTAACAGACAGACAGACAGAGTTACTTTCGCATTTATAATATTAATAGGGATTGTATATATTTATAATATACTAGCTTTCCGCCCGCAGCTTCGCCGTGTGGAGTTCGGTTATATCGCGTTTCCAAGAGAACCTTTCAAAAGTCTGGGATAAAAACTATCCTATGTTCTTTCTCAAGGTCAACTCTATCTCTGTACCGAATTTCATTAAAATCAGTTCAGTGGTTTAGGCGTGAAAGCGTAGCAGACAGACAGACAGACAGACAGACAGAGTTACTTTCGCATTTATAATATTAGTAGGGATAGTTGTTACCTTATTTCATTGTCTTTTTTCTTATCTCCTTTATCTGAATCAGCGTTTAGAACCTGTACATAGAAAATAATATCATTAATTAATTCACATATATTTATGTATATTTGTTCTTTCTAATCTCTGAAAAAAAACTGGATCGATTTTAATGAGATTTTCACTCGAGGTTTCTAATGTTATAAGTAACTACTAAATATTACATAGATATATATTATATTCGTTTTGCTAATATAATGATTCGTTATAACACTTTAAGACAACATTGTTCTAGTTAAGGTACGATTTGTTATTTAAAAGTACTGGGTTTATAAGACAACCATATTTATTTATGATTTTGTTAGAAACCTATATACATATTTACATGTATGTATGTGTATGTGTAATTGTGTGTGTGTATGTATGTTTGTTCACCTCCGCTAAGCTCCACCCAAAGTCCAGCGGTGGCCATGATATATCATCTCTTGGTTGCCCAACACCTACATCTCTTGACACAGCGCGTCTTACTTCATCAGCTAACAGCAATGCGTTTATACTACACAATGACATTATTTAATATATATATATATATATATATAGATAAGTTTATTTGTATATAATAATATTAAAAATATGAAAAATACTGTTAAATACATCAACAATATATATGTGCGTCTTCAATCATCAAAACGTAATTACTGAGTAAAGGCCTCTCTTCACATGGAGAAGGTTTGAGCATTAATCACCACGCTTGCTCAAGACGGGTTGGTGATTTCAAACTTAACTCTTATATAGTACATATGACACGAAACATCACATTGGTACTTGCCAGGATCGAACCCGCGCCCTCGTGCATGAGAGGCGGACCTTTAACCACTAGGCCATCACGACTATATATATATATATATATAATTCGAACCCACATACCGGTATAAAGCACATGGCAGAGCGACTGCCGCACACCACAGCGGCGCGGCGAATGGATGTCTCACACATAGCTCTGCAACCAGGATCTGCTTCTGATCCAGACGATCTCTCTTGGCGCGACGAGTTCGCTCCGACGATACAGGCAGTGCTACGCCTTTACGATTCACGTATCTGGAAAGGAAATTATTGAATGTATTGATTAAATCATTTTTAGAGCATTTTTAGAGTATATTGAACATTAGAACATGCTATATGTGTTGAAATCAGCAGTTTATTTATCTTATTTAAAATGGTCAAATATTATTGATTGAGGCACTTCATTAATTGTGATATTGTTATTGACATAGTAAAAGTCCTTTTTTTCTTACATAGATACTCATTAAACTTTTAATTTGTGTCATCCAAATCACGATATTATATCTTATACATACTTTCAATACCCATTTAGTAGTTTTACCGTTGTAAAGTAAGAAACAAACATTCAAAGTAGTAGAATTTACGTAAAAAAAAGGTCACTGACCTCGGCGTGAGCAAGTTCAGCCTCGCACTCGTATGATCAACATCAAGTAGCGGTTGATTGCTCTGAGTTAGCTCGGCGCCGTACTTGCTTTTGTAGTACGATCTGAAGCTAGCGTGTTGCGAAGACGGGAACGACGAATCAGGAGTTAGATTCCAACATATCTCCGCTACTAGGAAAAACTGGGGAAGAAATATTGTGTTTGAGTATAAGATTTGAGGTAAATTGATAGGTATTTTGCCCAAAATCTACTTGTTTTATCGATTTAAACACATTTAGTTGTAAAAATATAATTGTTTTCGTTTGTTATAAAAGTGTTTCATTGATAGAATAGAGTACATGAGATTAAATGATAAATGGTTATAGAATGTGAGATATGAGGTTAATTGATAGGTTTTTTGGGCCTAGATCTGCTTTTTTATTGATTTAAACACATTTAGATGGAAAAATACGTATTGTTTTCATTTGTTATTAAAGTGTCTCGCTGATAGAATAATGTACATGAGATTACGCGATAATTACACTGCGTTACACGATTTTGGTACCCACGTAAGTGTCAGCTGGAATGAATAACTAATGAGTCACAGATTAAATGTTCCAAACATATGTGGTATCTATCACGTCTAGTTTTCGAGGTACATGCGAAATTATTTTTTCTATTACTCTACACTTATCACTTTAGGCGTAAACGAAATAGTTACCATTTTTGATGTGTCGTAATTTTTTATTATTTTGTTTTGTTTAGTAGTCATTTTTATTGATAACGTCGTTATATTCTTACATATTTCTTTGGAAATCCATTATGAATACTGGACTAGGTGGTCGTCGCAACTGCTTAAATGCATCAAATAAGTTTTGTTATGTTTGCGAACAGTATATTGGGAATTTATTAAATACTGTTGTTTTCTTTGTATGTGGGAAAGCAGAGCCACAGAAAAGAAAACTAATTTTCCTTAAAATATGTTTTAGCATTTAAATTTTTAGTAGAATTTGGCACATTGTTCTGGAAGAAAAATGAGACGTGATGAATGGAAATTTTGTAAGTATTTTTAAACGACTATAAGTATTCATAAGAAAACATGACATTTCAAAGCGGGTACTCAATTTATTTTCCATTTGTAACGCAGTGTTCTTAGTTCCTACGTCTTCTATTTTGCGATATTTTAATTTACATGGAAAACCTTCCATAATTATTCGACATGATATATAGGATCATTCTTTCATTGAAATTCAAATCCATAACAATATATTAAACTAATATTTTCGGACTTTACTTCGCGTTTGTTATTTTTGATTATAAACTACATACTCCTGACGTTTCTGTTACTTTTCAGCAACCGTGTTCATTAAGACGAGATGAAAACGCGAAGTAAAATCCGAAAATATTAGTTTCATTTAAATGAGTACTCGCGAAAATCTTAGATTTCATTAAGTATAAAGAACTTTATTTCTCATAAGAATTTTACATTCACTTAAAATGAGATACAAGGAATATTTGCTAGATAACAATTTTAACAAACGGGCCGTTGGACATGACAGACTTGCTACATTTACTACTACAGCGAGGATATTAAATATTTTTTTAATTTAACCTTAAATATCCCTATACTATCACATAGTTTTATTTCGTCTGGTAGTTTATTGAACAGTTATTATCGATAACAATAATAATTTAGCTCAAAACAACTTTAAATAATCCTTACTTGTGGTTGATCTTGATTTCTATACCAGGGCGTTACAACCGCCTCTTTGTATTTCTCCGCGTCAAACACAAACACTTCTCCCGGTTTTAACAGAGGGTTCTCAATTTTCTTTCCTTTTTTATCCTCTTTCTTATTCTCTTCTGCCCACAACATCGGCTTATCTATATCTAAACATCTCTTCTCTTCTGTATGCTGATATATTAGATCTAAGAATGGCCAATCTATATCTATCCATGTTGTACCATCGGTTGATGTTTCTGAAAATCACAGAGATTTATTTAGAAAATAAACTATATTTTTTCCCATACTAACTTCTCTTAAATGCATTTAAAAATTTGATCTCCAAACAAAAACGTTCAAGTTATACCTAGTTTAGACTAGCCGAAAGATAAAATAGCCCATCTTGACAAAAAATACCATATTTCTGGGCACTTTTATTATGAGCCCATAGTCCATAACTATATGTTCTTATAATGTTAATTACTTACTCTTAACAGTCGGTACTACGTAGTAGTTATTGGGTGTATTATCAGCTAGCTTCATACCGCGGCGACGCACGCGAAGTACGTCCGAGAATACAAACTCCATGAATCTATTGAAAGAAACAAGTTAATTAATTAACTAAGCTATGCTATATATGGGAGGTATGGATGAGCTATGTATGGTTGATAATACAAAATCTTGACAAACACAGTCATCTTCACATATTTCTCTCTATAAACATTTCTCTAGTGTTCCTAAAATAAACTCTGGGTTAACTTATAAAAATATTACATGGTAGAAAGTAATAATAATGCCATTTTAGATGTACTTAGCACTATATTATTTCTCAACTTTCAGACCTTTAACATACAAAAATATATACATATATAGTATACTGACCGTGTTATTCTCGTGACCCTTGTATTCGTGAGCCTCACGTCGGCTTGAGGCGCGCAGCAAACTCTCACACGTACTTCGCCCGAACGAGTGTATATTGGGAATGCGGGGATTTGAAGTCTTGTAGCAATGAAAAATATATATATAGGCACCAATCAATACATTTCGAGATAATATTAATTGAAAATCATATATTGGGCATAATCAATACATTTCGAGAGCATAATACAATAGTTAGTGATTAAAAAATCTATTTTATACACTTTTATTTCAATATATAAAAAAGATACTGTTTATTGTAGTTACTTTACAATTTGCACTATTTTTTAGTTGCAAAATGCTATTATTTCTTTTCATTGTATTAAGAAATATTGATCCATATTTTAATGGCAAAAAAATATTTAGAAGGCACACCAAAGATATTTTAATTGATTTTCCATAGTAATATAATTAATTTCTGCCACTCACCTCGTCCCACCTAACATAAGTATGCCGATCGCTTGACTGGCATTCTGTGGTGCGTGTAATCTTCTACCTCGAGTGTTGTATCTTTCGGGCAGAGCGCAACAAAGACGTGATTCTATCGCGTACAGTGTATTACGAGACACTACGAAAAGATATACTTTAAAATCCCTACTAATATTAGAAATGCGAAAGTAACTCTGTCTGTTACGCTTTCATGATTAAACCACTGAACTGATTTTAATGAAAATTGGTACAGAGATAGAGATGACCTTGAGAAAGAACATAGGATAGTTTTTATCCCAGACTTTTGAAAGGTTCTCTTGGAAAAAATTTCATTTTAGGTTTAGGCGTGAAAACGTAACAGACAGACAGAGTTACTTTCGCATTTATAATATTAGTATATATTGTATACACATATGGTAATGAAATTAAAATTATAGTCTTATAAACATTAATAAACTAAAAACAAGTTGTTTCATATATTTATTTACCATCAGATATATTAACTCACCAACTTTTCCCGATTCGCTAGTATGAGGATTTTTTTCTACGTCTTCATCGGTGTACTCGACTATCGGTCTGCAATTAGTTAAGGCAGCTGCCGTCTAGAAAGAGACAAAAAACAATTGAGATCTAAAAAATAGGAGAAAAACCATATTTATGCAATTGTTTTACTAGAAAACAAAAATCTGGCCGCCTTTAGAGAGTCAATTTGATCAGAAATATGGTAAAAATTGCATACAGAAGGCTAAATTAATCCGTATATGTAACAAAATGCAAATATATTGAAGATCAAAAATATATTTGACCTCCCATCGATTATATATTACATAACATCGCCCAAGTTGCAGCTAGTGATGGCCTAATTAAATAGAAAAGGGCGCGGGTTCGATCCTGGCCCTGGCAAGTACCAATGTGATTTTTCCGAGTCATATGTACTTTATAAGAGTATTTAGACATCACTGATTAATGCATTCCCAAAGAGGATTGAAGTCAGGCAGGCGGCCGGTCGTAAAAACAATTAGCTAAAACTAATCACAACATGTAAGGCAGACCCTGGCTAAAGCTGGGAAATTGACAGGTAGAAGGATCGTCCAAGAAAACATTTTCATATCTAGACAAACTTGAAATTGACCAACTAGCCTTTTAGCAAAACAACTTAGATTTTTCTATGAAAATTTTTGTATTTTAACAACTTACCCGTTTATAATAATACTGCCTCCTCTTCGTTGTACCCGGTCGCGCATTTTCACCCGATTCTTCCAAATTTATATTCTCCATTTCAGCGGCTTTGAAGTTTTCTTTACCTGTGGAACATATTGCAGCTATATTAAGTTTACGCACAAAAAATATTGATAAATTGAATATAAATGAAGAAAAAAGTTTATGCAAGTAATGTACGGTAGATGAACAAAATGACAAAGTAATACAACAGAATTTAGAAACTAATGACTAAATTTTAGATTCGTAGGAAATAATTGCAAATGCGATGGAAAAGATTGCAAATTATGTGAAAGTAAAAATGCAAAAACCTTTACTCGTATACTTTAAAAACAAAATGTTATAACTCCCCTCTATTTACGGATTTTAAAAGTTAGTTAGTCATAGTTACTTTTTTCATTAATAAGAACTAACACAAAATATTCATTTAAATGAAACAAATTCACATCTCGTCTTAATGATCATGAGCAAAGTAACCGAAACGTGGGTAGTATGTAGTCAAAATAATAAAATACGCGTAGTAACACGAAAAATATTAGTTTCATTTAAATGAATAAAACTCGCGAGTCTTAGATCTCATTATGGGATTGTCGTCAACTAATTTACTGGGATCGATTCCCTGGTTGGGTAATATTATATGGGGATTTTTCTACACATAGCAGAAAGGATATTACTCCATATTAGAGCATTATCAAAATCGGTATATCATTATGAAAACCATCAATGACAAACAAACAAGCAAATAATATGTTACGATTTACGAATTATGATTTTGACGGTCGGTGGATGCAATGAAACCAAAATTATTTGACTTAATTTAATTAAAAGTAAATTACAACTAGGCTTCGACTATGTTGCACAAAGGTTGAACAAATAGTGACAATAAATCTAATGAAGTTCTTAAAAGAAATATTATAATCTAAAAACATAAATGAAATATAAAACCAAAAACTGCCTTCACACGGAACTGCTGAGTCAGACCCGTATAGAATAGACGAGTTTACCCAAAAGCTAAGGCGTCCTCTGATTACACCGTATAAAGATAATTATATTTTAATTAAACGACCACTTATTACACCGTCACATAACATACGTACGCGTTACCTATGAACATGTAAATGTTTATGTACATTTATCTATACTAATATTATAAAGCTGAAGAGTTTGTTTGTTTGTTTGAAAGCGCTAATCTCCGAATCTACTGGTTCGAATTGAATAATTATTTTTGTGTTGGATAGTCCAGTTATCGAGGAAGGCTGTAGGCTATATAACATCACGCTACGACCAATAGGAGCAAAGATATAGTGGTAAATGTGTAAAAAACGGGAGAAATTATTTCATCTTTGAAGCCTTCCGTTGCGTGCGCCGTGAAAACGGTTCAAGATACACAAAAAATATGTATTAAAGAATAATAGCTCTTTTAATATCTAAAAAACAGTCCGCGACAGTATATGTCTATTTTTTAAGATTAACTCAAAAACCGTTTTTATGGTACCTAATTTCTCGAAATAATTTGTTTAAGTTGTATCAACATAATAATATTAATCTTTATTGAAATAAACAAATAAATATGTTGTTGGTTAAGAGTACTTCATTGTGAATTAAAAAAAAACATAGGTTATATCCTGAAAATTCTACGGGAACTCGACCATTCCGAAAACCCCGCAAGAACGGGAACTATGTGGGAAGGACCAAAAATCTGCCGGAAGTCACTATTCCACGCGGACGAAGTCGCGGCAAAAGCTAGTTATATTTTAATTAAACGACCACTTATGACACCGTCACATAACATACGTACGCGTTATCTATGAAGATATAAATGTTTATGTACATTTTTCATTTCTATTCAAATAAATAAGTCAAGTCTACTTACCTATCGGTAGTAATTGGTCATCAAGTTCTCCAACGCGATGTAACACTCTACTCGCAAGCAGTGCAGCCATTCGTCTTGCCAAAGATCTCGTTGGCATAGGGTGACCCTAATAATGAACCACAACTTGAATTATATCCTACTAATATTATAATTGCGAAAGTTTGTGAGTGTGTGTATGTTTGTTACTTCTTCACGCTCAAACGGCTGAACAGATTTTGATAAAATTTTGTATACAGGAAGCTTACGTCCAGGAATAAAACATAGGCTGCTTTACATCTCGGAAATCCGAGAGTAACACAGCGGGGCGCAGCAAGTCTTCAATATTACGGAACTAACAGAAAAAATCGACTAATCAGTATAGATTATGACCAAAAATACATTTAAAATAATATATATGAACTCGTATTCTCAAAGAGGGTTGATGTCTACGGCGTCCGGTCGTAAAAACAATTAGCCAAAACTATTCAACAAAGGCAGACCCTGGCTAAAGCTGGGAAATTGCCAGAAGATATATGAAGTCGAACAAAATTAGACTATTAAATAACATAGATTTCCAAAGACTTTATTGACTTTATTGGAAAATTATTATCAATAAATTTAGTCAAAAAACTATTATGATAGTTAAAAGAGGCAGGCTCTTAAAACACCTATATTATATACTCACCACAATATTAAACTTCACGGGGCAGTTCAGCGGCATTCGTAGTGTACATACATACGCGTCCCGCGGCTCTCCTCGTCTGTCCTTCAAAACAACGCGTTCAGTACGCCACTGTGCCGTTAGGCGAGTGAACGTATCCGAGGGTAGTTTACCACAATATCTACACGAAATATGATAAATATCAAATTTTGTATGAAAACCGCGTTTATTTTGGTGGATTTTTAATAATAATTCGTTATTTTTGCATAGTTGACACGAGATATGGCAATATAACATGAAATTTTGGATGAAATCCTCGTTAATTCAATGGTTTCTTAATAATTTGATAATTTTTCAATAATATATTATGAAGATGAAATAAATCTTTTTTAAATCTATATCTATCGATCTAGGTTTAAAAGCTAAAAAAAATTGATTCGTTTCCGGGAAAACCCTAAAAACAGCGCTTTTCTATTTCCGATACAAACGGTTTTTTTTTTGACATTAGATTTGACAACTGACTAATATGTCAATCATTCTGTTCGATTGAAACAGGAAAACCTGGTTATTTATGGCCTCTAAGACGGAATAGAGTTCGCCCGGTCAACTATACATATATTACTAATGACGAAATTAACGCGGACGAAGTCGCGGATAAAAACTAGTTATTATATAAATAAATGTAATAAGTTACTTTTATTTTATGATCTTAAGTACGATGTAGATTTTATATGTACAGAATATTTACATGTAGACATGATTTTTGATCAAGCTAACTATCAATTGTAGTTAATGTTTTTAATAACTAATTAATCTTATTATTATTATTGTTACATACCTATTAATCAATGCTATAGCTGTATTCAAATCCACGCTCGCCAAAGTCTCATCATTACCATTCTTAACTTTATATTCGTACTTAATATTTTCAAGTTTTTTATCGTTTTCGCGAAAATCTAACGTTTTGTTAACATCTGAATCATCTTTGACTTCAATATTAGCGATTGTTTGAGAAATTTCATCAATGGAAGCATTTGCTTCGATTTTATTTTGGAAATTTTCTATACTTTTCATAATATGATTATTTTTATCACCATTGATAATTTCGCTTATTTCTTTATTTACTATATCTTGGTATATCACACTATTTTTTTCTTTGGTACAGTCTTCGTTTTCTGTTATACAATTTTCATCTAAAACTAATTTTTCTTCAATATCATTGATAGAATTTCCTAAACACGGTCCAACTTTATCACAAATTTCTATACTTTCACATTTTTTTATTTTATTCTCTAAAGGTGTATATGATTTAACTATGAATGCTACTGTATCCGCGTGATTTTCTTCTTCCTGCGGAGGTTCATATTGAATTCCGCAGCCGCATTTCCTTGTTATTATCTGTGAAAACAACATATATATACTATTTGCAAAAATATATAACAAGAGGTCATTGACCTATCCCCTCCCTTACCTGATCTAGCTCCCTATAAATAGCGAGATGATGTAATAGTCGATCTGTATGCGTTTCGGCTTTCGAGAGTAAGGTAACCGCTGCACGACATGCGCGTGCTCGACCTCGGCATAAAGCGTGTGATCGATACCTATATAAAATAAAATTAATAGTAATTTTGTATTTACTAATTAATTTTAATATGAAAAATACTCACGAAGGAGGCATATCCCATCTGACTACGAGATTACAACGTGGTAGATCAATACCTTCTTCTAGCACTGATGTGGCTAGTAATAGATTACATTCATGCATACGAAACCTGGAATTGAAATAGTTCATAATATAATAAAATTCAGTGGTGGCCTAGTGGTTAAAAGGCCAGCCTCTCATGAATGCGCGGGTTCGATCCTGGCAAGTACATATGTACTTTGAGTATTTAGACATCACTGATTAATGCATTCCCAAAGAGGGTTGATGTCAGGCAGGCAGTCGTAAAAACAATTAGCCAAAACTATTCACAACATGTAAGACACCTGGTTAAAGCTGGGAAATTGCCAGGTAAAAAATAAATAAATAAAAACTTACTTTTTAAGAACTTCCTCATGTCTTCTATGTTCTTTTGCGTCTCCTTCATCAGTACAATATTGGGCGCATAAATGTGACAGCGTCGGTCGGGAACGGGATAAATCCTATGAAAATTTAAATATTTTTTTTTATAGTACAAAATTTACATTTATAGACGATATAATAATTTCTACATTATATGGGATTGACAGATATTGATCTAATATTATGTTAAAACAAAAATATTCCAATTGAATTCATACTAAATGAACTAAATAATAAGATTCAAAATCATAAATTTTAGTGGTTAAAGAACTTTATCTCTCATAAAGAACATACAATATTAACTTAAATGAGATGTATTACATATTTTAATTTATAATTTAGTAAAGGAGTAACAAACTTATATAATTCAAGAATGCTTAATGTGCAATTAATCTAAGTGCTTTTTACAATAAGTTAATAATTTATTTCTAAAAATCTTAAAGGTTTTTTCATTAAAAATTTCATTATGTAAGCTATTATATAGTTTCGCTCCCTCAAACTGTATAGTTTTAATTCCGTATTCGGTCCTGGTCTAATTTTACATTTTTTTTTTACTTTTTACTAGAATAGGTAAGAAAATTACAACTTACCACTATCAGCATGAACAATATTTTAGCCATCAAAGGCTCCTTCACGAACACAATACCACATAACGCATCCGGGTTTGCCTGCATTTGGACCTTATTCACCCTTGACACTCGACCCCGACCTCTTGACCTATGACCTTGACGTTTGAATTTCGGAGATTCACTCATTATATCGATAACATTATCATTTTTAACACTATCATCAATTTTATTTTCACTTTCACCATTTTTGTTCTCAACTTCCGAACATTTTGTATTTTTTTCTCCTGTATAATTTTCATCATAATCTTTTAGATTAGCTTCGTATATATGAACTCTGTCTTCGATTTTGTTTCCGAGTGTTACGAAATCGCATTTATCTATTTCGTTTAAAAGCTGATTAGTTTTTGATATATCTGTTTTTGTTTCGCTAGAAGGTTCTGAGCTACCGTTTTTGTTAACATTATCTTCGACTTTTTCGTCTATACAATTTTTTAAGTCCTTTTCGTTCTCTAATTTATCAGCTGATTCGTTTTGATAGAATTGCTCCAGAATCTCTGCTAACCTCAGCATTTTCGGAGTCAAGAAAGTTGTTATTTTTTCCCAATCGTTATCATATTTTGACAGAATGCTGTCCGTAAAACACCTAATCTTGACGAATACAGACGTACACACACACAATAGAAGGAAATGTCTCTCATATGGCACTTTGATTTTTAATTTTTCCAATTTAATGAGTAATGAGAACGCTGCTTTATCTGCTGCGTAAGGACCTGGAAATAATTTAAACAAATATAAACAAACTAGCTTTCCGCCCGCAGCTTCGCCCCGCGTGGAGTACGGTTATATCGCGTTTCCAAGAGAACCTTTCAAAAGTCTGGAATAAAAACTATCCTATGTTCTTTCTCAAGGTCAACTCTATGTCTGTACCAAATTTCATTAAAATCAGTTCAGTGGTTTAGGCGTGAAAGCGTTACAGACAGACAGACAGAGTTACTTTCGCATTTATAATATCAGTAGGGATTAGACTATCATAGGAATATATTATAGATTTCCATTAATGTATTTCACAGTCTGTACACGAGCTAATAATGTAAAAAAAGCTCACGCATATATATGTATATGTATATTGCTGAAATTACACTATATATAAGAATATAACATGGTTAGGTAGAGAGAGGAGCTTGTACGGTGGAGGTGAGCGTTTAACGTTAGATAGAGTCCCTTAAACCTACACCTGGGTCACAAGTCACAGTCACTGTTGAAGCTCCTCTCACTACAACGATGGACCCGACACACGCTCAGTGAATACATGGAATGATGAGAAGTTTCGTCTCTTTTATGTCCCAAAACATATTTCGAGTCAATATAGTAGTTTTAACTCACCAAGTTGGTCCAAAACATATAAAAATTGTTTGAATATGGCTTTAGGCTCGAGAGTTGGGTCGGGAATGTTCTTGAATTCTTCATACATGTCTTCGCCGTATATTTCCGTGGGGTCGTACCTGATAACAAATTAACTCATTAGAACATTACTTGTGACACCAATTTTTTCATTTTTTTCTAGCTTTTTTGTCATAGCAGAGACTTAATTCTCGACCTTCCCAAAAGACCCAAGTTCGGGATCATTTGTCGACGAATATTTAATTATTATTGAAGATTTTCTTGAGTGAGACATGCAAAACAATTTTTATTTGACCAATTTACTTGTTTATATTTATTGATTTTTGACATTAGATTTGACAACTAACTAATATGTGAATCATTCTGTCGCACTTCAGAACACGGAGATTTATGGCTTTAATAGGTAAACTCTAAAAATATAAATAAAAAACGTAACAGATATTTCTTGATTATAGGGCGATACAAATCGCCGGGTCTTCTAATAGTCCTATAATTATTAAACTCTTCACAAATCACCATATTTTTCTTACCTGTGTTCATTAATGAACTCCAACGCACTATTCACCGCGTCCCTCATATATTCTTCCAGTTGTATGTAATCTTCTGGTAATTCTGTACTACTAGCACGAGGTCTATACTCTATTATAACCTCTTTGGGTTTCGCCAATGAAGATGACATGCTGAAATTAATTATTTAAATGAAATTAATATTTTTCGGATGTACTACGATGTCTATTTTTGGTAAAAACTACATATTAACGTCGTTTCGGTTACTTTACAACCGTGATCATTAAGACGAGATGTGAATGTCTTAATTAGTTTTTGTACCAAATAGTAGTTTTTAAAATAAATGTGATGAAAAGGATAACTTATCTATCAAAAGAGATTCTATAGGAACCCTTTTGATAGACGAAACTAGGAAAGAAATATGGGACGGATACAATAAATTGAGGGAAGGAAAAAATAAAGATATATAAAGAATACAAAAGAATTATAATAATAGTGAATTTAGATATTATAATTATATAGTATGTTTTGTTTCCTCCATTTATATGATTGGGTCTCTACATGTAGAAATAATTGGTTTTCTTTTTAGTATATTTAAATTTACACCTGTATATTTTTATTTTTTTGTATTCATATATTATGAAGAAATCTCTTACCGTTTCCCACTATCAATATCCTCAGCCAGATCCATCTTGCAGCATAAAATCTTCTCCAATTCTTCAATTTTCCACTCCAATTTCTCGTACAAATCAAAATCATCAATATTATCATTATCACTGTCTGTCTTATCATCATTATTTTCTATCAGTTCTTTATCACCTTTTATTTCTCTTTCGATGTCATCATTATCATCACCGTTGGTTATATCATTGTGATGATCATCATTGTCATTATTATCATTATTTTCGTTATTTTCGTTATTATCATTATCTTTTGGTAACGTAAACAATGGATATGTCAAAGCTAGTATACGAGGTCTTTTACATTCATCGGATTCTTTGTAACAGGACATTATCTGAAACGTTATATATAAATTTTATTATATCCCTACTAATATTATAAATGAGAAAGTAACTCTGTCTGTCTGTAACGCTTTCACGCCTAAACCACTGAACTGATTTTATTGAAATTTGGTACAGAGATAGAGTTGACCTTGAGAAAGAACATAGGATAGTTTTTATCCCAGACTTTTGAAAGGTTCTCTTGGAAACGCGATATAACCGAACTCAACGCGGGCGAAGCTGCGGGCGGAAAGCTAGTTCTTATATATACAAGGTGACTGGTGAATTCCTATCGATACTTGAGGACGTGATATTTGACTATCATATAAGACAAAATAAAAATTAATATAACATAAATATTAATAAAGTTCTAAGTAGAGTTAACCAAAAGTCATGTAATTATTTACGCATCGTGTGAACACCCTACAGATTAGGTATACACACACACACACACATACGCGTGCGGCGGCGTGGTGTTGTATCAGCACGCCGCCACACGCGTCCACACTTGGAACACTTGGAACGTGTCAACACTTTATTTATTTATACGGAAATTTTGTCAAAAATTAAGTACCTATTTGTTTACACAATTCGAATGAGAATCATGTACCGAGTATTCTCCTTAAATATTGATAGTAATTTACCAGTCACCCTGCATAATAAAAATGTTAGTCACGCTGAACTAGTTTGTTTTAGCAAAGAAAAATAGGCTTTTCTTTGGTAGAGTAGTTATCAATAGAAATAACAACCATAGACTTCACTTAATCATTAATATTCAGAAATTTTAAGTAACAAGTATTGTATATTAATTTAAATTTGTTATTAAATTTTGATGATAAATTTTCCAAAGCTTGCCCAAGCTCACGAGATTTTACCGAAAAAAAAAATTATATACATATATGAAAATTTAGATTGACAAAATCTTTTTCCTCAAAGATCTTATGATTTATTTGGTGATGGCAACAAAAATACCCATAAAACCTATCAAGATGTTGCCTATATCAGGGGAAGTGTTAACATTAGTAATAATAGCAACACTCACATATTGCAAATCTTGATCCTTGAATATAAGGTGGCAGCTATCAATTATCAATACATTTATCTGTTGCATACTCAGAATCTTTTCTTCCAAGACGTACTTGAATACCGTCGAAGTACATACGAACACCTGAAAAAAACAACCAAAACAATTAACATTTCTACGTCTTATACATCTACCTTCTTTTGTAACAAAATTTTTAGTTTTTCTATAAATTGTTAAGAAAATTAGTAAATAAGTAAAATGAAACATAGTATTACATTCAATAAATGAGAATTACTATGAGACCTTCTACTTCTTCTACCTGTCTATAACCCAACTTTTAGCCAGGATCTGCCTTACATATGAATAGTTTTTGGCTAATTGTTTTTACAACCGGCCGCCTGCCTGACATCAACAATCTTTGGGAATGCATTAATTATTAGTGATGTCTAAATACTCTTAGAAAATACATATGACTCGGAAAAATCACATTGGTACTTGCCAGGGCCAGGATTGAACCCGCGCCCTCGTGCGTGAGAGGCGGGCCTTTTAACCACTAGGCCACCACTGACTTACATTTAAACTCAATGTATGTAGTTTAAAATTGGTTACCCTACTCTTGAACCATTTCGATAAGGTTAAATCTACCTTCGAACTACCCTCATTCTATCAAACTTTTCAGACAAGTTTTATTCCAACCTACCTCCTTATTTTCGACCTCCATGGCCCAATCTTCAACTTCCTGGATGTCATTGACCCTGCTCACTTTGAGATCCGTCAGTATTGAGAGCTCGTGCGCCGTACATCGAGTTCGGGAAGCGCGTGTTATGTAGAACGATCGTTTACGATCAGATGTAAGAGGACTAGGAATAGAATGAGAAATATATATTAATCTTCTTCCTGGCAATATCCCAGGTTTAGCCAGGGTCTGCCTATATATAATGTAGTGAGAAAATGGTTGGGACAAATATAGGACTATGGAAAAACAGAATGGAAACTTTATCGATAAAGAAACTTTAACAATAATGAGATCTAAGATTTTCTTTTTATTAATTTGAATGAAACTAATATTTTTCGGATATACTACGCGTGCTTTATTTTTGTTAAAAACTCCATACTCCCGACGTTTCGGTTACTTTTCAGCAACCGTGATCACGGACACACACAATGTAATACGAAAAATATTAGTTTCATTTTAATTTGAAGAAGATATTCCAAATATTTTGGTCTCAATAATTTTAATTCCACAATATCAAATCATAAATCTACTTCAAGATCTAAATAAGATCATAAAAAACACAAAATTTGCTTTAGCCATCAAAATAAATGATTTTCAATACATTTAAATATTTTTTAGACCTACCCTCGTATCATATAGGCATGTTCTAACAGTACACTGGTAGCTACGAATGCCGTGTGTTCAGTGACGAGTACATTCTGTGACCCGGCGTTGGCTGCAAGACGCGCGCCCCCCTCTGCCGCCGTGAAGCGAATACTGCTGGACTCCATGATATTGAATGATTATTAACTGTATACCTGTAATAAAATATTAATTCATTCTTGGTAGTACTTCAAAGACAGCCTTATTAGGTGCTTTTCAAATTTGGTTGGGTAGAGAGAGGAGCTTGGATGGTTAACGCGCGTTAGATGGGGGTCCCTTAAACCTACACCTGGGTCGCAAGTCACAGTCACTGTTGAAGCTCCTCTCATTACAACGATGGACAAGACACACGCACCATGAATACATGGAATGATGAGAGGTTTCATCTCTACAGTTACTGATATATAACATTATTAATATATATTGGACTATGTAATAGCAAAAATAGATTTCCGTTAACATGAGAGGATATAAATGCTTTCATTTAACTCAAAACTTAAGTAAATTTATATAATAATATAAAAATAATAAATTATTTGTACTAAACGAAGATGTATCATTAAATATATAAAAATTTACTTATCAAATAGACATTATTCATGTTGTTCTTCTTCTTCTACCTGTCAATTTCCCCGCTATAGCCAGGGTCTATCTTACATGTTGTGAATAGTTTTGGCTAATTGTTTTTACGACCGACCGCCTGCCTGACATCAACCCTCTTTGGGAATGTTACTCATTTTATTCATATATATAAATATCGAGAACAGCCATATTTATTAAGAAATATCTCACTTTTTTAACAAACAGATAATTAATTTCATAATAAAATATAATAAGATTCATCCAAAAAACTATAGTTTCATTACATTAGTCATAAATGAAATCTTGAGTAATCCTATACATTATTTATATAATTTGTTATAATTATGGCTTCTTAAATACACTAATTGTAGAAAATAAGAGAGCTATTGTATTAATATATACAAGCAAACAAGCAAGCATGATGATTAATGCATTCCGAAAGAGGGTTGATGTCAGGCAGGCGGCCGGTCGTAAAAACAATTAGCCAAAACTATTCACAACATGTAAGGTAGACCCTGGCTAAAGCTGGGAAATTGTCAGGTATAAGTATTGCAGAAGTGTCAGCATTGAATTAAAAATTCCCATTCCCAATTGCCATTCTTAAAACCTAGCTCTTATATGCTCCAAATTTTTAAAGAATCTTCTATTTGTGATGTAGAAATTATTTAAAAGCCAAATTTATAATGATTCATAGGTGTTCATGATGGAATTTCATATTTCTGTATTTAATACCACACATAGCAAGACAATGATTTAATTAATAGAAATTCAAACCGCCAAGCATTGAAACATGCAAATCTTTTAAATTGTATATAAAAGTGTGTACATCACACAAGTATGTGAAAACAAATAACAGAAATGAAAACAAAAATGTCTTTTGTTATTCAAATCAACAATATTTTGAAATAACTCTTTTTTAGTATTCAATTCATAAATTGTTGGAATAGCTTAATATTTCTGTAAAAAACTTCAATTTTAGTCACAGTGTATTCACCACTATTCATTCAATGCTATATATATATACATATATGTATATACATACACAGTAAATAAGTTGAATATTAGTTATAGGTAAATGAATTGTCTATACCAATTTAGATACAACTATCGCTGGCAGCTTAGATATAATAAGTGATTTTGCAAATTTTATTCAAGAACTCTATGTATTATTATTAATATAACTATGATAACAGAAAATGAGAGTGTGGCTAATATTTAGTTTAGCAAGTTTTGTGTAGAGTCACAAATGCATACATGTAATGATATTAGTCAATAAGCAAAGATTTCAACAACAATCTGACTAACAACTATATATTAAATATTAGACATAACATTGTATAGGAATAACAAAAATGAGAAATTTCATAATTTCAAACATTATTCCTGAACTTTAAGTAATCCAGAATTATATAAACAAAAACTATCTTTAATCCAGGATTTTTCAAATAAAATATGATTAAAAGTAAATGTAACTCTATACCATAGAACGAATTCATTTAAAAATGTAATAAAAGATTAACTTCAAAGATTTCTTCTCAGAATCAATATCATATCGTATAAAACGGTCACGACTGAGCTTATTTTGTAAACAGATAAAATTATACAAAATAGGTTATTATAGAATAACAACTTACCTTTTTATGATCCTAAGTATGTGTTATTATTAATAACAAACTCTCATCGTACAATACACACTTAAAAACTGATAGCGATTAACCGACAATTTGATTTCAGTCCAAACACGATTTTAACATGCATTTACATTATAAAACATAAATTAATAAGTACAAATGGATATATAGATAGTAAACTGTCCACTACACTCTCAGATAAGTTTTAATATAAGGGATTGTTAGTAAAAACACACAATACACGTATTAAATTAAATTGAAAACTATGAACACTAACTCTGTACTGAACGCAGTTCAATGACATATGCGTTTCGTTACAACAGTAAAAATTCAATTTAGATTTCAAATGTCTAATAAAATTTATGATTCCGTAATCATTTTAATATGGATTTTTTATTTACAAACAAAATTATATGTATAGTTTTCGTTTACTCTTCTTTTTTTCTTGATAGAAATCATAGATCTATTAAATATTGAGTTTTAATGAATACTAAAGTTAAAAGTAATGTGACACGCATTTTAAAGGGGAAGAACTTGTATATGAATCTACGGAAATAATGAAATAAATATAAGTACATACTTAAAACACATATTGCATATTAATATAATGTTCTTTATAGCATTTATAAAAAAAAAATAAAAGTATTCAATGTGTTATATTTTGAGTAATTTAGGAGTTTAACTGAAATACCAATAAATTAATCTGGATCGAAAATAAAAATAATTGTAACTTTTGGATACTTTCCTTTTTGAATTTTATTAACACGAAAAATAATTCTAATAAGAATATTTAAAACCAACTTCATATTTTTTTAAGACGGTTGATAAAAGATAATGGCTATGTCAACATTTATTTGTTTTGACTTTTAAACTTTAAGGTTAGACCAAGTAAAACCAAGTTAGTCAAAAAACTTTGCAACATCTTACATATTTTTAGTATTTATATAAGTAATAAGTTAAATTAGTTTTAATATGGATCTTATTCAAAATCTAGAGCTGGAAATTTTAGAATTAAGAGAAATGTTGAAAAATAAAGAGGAAGACTTGAGAGAAGCGAAACGAAATAAGTTCGTAAGTAATATCCTTCATTATTTTAATTATAATCGTTATTAAAACTATTTGTTTGACTTCAAAAGGATATAACCGAACTTAAAACGTACTATAATCATGTTTTATTGTAGAATTTTTATAATATTTACGTAAAAGTCACATAAATGAGAATTAATATTATTTAATTATTATGAGAATACGGCGTGCTCAATCCCTAGCAATATTCAAACGGCTATTAAAAGCAAACTTCTTCCCCCCTTAAATTTTGTCTATCTGTTTCCTTAATATTTATGATTTTTATTTTTCTATTTATTTTAAACTCCTACTCTGCAATGTATCTGGCTTATATTTTAAATTTATTATAAATATATATATATATATATAAATAATACATATCGATTATTGTATATGGAATGTAGTATATATATGTTTTATTATATATATGTGTATAGTTTCGTATATGTATATTTTTCTCTCATATACATATGTACACCTCAAATGTTTTATTCTGTTTACTGTGTCATACGTAACATGGTTGCCTGACAGAGATCGCTGGTTAGCGATAAGGCCACCAATTGTACATTTTGATCAAGTTTTGTACTGTATAATTTATTTATTCTTTGGTGTACAATAAAGAATACTTATTATTATTAATATTGAAATTGAGACCGATTTTATAAACTTTTAATAAAACTGTTTAACTTTAGTAGTTTGATATTCATTAATTTATAAATAACTTTATTCCTATGAAACTAACATTTAAACATAAATAGTTTTAAACTAAAAAAAGTATGTAGTTTTTGTGAAACTAAAGTCGCGTAGTATATCCGAAAAATATTACTGTCATTTTAATTTTATTACTATAGAATAATTGTAAGTTATTAATAACAAATGTCTTGATTTCGCTTCATTTAAATTATGGTTACTAATTCAGAAATAAACAATATTAAAATATAAAATTTAATATAGATTGCTATATTATTATGATAACTTATACTATATAAGATATTAACCACTTGTCAGTGGTGGCCTAGTGATTAAAAGGCCCACCTCTCATACACAAGGGCGTGGGTTCAATCTTGGCAAGTACCAATGTGATTTTTCCGAGTCATATGTACTTTCTAAGAGTATTTAGACATCACTGATTAATGCATTCCCAAAGAGGGTCGATGTCAGGCAGGTGGCTTGTTGTAAAAACAAATTGCCAAAACTATTCAAAACATTTAAGGCAGACCCTAGCTATAGCTGGGAAATCGCCATGTAGAAGACTTAGTATTAAATAGAAATTTATTAATATTATGTAATATTCAGAAAAAATATTTGAAGTACAACCCATGTCGTAGTAATAAGGTTGTAAGTCAAGTTAAACAAATAATTCTTAAAAATTTCCAGAGCAAATCATATGATAATGTAATTGGAACGAAATCCAATATAAATATTGGAAATATACCAAAATGGGCGATAGAAAGGTGAGCTTATTTTAATTACTTTAAGTTACTTTCTGTAGTGGGCCATAGCTACCTCTTATGGGGGCTGCAAGCTTAGTGGTAAAAGACCAGAAAAATTAGGTTTTTCTATAGATGCCTGGGTGAATTGGAATATTATTTAGCTAAGATAAGTTATAACGGTTTTGGTAGACCCTGGCTAAAGCTGGGAGGTTGCCAGGAAGAAGTTATAGTATTTTTGTTTTTATTGCTCAGCAGTTGGCTCTGATAGGAGGATGACGATATGTATATATTGAAGTATGAAATTTTTTTCCTTATAGATACAGTCGACAGATACTCTTACCAGATATTGGTGTAATGGGTCAGGAAAAACTGATGTCCTCGAAGGTATTGATTGTAGGAGCCGGGGGACTTGGCTGTCCAGCTAGTGTTTATTTGGCTGGGGCTGGAATTGGTAATATATGAAACATAAATAATATATATACAGGGTGACTGGTGAATTACTATCAATATTTGAGGACGTGATATTTGACGATCATATATGACAAAATAAAAATTAATATAACATAAATATTAATAAACTTCTAAGTAAAGTTAACCAAAAGTTATGTAATTAATTACACATCGTATGAACACCCTACAGATTAGGTATACACACACACACACTCGCGCGCGGCGGCGTGTTGTTGTATCAGCACGCCGCCGCACGCGTCCACACATGGAACACTTGGAACGTGTACACACTTTATTTATTTATACGGAAATTTGGTCAAAAATGAAGTACCTATTTTTTCACCAGACACCCTGTATATATACAGGGTGACTGGTGAATTACTATCAATATTTAAGGAGAATACTCGGTACCTGATTCTCATTCGAATTATCTAAAAAAAATAAGTACTTAATTTTTGACCAAATTTCCGTATAAATAAATAAACCGTGGGCACGTTCCAAGTGTTCCAAGTGTGGCCGCGTGCGGCGGCGTGCTGATACAACACTACGCCGCCACACGCGTATGTGTGAGTGTGTGTGTATACCTAATCTGTAGGGTGTTCACACGATGCGTAATTAATTACATAACTTTTGGTTAACTTTACTTAGAAGTTTATTAATATTTATGTTATATTAATTTTTATCTTGTCATACATGATCGTCAAATATCACGTCCTAAAGTATTGATAGTAATTCACCAGTCACCCTGTATATACAACGTGTAACATAATTAACGCACACCCTGAAAGTAGTTTGATCAGAATCGGATACTGGATCGATTTTGATAGTTTTTTATGTAGGTATTTTTTTTCTCAAATTTAGATAGAACTAAGTAAATTATAGTCACCCTACACAGTTATCTAAACACTTCATAGAAACGAAAATTAATGGAAACGAAAATGGATCGTAAGTCAGGGTATTAAGATTTTTAAAATGAAATATTTAATTAGTAATCATCATTCAATTAAAGAAAACTGATACTTATTTCAAGGCTAAAATAGTATTTAAAAATAACTACGCACGCAACACCATAGCGACAACCGGCACACAGCAAGGTCACTACAGTGCATAAAAGAAAGCCGCGTAATACAAAAATTATTACTTTCTCCTTCTTTCTTCGGCTTAATAACATTACAATAGAGCGAGACGGCAGGCTAATTCCGGGAATCAGAGTAATAATAACTAAACATCGAAGTCAACAAAATGTGTTTTGGGTAAGTTAGTCACGCCGCGTCCACCTTATCGAAAAGAGGTCAAGTGTAAAGTGCAAATAAAATCTTAGTCGCGCATTTCGCTGTGTCGTTTCGGTACACTAACTTTCAATACATCAAATACCTACGCACGTGTCCATTGACCTCCTAGATCAGCTGATTTGACGCGACTCGACTTTTTTTGTGGGGGCGAATTAAATCGCTAGTTTACAACACAGAGATAACAAGTGCCCAGGAACTAAAAAATAAGATAATAACCGCCTTTGTAAAAGTGAAAAGTGACATTGCAGTATTATCTAAAATAAAACCACAATTGCGAAAACGGTCATTAAAGTGCATTGAACAAGGCGGTGGACATTTTGAAAATGTTTTAAAATGACAACGCCGTGCGAGTGCAAATTAAACTGTAAGTTTGTTTATGATCTTTAAATTATTTTAAATATTTTGATACACACCATTTAAACAGGCCGACTGTGTTTAATTTTGTCGTAGGTATTGTGGTGTCTAATCAAATCACGCGTTATCAGCTGTTTAATAATTCTTATTTACAAATTTAATTTAACAAATCAGTAATTATAAAATATTGGCTTCACATTAAAACGAAAATTCAATGTCAACAATCTAAAGCTTGAAAAGTGTGATGGAAAGAAAAATCATAATGTATGTAGTTATTTCGTGGACTTATTATTACCTACTTCTTATTATTGTCGGACGGCACTCGGAGAGAGGGGCGCGGGCGCGGCGAGTACATTGTGTCTGTCTGTGTGTGCGTGTGCAGCGGAGTGTCGCTGAATAGCCGACCATATTATTTGCACGAAATTGGGATAACTAATTTCACAAATAAAAAATGCAAACGCACATATAAATAATATTTGGTGTATGCATTGCGTTTATATTATTATATTCGCATTGGGGTATTTGAGGGTGTGCGTTAATTACGTTACACGTTGTATATATATACATACATACTATAGATATAGAACTGTTCATTGGAATTTTGTATATACATTCATGTTCACAAAATAATGGAAGTGGTATAAATTTTTGATACCACTTTCATTATTTTTTGAAAATTTTGATTATTTTAGATATAAGGATTTCAATATTCAATATTGAATATATTATGTGGGTAATTCTCATGAATTTCTGTATAGACGAGACAAAACCTCTCATCATTCAATGCATTCTGAATCAAGAACAAGAATTTTGGCAATTCGTGAGAATTACCCATATATTTGAATACTACAATATTGTTTTGTAAACTTTGATTGTGCTTTGTTTATTTTAGGAGAAATAGGCATAGTCGATTATGATACAGTGGATATATCAAACATACACAGACAAATACTGCACACAGAGAGTGACTGGTGCAAAAGTAAGGCTAAATCAGCGGCTGAAAGTTTGAGGAGGTAAATTACTCTGTATTTATGGAAATTACTACAAAAATATATACATACATAATCCAACTTAAAATATGCCCAACTTACATATTTTTGTAAAAAAGTCAATTTTTTAATGAAAAAACATTATAAATATTATTATTGCTTGATCCAAGAACGTAAACGAATTACGTGTCATCATTTATTATATAAATACATTTTGACTGTATTTTTAATAGAAAATAGAACAGATATATTGCTAAATTACTTATATTTTCCCTCAAATCTATCAAATACCATATTTACTTATATAGAAATATTAAAATTTCAGAATAAATTCCAACATCAAAGTGACTCCGTACACGATTGAATTTAAACCAGAGAATGCTGTACAAATCGCTTCAAACTACGATTTGATAATTGATTGTACTGACAATGTACCAACGAGGTATATGCTAAGTGATTTGAGCATTATAACAAAGGTATATTGATATTTAATTTAAAATTACAAATATAAGTAAGCATATTGTTCTATACACAATAAAATACTGAACAGATTTTGATGTAACAATAATATAGGTCATACATTATAATAAGTCAGTGGTGGCCCAGTGGTTAAAAGGCCCGCCTCTCATGCATGTGCGCGGGTTCGATCCTGGCAAGTACCAATGTGATTTTTCCGAGTCATATGTACTTTGAAAGTATTTAGACATCACTGATTAATGCATTCCCAAAGATGGTTGATGTCAGTCAGGCGGTTGTAAAAACAATTAGCCAAAACTATTCACAACATGTAAGGCAGACCCTGGCTAAAGCTGTGAAATGGCCAGGTAGAAGAAGGAGATTAAGATTTATTTTACGTATATATTTTAGGTGCCTTTAATATCCGGTAGCGCTTTGAAGATGGAGGGTCAACTAACTATATATGGTTACAGAGAAAGTAGAAATGAAAAGGTAAATATATATATATACTAGAAGACCCGGCGATCTTCGTATCGCCCTATAATCAAGAAATATCTGTTACGTTTTTTTATTTATATTTTTGGAGTTTAATGTAAAAAAAAAACGTTTGTATCAACAACTACTAATAAATTAAAAATTAATTAAAAAAAAATTGTCCAGCGGACAAAATTGTGAATCTAAACCATTCCCAGATCCCCTTGAACACACACAAAAAATTTTATCAAATCGGTCCAATCGTTTGAGAGAAGTTCAGTGACATACACACTCACAGAAGAATTATATATATAAAGATATATATTTTCGCACAGTCTTCTGGTCCGTGTTATCGCTGTCTCTTTCCCACTCCACCTCCGGCAGCTGCTGTAGGCAGCTGTTCTGCCAATGGAGTCGCCGGACCTGTTCCGGGAGCTATAGGTAACATACAGACATACATATATATATATACAAGCTGCGCCCTGCGGTGTTCCGAGATTTCCGGGATGTAAAGTACCCTATGTGTTATTCCCGGACGTCAGCTTCCTGTGTACAAAATTTTATCAACATCGCTTCAGCCGTTTGAGCGTGAAGTAGCAACAAACATTACACACACTCACAATTATAATATTAGTAGGATAAGCAAAAGAATTGTCATCGTCTTTGACCTCCTCTGAATAGATATATAATATAATATAATTATGTATAAAGTTTGTCAACGATTTTCATGAAAATTGGTTTCAGGGGGTTTCAGGGGCGATAAGATTTCGATCTAGCTAGGAAACATTATTAGAAAACATCATTTTATAAAATTAAATAGTCGTTTAAAATATGACTCTTCCTGACATCTATTGGCGATTAGTAATACTACTTTCTATTAACTGCTTTTACTATTTGCTTTAACGATACAACAGCAGATGGCTTTGTTAAGCAATAGGAAGTCAATGAGTGTTTGTTTTGAAGTTGACTAAGAAATTAACTGTTGATTTATATTGTTTTGTGTCTTAACGTGTTCACTTAAAAATGCCTAAATGAAATTAAAAGAAAAAACACAAAAGTATTAGAGTTATTCCGTGTTTTATTAAAATATATTTTAGGATCCCTACAAGCTTTGGAGGCGATTAAGTTATTAGTTGGACGGAATCGCGAAAATTTATTGGTTGGAAGAATGTTGATATTTGATGGAGAAGATATGACCTTTAGAACTGGTAAGTGAAATAAAAGTGAGTAAAGGGGATCATTACAAAGAGAATTAAATTATTTTCAGTATTTTCAATATATGTGTTAATTTGTATATTGAATTATTGGTGAATATTAATATAAAACTAATAATTTGAATGAACACAAAGTACAAATTCGTCTTTATAGATTTTTACATTATGTCTTGGGAATAACACGTATTAAAAACTTTATAAAACAATATACACCAAAGTGTGTCAAAAATTTTCTTAAATTTACATCAAAAAATGTCTGTTTAAAGTAAATATTCACTAAATTAGTTTTCATTTAACATTAACTGCTATATAAAGTTAGGTTTACAATATCAACTACTTCTGAGTAGTAGTAGTAGTTTGTAGTTTTCAGTCACATAAAGTGTAGTTTTTTATATTTTCAGTTAAACTACGCCCGAAAAACCCCAAATGTGAGTCCTGTTCAGATCATGCTACAATCAAACAATTGACAAACTACGAGGTGCTCTGTAAAATGCAGTCCAAAGAAAAGGTAGGTTGAAATTATATTAATATACAGGGTGACTGGTGAATTACTATCAATATTTAAGGAGAATACTCGGTACATGATTCTCATTCGAATTATGTAAAAAAATAGGTACTTAATTTTTGACAAAATTTCCGTATAAATAAATAAAGTGTTGACACATTCCAAGTGTTCCAAGTGTGGAGGCGTGCGGCGGCGTGCTGATACAACACAACGCCGCCGCCGTGTATACCTAATCTGTAGGGTGTTTACACGATGCGTAATTAATTACATAACTTTTGGTTAACTTTACTTAGAGGTTTATTAATATTTATGTTATATTAATTTTTATTTTGTCATATATGATCGTCACAAATCACGTCCTCAAATATCGATAGTAATTCACCAGTCACCCTGTATATGAAAAGAAATAAATTTAATATTATTAGTCTTGTACTCAAATAAAAGAGTAGTCATATTTTTTATTAATATTAATTATAACACTATAATCTTTATAAATCTTCATTCAAATGTACTTTGAAAGACATGAGCTTTTTCTATTGCTAAACAAATACTATTTATATACTAAAATTTATAATGTTAATTTTATTCAAACACTCCTTAGAAGTTACTTATTAATTGTACAAAGAGCAATATATATACATAATTTGAACCTCAACCAAAAAACATTTGTTAAACAAATCTATTCACAGAAGCGATCATTCACACTATATAATCTATAATTACACATTTTTTATCTCAACAGGACTTGGATCTAAATATTCTGCCGCAATCACACCGGATATCCGCTACCGAGTTATCAAAGTCCCTTAATACACAGCGCCATCTATTGATAGATGTGCGGAGCGAGGCGGAGTATAATATGTGTCATTTGGAAGACTCAGTCAATTATCCCTTGGAACAGTTGTACGGAGAAAAGTTTGATTTATTAGTGGAGAATATAAAAAATAATGATAATGGTAAGATATAATGATTATAAATAAATAATATACAGGGTGACTGGTGAATTACTATCAATATTTAAGGAGAATACTCGGTACATGATTCTCATTCGAATTATGTAATAAAAATAGGTACTTAATTTTTGACCAAATTTCCGTATAAATAAATAAAGTGTTGACACGTTCCAAGTGTTCCAAGTGTGGACGCGTGCGGCGGCGTGCTGATACAACACCACGCCGCCGCACGCGTATGTGTGTGTGTGCTTGTATACTTAATCTTTAGGGTGTTCACACGATGCGTAATTAATTACATAACTTTTGGTTAACTTTACTTAGAAGTTTATTAATATTGATGTTATATCAATTTTTATTTTGTCATATATGATCGTCAAATATCACGTCCTCATGTATCGATAGTAATTCACCAGTCACCCTGTATAATGTTAGTATTATGTTATGAATCATAAGAAAATTGTTATATACAGGGTGACTGGTGAGTTACTATCAATATTTAAGGACGTGGTAGTTGACGATCATATATGACAAAATAAAAATTAATATAACATAAATATTAATAAACTTCTAAGTAAAGTTAACCAAAAGTTATGTAATTAATTACGGATCGCGTGGATACCCTAGCTGCGTTATCGACACAAAACAGTTATGTACGTAGGTATATGTAGTTATCGCGCGGTAGTTTACCTACATCCAAACGCCGCGCGCCGCCGCGTGTTAGACCTTAGATAAACAAAAATGATCCATTTCCCTTCATACTTTAATCCTGGCTTAGGACAGGCAAAAATACCAAGATATTTTTTTCGTTTAAGCAACCAATTTATTGACTAGGTAAATGGTGTGACCTTGACACAAAAAAAATATGAACTGTTTACCTATCTTGGTATTTCCGGCGTATTTAAAAATGGAATCATACTTATTTACAACAATTGTCAATCATTAAACTACCTATTTACCTACATAACTACACTAACCTTAACAAATGTTCAAAGTGAGCTCCTTCTCGTGTGATACACAGTTCGGCACGTTTACACATATTGTCTTTCACACGATTTAATACGAATGGGTCACTTTTAATAGTTTTGTAATCACTATTGATTTTTAATTTCAACTCCTCTCTGTTTACATACTCTGTAGCATACACAAGACGTTTCCTTGGGCATGTGTTGGAACACGGAACTGTCCGAAGTCTCGTAATCTTTGATTAGCGTTTAAGATGACGCTGGCCGTAGGTACTCGACGATTGGGGAACATCTCCCGGTACAAATTGATTGCGCCCCGCAAGCTTTCATTTGCACGCGCATACGCATGAACCATGTCCAAGTATTCTGCATTTGTGTATTGAAAAGCCATATTTAATTACTAATAAGTAATAACGGGTCACACGCACACACGACAGATTATTATTAGGTATACGCGTAAGATCGATCGCTAGGCGCGCGCGCGGGAAGACGAACGTACGGACCTTACGGCGGCGCTCGCGCGACTAATAGCCGACTAATGGCCCGCTAGCCACGGGGCGGGGGTTGGGGAGTAGCGACACACTGGCGCCGGCAAGGCACGTGTCCAAACTTTATTTATTTATACGGAAATTTGGTCAAAAATTAAGTACCTATTTTTTTTACATAATTCGAATGAGAATCATGTACCGAGTATGCTCCTTAAATATTGATAGTAACTCACCAGTCACCCTGTATATGAAAAATAATTCTTATAAGACATATATGTGTGTGCGCTTGTGCATGTGTGTTTGTGTTTGTGTTACTTACTAAATATTTGAATCTCAGACTTAGTTGAATCATTTAAATAATAAGTTATATCCATTAAATAGAATATATATATAAAAAAAGAATGACCTGATAATAACTTTATATAAGAATGAAACATAAATTTTAACTATTATAACTTTAAATTATATTTTTCAGTAATATTCATATGCAGACGAGGAAATGATTCCCAAATAGCAGCAGATAAAATATTAAAAGTATTGCCAGATGCTAAAATCAAAGATCTATCCGGTGGACTGCACGCGTGGGCCGAACAAGTTGACAGGAGATTCCCCATATATTAATATTGCCAGAAATATATAATATTATATTATTACCAAAAATATATATTTTTTAATCTCATTTATGTTTTATTACTCTAATAATATTGAAATTAATAGAATGAAATATTCTTTTTTAATGATAAATACATCATCGTGAAGAAACATTGATTTATAATTTCACAATTATAAGTTTGAAATCACCAACCCGTGTTGAGCGAGCGTGGTGATTAATGCTCAAACCTTCTCCATGTGAGAAGAGGCTCAGCAGTGGGCTCTGATAGGCTGATGACGTGACGATTAAAGATACATAAAGCTATCATATGAAGTAAATAAAAAATCCAAAAGATAGAAAAGAATTTTATAAAAGAATATAATGAAAAGTATATTTTATGTGAAAATCTAGTTATTTAGGTAAATACATAGTATATTCGTTGTTATTATAATAATATACACGTTGTATTAATTGCTTTTAAATGTAAGAGAGAGTATGAGTTTATTTTCTGAACTAAGTCTAACTTAAATAATATAGTTAAAAATCATATAAATTATTTTTTTAACTGAATTCAATTATGTGTTACATATGTTTATTTCAAGAAAATTGCTATAACTTTGAATCTAATTCTTGTTATTTCATAAAAAAGGTCAGTATAAATACAACCAAATGATTTCTAATCTTTTCCATGTGAGAAGACGCGTTTGATGATGATGATAAATATAATTTTCTTGTTAATGTAAGTGTATAATAAAATGAAACATAATTATATTGTGTCTATATATTATATTTTATAGGTATATCTTCTAAATCAAATCTAAGATCCACTTTATCATCTTTATAGTCTGTTTTCGGTTTGTTTCTCAAGTTATTCTTATCTTTGATTCTGTGATTTCTATGTGTATGACATCCGATGATGATTGACACTGGAAAAATAATAATTATATATAAAAAGTGTCTAATTCAATCATTTTATATAATATTGCTTAAAATCTGCATAGCGAGTATTGTAGAACCTACTAAAAGACTTGGGCTAACCAGAATTCATATCAATTCATTGTTTGAACGTACTTTGAAGGCAGCCTAGATTCTTTTCAAATTTGATAGAGAGAGGGGCTTGTACGGTGGAGGTGAGCGTTTAACGCGTTAGATAATAGCGAATAATAGTTTATTAAATCAAATAGTAAATTATCTTAAGGTATATAAGCAATATATTTAAAAATATTATTATTTGGATTTTTGCACGTTTTGCTTATAATATTTAAAAAAAAATAATTTGTATTTTGAAAGATACGGCTTGTAATTCAACAGAATAATGATAAAGAACAAAAAAATAGGTGGAAAATGATAGTTTTTTAAATAATAAAAAGAACTTTTACTGGTTTTTCCATATTAATATTTTGGCGATCCAATAAATTATTTGTTTCTATCACTATATTCTGACATCTTTATCCAAACATAGTAATATGCCAAAACAGAGTCACGTTTTTCGAAAATCAATATTAATATTTAAATTTACGTACTTATCTTTCGAGTTAAATAAAATAAGGTTGGTAAAAACAATGATCACATATTTTTTGCATGATTTTAGAGGGGTAATTCTATACATTCTCCTGTATGTGTGTATGTCACTATAGTTTATATTCACACCTCTCCCGGTAGACGTCGCTGTCTGTATGTGTGTTATTTAAAATGTAAAGCCCGGGACATACGTCACTATATGTATTATTTTAACACACTTTACTATCTGAACGACACTCTGATGTACAAACAGACGGAGTCGCGAGCAAAAACTTGTCTTCATCATAAAAATTTTGCACCGGATGAACTAAATAATGATGCTATACTCAAGTGTCATTTAAGAAATAGTTTCAGTGTCCGATCTTCTTGTAAAATTGATATTTCATTTTATTTGATTTGACGCTTGATTTGGGAGTAAGCGGGTGGATAAGTAACGAAAACGTTAAAGAAAGTGTGATCGGGCGAGGCAAACGAAAGTGAGAGGAAGATATAGATTAATGGAAATGGATGTGTGAATGTTACTGTTATTATATTAGAGAGAAACATATGTATCGTATTTCTCATATGCCTATTGTTTCGGTCTTATAATTCTTCTTCTACCTGGCAATTTCCCAGCTTTAGCCAGGGTCTACCTTACATGTTGTTAATAGTTTTGGCTAATTGTTTTTACGACCGACCTGCCTGATATCAACCCCACTTTTCGAATGTTTCGGTCTTACAATAAACCACAATTACTGATGTAACCGATGATAAATATAATGAAAATAGTAAATAAAAAGAAATATCTATTTATTAATACTAATATATCAAAACCAACTCATGATGACTTTAAATACTTGTACAAAATTAACATGTGTGTATGTATATACATCTACATAATATGGTGGAGCGAAAGTAGTTTTACTTTAGCCGTGTGGTCTAAAGCATTCTGGTTTTAATTTTTTTAACAATACTTACATCTTTATTAAGTCCTTTAAATAAAATAATCCTATATATAAAAGCAATTTTATTTATTTGTAATAAAATACTTACATATTAAAAGTATAACGTAGATTTTGAACATGATTTTGTCAAATGAAAAACAAATGCGATTTTTTAATTAAATGCATACAAATTGATTTGAAAACTGTTTATCTGAAAACGACTTCTTAGTTATTTTTTAATTACAAAAATCTCATTAAATATGAAAACATAATGAATATTTTGATTGTGCGTGTCGTATAAAAATGCTGAACCTATTTCCATAAAACTTTTGCTATATTAGGTATTTATTTTTATATTTTCATAATAATTTATAGCCTCGAACATTGGCAGACCCTGGCTAAAGCTGGGAGGTTGCCAGGAAGAAGAAGAAGAATTTATAGCCTCAAACATTCTCGTACCATTAGTTTGATTGTGAAACTCCATTCAGATAGTTTTCGTGTCAACGAAAAACTGAATACTATCTGTTTTTTCGTCAACACGAAGTCATGGTAATTTAAATTAAATTTAATATATATAGTTAAAACTTAAAAGGTATATGTTTTGGATGTAAAACTTCTTTACGTACGCTTGGGGGTAAGATGATGAAAACGTTACGAAAAGTGTGATTGGACGAGGCGAACGTAAGTGAGAGGGAGATAGATATATGTAAAGAGTGTGTCGGTTCATATATTACTGTTAGAGCAAGGGAGAGTGCCGTGCAGGGATAACAAATAATGAATTCAAATATTTGTACAAAATTAATATGTGTTTGTGCATATTACATATTAGTTTTCCGCCCTTAGCTTCGCCCGCGTGGAGTTCGATTATACCGCGTTTCCAAGAGAATGTTTCAAAAGTCTGGGATAAAAACTATCCTATGTTCTTTCTCAAGGTCAACTCTATCTCTGTACCAAATTTCATTAAAATCAGTTTAGTGGTTTAGGCGTGAAAGCGTTACAGATAGATAGATAGAGTTACTTTCGCATTTATAATATTAGTAGGGATAGATAGAGATAGAAGTTTTACTTCAGTTGTGTGGTCTAAAGCACGTTGGTTTTAATTTTTATGTTCATAATTTAAGATAATAATTCTTGTTTCTATTATATCTTCTTCTTCTTCCTGGCAATTTACCAGCTTTACCCAGGGTCTGCCTTACATGTTGTGGATAGTATTGGCTAATTGTTTTTACGACCGGCCGCCTGACATCAAACCTCTTTGGGAATGCATTAATCAGTGATGTCTGAATATTCTTAGAAACTATATATGACTCGGCACAATCACGTTGGTATTAGTCAGGATCGCACCCGCGCCCTCATGAGAGGCGGGCCTTTTGACCACTAGGACACCACTGACTATTGTTTGTTGTATGTTGACTTGTTTCTATTATATATACGAGTGTAACGACAGAACGTAGTTTTATGTCAACTATAATTAATTACATTCTGCGTGTTACTGCTGTTTTAGGAAGATTGTTAAAATTCTTTTTAACATCAAGGGAAATTATTTAGACTAATTAAATAAAACTAACCAACGAAAAGCATAATATGATAATTCGTTTTAACATAACAAAGATATTTAGATTTAATTTCTCTTCTAATAAGATAAAGAAAGATAAATTAAATAATTGAAATATATATCTGTTTTAATGCAAATTAATTAGCGAACCCCAATCACGTGTTTGCGTATTGTAAGAAAGAAAAAGGCCAATAATTTAAAAGCAAACAAAATCAAAAGGAATGACTCACGTATTTTATTGTGGTCAAACGACCAAACTCGTTGCTCTTAATTGGACAAACACTTGATAAGTTGAAAGTCATCCAATTTTGAACTTTATCACATCAAAATAAGGTCCTATGGTAGTTTATTTATATTAAAAATTAAGTTTGTAATGCGTCCTATCCCTATTTCTAAGAGCTCTGCGATTGGTCGGTTATTTCGTTGCGCGCGCAACGTACACCGAATTCAAATCGAATGTACGCAATACATTGCTGGCTTCTTTAGCTTGTATGCTTAGTTTTTAATTTGAAACCGTCGATGTATGTTGAAATCCTCTTTTGTGTGCTGTTAGGGTGTAAAAAGGGTTTTTCGCGAATACCTTCCCTGATAGTTCAGGGAATATTCGTTCTTGTCAGTCTAAATGCAATAATTGGTATAGAGTTACGGCGTTAGAGGACTTAGTTCGTGAATTTGAGTGCCTTAAATGTGATTTAAAATAAATTCCAATAGAAACACAATAATACACACATAAAACAAGTGATTACATATAATTTTAACGTTTATTTCAAACTTTGTATGATATAAAATAAATAATAAAAAAACAAATAATTATTTTCCTATAAATTTTAATTAATCAAAACAAATTGCAAAATGTTTTACAAATCTAAATATATATGACGAAAACTTCAAATATATTAGATAACCATGCATAAAAATTAAGAAAAACTATGTTATATTATGTATAAAGAAGTTTTTTACCAAAATGGCGAACATTGGCAAAGTTTTGGCGACAATAAAAGCTGTTATCACGAGGCTTGTTTTTGCTTGTCACGGAATCATTGCTATATGGCAGGTTACGTTGTTCAAAGACAGCCTGGAGTACTGGTATTTGGCCTCACCTATACTTCTGCTGATAGTGGAAGGAGTCTTTACCCTCACGATAAAGGAAAACCAGGAGTGGAAATGGTTAGTTGTGGTTTTTGGTGATACCATTAGAAGCTGTTGGGTATAGCATATACTTATGGCTTATTTTGATTAAATCTAGTTTTTGGTGGTATTTTTAAGCTGTAGTGTACATAGCAAGATAGCTCATTTGTGTTAACAATTCTGGTTTTTGGTGGTACCATTAGAAGCTGTTGGGTGTAGCGTATTTTAGGGAAATAGCTCATTTGGATTAACTGTATTTGGTGGTACGATCACAAACTGTAGGATATATACGTAGATCATTAGGAGTAATAATTGAAATGTTAATTAAATTGCAGATCCAAATCTTCTTTTTAGATGAATTACTGTTTATTTCTTTAGAGAAAAGTTATTTTTAATACAACTTCCAACGGGAATGGTATAGGGTGGTAGCCAGAAGTTCCAGGAAAACTACGAAACTTACCTATATGTGTATTATAATAAGAATTACATATTAAAACTTATAACCTACACCTAAGACTACATGATTGACCCGATGTTATGATAGCAATACCAGTCCATAGCTTGTGTGTATCAGGAATCTTCTGGTTCATACGGCTTGGTGTTCGTTCCGCGGAGTCAGCGGCGTCAAGATTTATATATTATATACATACAACGATGTTGCCCTTGATATTAATTTTTTTTTATTATGTAGCGCGTATGTACGTAATAGGCGTAAATAAGTATAAGTGTATTCACTAGCGAAAGTTATATATATCGGATTTATTGCACGTTCGTTGTTTTTAAAGAGAGTGACGCCAGCCTCACTGACGTTACAAATGTCACTTCTTCCAGTACTTTCCATGATATTTTAAAATGAATCTGCAATTGTTCTTAATGCTCCTGTATTTCTCGAAGGTTCTTCATAATCACATTCTTCAATGGTCCGCACTCACTGAACTCTGCCGTCCTGCGTCCAGACGTCATATTTATACCAAGATTTAATCACAGTCCTATTCTCCTTTTAAACAATCTTTGATTTCTTTTTACTTTTAACAATAATCATGAATACTAATGAGTTTTAATAATAATTGTTGACAGGCTCAAACTATTTTCATGACACATCCGCCATTAAAGCTGGTACGCAGATATATTTAATAAAATAAAGTATTACAGAGGAATTTAAATTTTATTAGTTCAATGCATGTTTCTTTTACTATTGACCCTAAATTAGGGCGCGGGTTTGACGCGTTCCGGAACAACCATTAGTTGGCACAATATGCCTATTAGTGGCAACGCGAGATATAAAAATTACTTTACTTATATTTCGAGGGCTATCACGAAAATCGGCGTGAAGGTTCTATTAAATGACAACGTTTTAAAAGTATGAATATTTGATAGAAAATGGAAGGACTTTGGGTTAAATTTTAGTATTTATACTGAATTATTCATTTAATTCAATAATACATAGGAATGTTTAAATTTTTCATAAGAAATGATCCAAACTTTTAGATGTAATTTAAAGATTTTTTTAAGTACTTTTAGTATATAAGTCAGTGGTGTCCTAGTGGTTAAAAGGTCCGCCTATCATACATGAGGGCGCGGATTCGATCCTGTCAAGTACTAATGTGATGTTCCCGAGTCATATGTACTTTATAAGAGTATTTAGACATCACTGATTAATGCATTCCCAAAGAGGGTTGATGTCAGGCAGGCGGCCGGTCATAAAAACAAATAGCCAAAACTATTCCCAACATGTAAGGCAGACCCTGGCTAAAGCTGGGAAATTGTCAAGAAGAAGAGATACTTGTTATTTTATAAATATTAAGAGATCTATTTAATGAAATTACTTAACAATATAAAACTAATTATAATTTATAACTTATACTTTATATGCTTACTACAAGTTTGTATACACTACATACTAATAGTTTTCCGTTTCTCATTAACCTACGTTAATACTATGTGAGAAGTTACCAATGAAATACTGTTGACGTGGAGTATGTAGTGACGAAACATGTAGTAAGAATAACTAAATATTTAAATAATTTAATGACTTCATTTATTTTAAAAAATCATTCTCAAAGCAGGTATGTATTTTCAATTTCAATTATAATATTTTTTTTCATGTTACTAGTATCTACAAAGAAATTATATTATTATTGATTTTTTGTTAAAGAAAAATGAAAGAAGATTACTTATTTATATGTATTCTTTGTCAATTCTTAATATTAATTAAATCCTTGATAACTTTAGTTACAACTATAACTATTATTCAAGACTTCATGACAATCCTACTATTAGGACTGACAAAGATTTGTTAGAAATAAATTAGATTGAAGTCACGCGATTCCATTAGAAGGAGTGTTTTACGCGTAACTATCGGTTTGAAAGTATCCGTTTAAACTTTATCGACAGTGAGAAATATATATATTCGCACTATCAGCTTTAATAACGGATGCGAAGTGAAAATAACTTGAGGCTGTCAACAATTATTATTAAAACTCATTAGTATTCATGATTATTATTAAAAGTAAAACGAAATCAAAGATTGTTTAAAGGAGAATAGAACTATGTTTGAATCTTGGTATAAATATGACGTCTGGATGAACGGCGGCAGAGTTGATAGTTCAGTGAGTGCGTATCATTGAAGTATGTGATTATGAAGAACCTTCGATAAATACAGGAGCATTAAGAACAATTGAAGTTTCATTTTAAAATATCATGGAACGTACTAGAAGAAGTGACATAAGTGACGTCAGCGAGGCTGGCGTCACTCTCTTTAAAAACAACGAATTTTGTAATAAATCCGATATATATAATACATATGACAATTATTTTTCATTGTTCTGTATCTTTAAGAGTTTTGAGTTTAACTTTTATTAAATACCCATGATGATCAATGTAGGGAAAAATACACTAGCTGTACACGCGACTTCGTCGCTAGAATTAATATTTTTTTTAATATTTGTATTAATATATTTATATTTATATTAATACATCTTCTATATATATAAAAATGGATTGCTGTTCCTTAGTCTCGCTAAAACTCGAGAACAGCTGAACCGATTAGGCCTGGAAGTCCAGGGAAGGTTTAAAAGGTGAGAAAAATTGGAATAATTGCCGGGAAAACAATAAAAACAGCCCTTTTCTATTTCCCATACAAACGTTTTTTTTTGACATTAGATTTGACAATTAACTAATATGTAAATCATTCTGTTTGATTGAAACAGGAAAAACCTGATTATTTATGGCCTCTAAGACGAAATAGAGTTTGCCTGGTCAGCTATACCAATATATGTATTACTAATGACGAAACTAACGCGGACGAAGTCGCGGGCAAAAACTAGTATATTATATATTTCTAATATAAGTTACGTCAGACGCTAGAATGAAAATACCGACAAACATGGCTGTCATTAAATAATATAATGTAGTTCTAAGTTCACTTTGATATGTTTAGTGCAAAACTGTTTTATTGAAATTACAAATATAATTACTTATCTATATTATTATTACTTATCTATATGATTTCAGTTAATTATATATTTCCTGATTTTTAACTAGATATTGTATTTAAGTTCTAGGCTTGGATCGGACAATAAACTCATACTCTTTCTAACATAGAAAAGCAATGAATACAACGTGTACTTTATTACAATAATAAAGAAAATACTATTCTATTTACGTAAATAATTTAATTTTTACATAAAATATACTTTTCATTATATTCTTTTATAAATCTCTTTTCTATCTTTTGGATTTTTTATTTACTTAATATAATAGCTTTTTGTATGTTTAATACTAACTCTTTTTTCTGGCAGTTTCCCAGCTTTAGCTAGGGTCTGCCTTACATGTTGTGAATAGTTTTGGCTAATTGTTTTTACGACCGGCCGCCTGCCTGACATCAACCCTCTTTGGGAATGCATTAATCGGTGATGTCTAAATACTCTTACAAAATACATATAACTGGGAAAAATCACATTGGTACTTGCCAGGGCCAGGATCGAACCCTCTCCCTCATGCATGAGAGGCGTACCTTTTAACCTCTAGGCCACCACTGACTTTCAATCTTTCTTTTTATTTATTAAACATACTGTCGTATGTTTAATACTTAATAATGATTACATTTATCTGTGTTTATATATATTAAGTTAATTTTTATAGTTTTCAAACTACGTATATACCCGGATCAATTCGTTACAACCTTGACATACTCGTAAAGTGGCATTAAGTCTTTTGTCAATGACCGCTGGGGCATGACGGCGTCTGAAATTCGTATAAAGAAAGGGTTATAATTACTTATTTTGTTATTTCTAATATATAAAAGTCTAATTATCTTTATATATATAATTCTTCTGTGAGTGTATATGTCACTGAACTTCTCTCAAACGACTGGAAAGATTTTGATGAAATTTTTTGTGTGTGTTCAAGGGGATCTGGGATTTTTAGATTCACAATTTTGTCCGCTGGACAATGTTTTTTTAATTAATTTTTAATTTATTAGTAGTTGTTGATACAAACTTTTTTTTTGACATTAGATTTGACAAGTAACTAATATGTCAATCATTCTGTCTCATTTCAAAACACGGAGATTTATGTCTTTAATAGGTAAACTCCAAAAATATAAATAAAAAAACGTAACAGATATTTCTTGATTATAGGGCGATACAAAGTTCGCCGGGTCTTCTAGTATGTATATATAAATATAATTAAAGTATGGCTGTTAAATTTAAAAGTAAACACATTATTTTTTATATTGTTTCAATATTAATTACGTAAGGCAACTTGACATTCCAGGAAAACTACCAAACTTACTTATATGTATATTATAAGAACTACATATTAAAACTTATAACCTACACCTAAGACTACATGATTGTCCCGATGTTAGGATAGCAATACCATTCCATAGCCTGTGTGTATCAGGAATCTTCTGGTTCACACGCTTGGTGTTCGTTCCGCGGAGTCAGCGGCGTCAAGAGTTATATATTTTATACATACAACGATGTCGCCCCGGCGATATTCATTTATATCTTATATATTAATCGCTTGTTACTTTGTCATTGATGGTTTTCATATTGTTGTAACGATTTTGATAATGCTCTACTATAGAGTAATTTCCTTTCCGCTATATATAGAAATATCCATATATAATATTACCCAACTAGGGAATCGATCCCAGTAAATTAGTTGACGACAATGCCATGATAAGATTTAAGATTGCGAGTTTTATTCATTTAAATAAAACTAATATTTTTTGGATATACTAAGCGGTTTATTTTTGTTAAAAACTACATACTCCCGAGGTTTCGGTTACTTTTTATCAACCGTGATCATTAAGACGAGATGTGAATGTCTGTCAGTTGGTCTTGTCATTTATAATCTACAGCCATCGATTTTTTAATTATTAGCCTTAAGTTGAAACAAAAGCGTACAATTCTACTTTAGTACGATTTGATATCGAGTTGTTACAAAATAAACCTTTCTGATTAATCCCTACTAATATTATAAATGCGAAAGTAACTCTGTCTGTCTGTTACGCTTTCACGCTTAAACTTTCATGAAATTTGGTACAGAGATAGAGTTGACCTTGAGAAAGAACATAGGATAGTTTTTATCCCAGACTTTTGAAAGGTTCTCTTGGAAACGCGATATAACCGAACACCACGCGGGCGAAGCTGCGGGCGGAAAGCTAGTAGTTTATATTTCTACTAACATAATATGAATTTATCAACTATTTTCAGTGTATAGTCATTATGGACGTTATTTTTGCATTTTCTTTTATAGACAGAGATGAATCTGTTTATCTAAATATGGTAACTCGGCCTATTCTTTATTGGCAAAGAAATTACATAGTTTTTCAAATATTTCTCAAACGTTCATTGCGTTACACAGAAATCTTAATAATTTACATATTATATAAGTTTGGTTACAATATATTTTTTTCTTAAACAAAATTGAAAATTATAATGTTTTGTATTCTTCACTAGATTAATATTATTTGACTAGATCTCATTATTTAATATCTTAATTTATAATTAACTCTAAGTGTTTCTGTCTCTGCTCATAACATTAAATTCTACATGTAATAAGAAGTCCTTATAAAAAGCACTATTCATTTCATTTCAGAACAATTAAATAACTTATAATTCAATTTTAATTAGCATTTATCTTTGCCAAATTGTATTTATTTGTTTTATTTTATATTTATTATAATTGGTAATAAAGTTTCTATATCTTTTTCATTCTTTTTCTTTCTTTTTGTGTACAGGTTCTGTCCGTCTGTCTTCATTTACTTGGGACTTGTGGTACCAGCGATATGGCTACTAGAACTACATAAAGTTGACCTCAGATTACAGAAGAAATCCAACATTACTATCACAGAGGTAAAGAAATAAGAATTACCTCAATATTAACTTAAAAAAATCTTTCTTTATATTAAAATATATATAAAAGAAACGAAATTAGAATACACATAGAATTAAGTACGGAAAGAGTTTAAAGTACAGAAATAACATTAAAATAGATTGTAAAGAAGTTTAATCTTGAAATAATGGAAATAAAAGTCCTATTTTTCTTTTATTTATCTTAATTATAACAAAAAAACAAACCTTTTATCTTTCGTGATATCTTTTGTGAATAGAATGTATCGTAATATTTACATAATTGTTAACTTCTCATGTATTAAGATAATATTGTTTTCTGACAGACAGAGATCCCCATCCCTGGAGCTACGAAAATTCCCACTGATATGTGGGTAACACTGATAGAACAGTTTCTTATGTTGACGCTAATAGTTGGACGATGGCTGCTTCCAAAAGGAGACCTGACAAGGGATCAGCTTAGCCAATTGTTGTTAGTATATATAGGTGAGTTTGATAGAGTCGATTCATCTTTAGCCTATCGGAGTATATAAAAGCAAAAAATCTTCTCACATGGAGAAGGTTTGAGCATTAACCACGTTCGGTCAAGGCGGATTGGTTTCAAAATTATATTTTAACTAGCTTTCCGCCCGCAGCTTCGCCCGCGTGTAGTTCGGTTATATCGCGTTTCCAAGAGAACCTTTCAAAAGTCTGGAATAAAAACTATCCTATGTCTTTCTCAAGGTCAACTCTATGTCTGTACCAAATTTCATTAAAATAAGTTCAGTGATATAGGCGTGAAAGCGTAACAGACAGACAGACAGACAGAGTTACTTTCGCATTTATAATATTAGTAGCCTCTTTCCACATGGAGAAGGTTTGAGCATTAATCACCATGTTTGTTCAAGACGAGTTTGCAATTTCAAACTTATAATTTGATATAAGTCCATGTTTCCTCACGATGTTTTCCTTCATCAGTCAGTGATGTCTAAATACTCTTAAGTACATATAACTTGAAAAAATTACATTAGTATTACAGGTTTTGTAACCGCGCCCTCACACATGCGTGTAAGGAAATACATTTGGCAATATATGTTTTTGTATTCATTTCAAGTTCTAGAAGATTTCAAGCACTGCGATTGTTAATAATGAAATTACGACACATAAAAGATACGAAATCTCTTACAAATGAATGTAATGCATAATTTTTTTGTCTACCATTCTTTTAAGAACTAGGGGCCATTCAAGTATTACGTAACTAGATTTATTACAAAGATTTACCCCCCTCATCCCCCTTGTTAGCAAAAGTAAGCAAAGCTCTTACCCCCTCCCCCCATGCTTATTTAAACATTTTCAATTAGAATCCATTAAAAAAATTATAATTATATTTTTTTTCGATGTCACGATTAAAAAGGAAATAACTACCGATGACGTAATCATCATCTAGACTCCCCTACCCCCTAAAATAAGCAAAGCAAAGACCCTCCCTCCCCTCCATAGTGCTTACGTAATACTTGAACGGCCCCCTACCAAAGATTCTATCTATCATACAGGTACAGCGGCAGATATTATAGAATTCTTCGACAGCTTCAAAGACGAGAAGGTTGCGACTGAAAAGGTTCTAGTACTTCTGACGCTGGCTATTTGGTCTTGGTCCTTGGTCCAATTCACTGTAGTCCTTACCGCCACCAAGTCGAGGAAATCCCGTGGAACAGCGAATAGGTGTGACATGTACGTGAAGCTTAGTGCACTGGGGAGAATGCGTTTATTTGAGACGTAACCTCTCATCATTCCATGTATTCACGGTGCGTGTGTCGGGTCCATCGTTGTAGTGAGAGGAGCTTCAACAGTGACTGGGGCTTGTGACCCAGGTGTAGGTTTAAGGGACACCTATCTAACGCAATAGAATGACCCGTAGTAATCAAAAAAATATTAGTTTCATTTAAATGAATACTCGCGAGTCTTAAGCCTCATTACTATTTTCTGTCTACGAGTTCATCCAATTAAATTTCGGAATTACTACCAAAAAGAAATAACCTATATATGTGTTTAACGTCTATAATTATATTTTCTATAAATAAAATTTTGAGTTTTCTGAAATTAGTTTTCGCGACATGTATCGTGTATATAGATGCAACTGCTATGAGTTGTTTTCTTTTAATAGTTTCATCAAAATAGGTTTTGGTGAAAGTTCTAAATATCCTGAGAAATGTTAGCATTTAAATTATTATAAGTATTAATATATAATTTGAATGATAATTTGTTATAACTCCTGTTTCCTAATAAGTGTGAACCAAATAATAATTGAATGAGAAGTAACAGGAAAAATTTAGTCTAACTTTCATCAGTACTAACTAACTGAGACAGTTTAGTTAACTTACTGAAAGGGGTTAATCAATTAAATTATAACTTGCTTACAGGTTTTTTATTTCCAAATAAAATAAACTAAACTATACGGATTTACTTTTAAAACAAATTTTAGCCAAACTTCTAATTAACTTTGTAGTTTCAACGTCTAGACGAGAAAACGTCTCTAAATTATAATTAAAAGTTTTTTTATACTATTTAATATGATTTTAAATAAACGCATCCTCCCAGCATGCTATGACTGACACTCATTAATTTATACACTCACTAACTCACTTATTAATAACTTCATTAAAATGAATGCTTTGTAAACAGCGACATCAGATCTCATATAATAAAAAGATATCATTACGTTATTTTCAACACTCTATTTCAAATTTAATACACTTTTTATTTAATATTAAATTAAATAAATATTATGACTTTTTTATTATCCGGTCCTTTTATTATTTAGAAGAATACATACGTGTATTTTTTTAATATTGTTTAAAAACTTATTTAAATCCAACAAAATGTCTTTGCTCTATCAAATTAAAAACAAAGAAATATTCCATATAACTATATGTATATAAATTTTAATAAATTCATGTATGAAATCAAAAATAATCAATATTATGTCATGTATTCTTACATCATCAATATTATGACATGTCTTCTTCTTGGCAATTTCCCAGCTACAGCCAGGGTCTGCCTTACATGTTGTGAATAGTTTTTGGCTATTTGTTTTTACGACCGGCCGCCTGCCTGACATCAACCCTCTTTAGGAATCAACATTAATCAGTGATGTCTAAATACTATTAGAAAGTACATATACATCAATATTATGACACGTATTCTTATAAATCATCAATATTATGACACGTATTCTTATAAATCATCAATATTATGACACGTATTCTTCCCAATTCACCCAGAGGTACCTCCCGAGCGTGTTGTTGTTCTATCGAGGTGTGTGCTATCATCATGAACATAGCTCTTCAAGATGCCCCCTTCCTCGCCTTCAGACTGCTCATCATAGCTCACTATAAGATAATTAACTACATGAACATATTCTTCACTTGTAAGAATACACTGGTGAGTTTTTTTGTATCCTTGTTTGAATTATGTCTAAAAATACGTTGTTGATTGCGTGTATTCGTTTGATTTCGAATAATGGTATATATTAAATTTGATTTTATAATTTGAAATTTTTCTTTTTGTTTTAATACTAACTCCTTAAGTTTAGTAAAGTCTTTGTTTTTTAGTAGATATATAAATTTCTTGGGATATCCTTAGAATATCTTTTGCAACTTGAACTTTATTTAACATGTTTAGTTTCTTTAACTTTTAAGAAAAAAAGTTATTTTATATTAAAAATTTTGAATTTTTCCCGCGGTATTTTGACAGTACACATTTGTGTAAACCTAAGCAATATATTAATCTGTTACAAAAGTTTTCGATTACTTTACTCACAAACAAACCGTATAGGTATCTACACTTGCTATCATGTACACGCGTATATATATTAAATGAAAATAATATTTCCTATATTTCAATATATTATATTCTACAATCCTTTCTTAGAAAATACTCTTTACTTCCAGTCTGTAGTTTTATATTACAAGTTAAGTATTTTATCTGTAAAATTAATCGTGTAACCTAAGCTTATGAATGAAAAAATACGTTCCATTTGTTCACATGTTTTTGTTTTTGTTGTTTTTTTACTTCATTTTGATGTCATTCAGGTGATTCTGCTTCAAATCTATCGCCTGTACGTCCTTCATCTGGAGACTGTGGAGAACTCAGGTTCCGTTTACAGAAAAGAAAGGAAACATAAATCAGATAGAAAAGATAGAAAGAAAGATAAGAAAAGGTAAAAGATAAGTTTGAATGAAACTAATATTCGGATATAGGTACTACGCGTGGTTTATTGTAACAAAAACTACATACTCCCGACGTTTGAGCTACTTTTCAGCAAGCGTTATCATGTAAAAATGCAGCACGCATAGTACATATATACGAAAAATATTAGTTTCATTTAAAAGAATAAAACTAGCGAAAATCTTAGATATCTTCTTCTTCCTGGCAATTTCCCAGCTTTAGCCAGGGTCTGCCTTACGTTGTGAATAGTTTTGGCTAATTGTTTTTACGACCGGCCGCCTGCCTGACATCAACCCTCTTTGGGAATAATGTCTTAGATCTCATTAAATGATAAATTGTAAGGGGTATACTTAAAATATTATGTAATTTATTTTCTATATAATTTATCTGTCTTCAATATGTTTGTCATATTCATTCTTAAACTTTACTTTACTTTACCTTTTTATATCTCAAAATGTATCTGGTAAATAAATAACATTATAATTTTAGCATATTATTATAGTAATACATTTTCTATCAGAGATCATAAAAAACACAGTGAACATAAGAATAAGAAGACTAAAAGACGGACCGAAAATGATGAAACTTCAATCGCGGTTATAAGCGACCCGAGGAAACAGGAGAGAGTGCAAGGAGGACAAATCAGGTGAAAAAGCACTTATTTTTCTTAATATAATCATCATCATCATCATCCTATCAGAGCCCACTGCTGAGCCTCTTCTCACATGGAGAAGGTTTGAGTATTAATCACGACGCTCGCTCAAGACGGGTTGGTGATTTCAAACTTATAATTTGTTAAGTCCATGTTTCCTCACGATGTTTTCCTTCATCTATCAGTGATGTCTAAATACTCTTATAAAGTACATATGACTCGGGAACATCACATTGGTACTTGCCAGGATCGAACCCGCGCCGTCATGCATGAGAGGCGAGCCTTTAACCACTAGGCTACTCCGACTTATATATTTTTTTAATATTTTGCATTAAAATAATTAAATTTTAACTTGCTATCAACTTAAAGACCACTTTTTATATTTGTAATTGTATATAAGTTTACTTAAAACAGCAAAATTTTGGTAAAATTTAAACATTCAATCCAATTCCAAACAGTTGACATAAAAAATATCATATTTTCGTAAAAAAACTTATGTTTTACGTAATCCTTAATTTTTAAGTCCTTTTCATCAAATTATAAAGCAAAATCAACAAAAATACAAAATATATAAAATCTTTTTATAATAAACTTCATATATACAGAATTATAATAGTTTTTAATATTTAAACTTGTTTTCGCTATTTTAATTCTCATCCAATTTAACCTCTGCGCCATTTTGTTTTAGTAATGACGTCATAGTTCACAGATAGTCAATATTAAGCCAACGGCAATAAACTGCCTTCATAGATTCACCCTTTACAGTTGCTTAGATAATTTCAAATATATATATTATATTTATTTACAAAAATAGAGTAAAAATAAATATTTTTGATTAAATTCATCCTCATTATTTATTATTTATTAAAACATAACACTAAATTCAAATTTAAATTATACTTTTCATTGTATTCTTACTATCAAGTGCTATATATATAAATATTATAATCGATTTATTTTTATCTATAAGTATTATATCGGTAACATTATGTCACATCACTATTCATCTTCCCCATCCCTTCATGACGTCACGAGCCATGACTTTGTTGGGGTCAAATCAAATAGAATCCAAGGCAAACTAATTTGTGATTGTACTATAGAACAATAAAAAAAAATACTACAGATACTTAATATGTTAAATCGTCTAATTAATCTATTATATTTATAAGTAATATTTAATATTTACAAAGAACAAAGTATATAGATTATATATCTATTATATATAAAAGAAAGTCGTGTTAGTTACACTATTTATAACTCTAACAGCTGTACTGGTTTGGATGAAGATTGGTGGAGAGATAGATTATAACATAGAAAGGACATAGGATATTTAATTCTGTTCGATCGACAAAGAAAAAATACTCAATAAATTCCAATATCTAGTTATTTACGGCCTCTAGGGCGGAATAGAGTTCGCCCTGTCAGCTATACATATATTACTTATTCCGAAATTTATAATGCGGACGAAGTCTCGTGCAAAAAGTACTTGCTAATATATTTATTGGAATTAAACTATCATAAGTTAATATTTATTATTATTATAAACTAAGACTGTGTATTTAAAACATGTAAAATAATAAATTATTGAACTAATTTAGAACCAGTGACCTCTAGAATATTTAGTTGAAGTTAATTTAAAGAATTAATCTATTTTCAAGATGTCTTCGTCTATGTTGATGTAATGTCAAAAACAAAATGTCAAACCTTTTTTGTACAGAAATAAAGTATAACATTGCCAATTTCATGTAATTACGATTTACATTTTTATTGTAAATCAAATAACCTTTTATTAATCAAAATAGCGGGAATTCCATTGAATTGAATTAGATTGTATGTTTGTGTTATAGAAATGTACAAAATAATTATTACGATTAAAAACAGAATAAAATCATTTTACAGAGCCATCATTCTTACGAATTCTGACGAAATAAAAGAACTGGAACTATCGAAGTTATTCAAAGATCAAGTGATGGTTGAAAATGAAAAGAAGAAAATGTGAGTAATACTTAAATGTTATAGCATTATCACTATATCACTACATATAAAAGAAAGTCGTGTTAGTTACACTATTTATAACTCTAACGAATGTACGGGTTTGGATGGAAATTGGTGGAGATATACATAGATTAGAATATAGAAAGGAACATAAGGACAAAATAATTTCCTCAATCTTATCTACTGTCTTTAAAGAGGAATACAGTTCGCCCGGTACATTTCTAACTCTGAAACTAACGCAGACAAAGGGGCGGGCAAAAACCAGTAATAAATAAAATGATCGTAAATCATAGTCATTAATTTTGTTATACATCTTAAAGGTCAAAACGCAAGCAAAAGCCGGCGTCCTCCGAAGAATCGCCGAACAAACACACAACAGACGATTCGGGGATTTGACATCACCGAGTGCGGGACAGCCCGCGTAGAGACAAGAGGAAGAAGAGACGCTCCGATAGCACTGATAGCTCGGAAAGTTCAAGTTGAATTAATATATAGAAACTTTTTGATCGACATTGGCTGAATATGATGTGTGTCTTGCACTCGTGAATCGCTATGCTGTCAAGCAATTGACAATTCGATATTTTGACGTCTGTGACTTTGACAAGTTCTGTCACTGTTAAGTATTTTTTCATATATTGACGTTTGTCATTTTGACAACTGTCATTGTTAAGTGATAAACGTCAAAATGTAATGGTAGAAAGTTTCGAGACCGACTAACGCCTGGATATATCTATCTCTTTCCTTCTTTAAGGTTGTAGATATGTCTGTCTCTCTCTCTCTTTGTTGACTACTTCAGAATCGACTGTTCATGATTTTCAAGTAAAAAACGTTTTATAAAGTTAAATATATAATAAAAATGTATTAAATTGTGGTATTATAAAATATGGTATTAATGTTGTATCCTTATAAATTATATTTTTAATAGCATCAATGTTGTTCTGTAGTTTTGATATTAAATTATTATGGTTGAAGATATGGTAGGTTGTGCTTTTGTTTTTAGTGCCTTAATTCAGGCAGGGTTAAAAATAAATTATAATGTAGAAGTAAAGAGAAATTTGTTATTTTATAATTATTAAATATATAGTTTAATTTAACTTGCGTAAGTATTAAGGTAAGCAATAACATATCAAGCTTTTTATATATTGTGGTATAAATCTCATATTATTTCTTATTTTTCAGACATTATGTATTTTAAATAGTTAATCTTTATGTTAGAGATTTGACAAAATTAAATTCTAAAAACTAGTTTAGTGCTTAGCTTCTTTTTTAATTTATTTTATCCAAAATCATTTTTCTTTGTCATTGCTATTTATAATCATTAGAAGTGATAAAATAATATGTATTAGATTTTTTAATAAAATTTCATTGTTGAATGTGTTTTTATTTTTAAAACGTATATAAAATCCAAATCAACCACAAAGGTTTTATATCTAAAACATAGACAATATTTTTCTAGCTATGGTTTTCTATAAATACAAAAATGGATGAATTATTTCGAAAATATGAAGATATTTAGTAAAAATAAAAACGTATTGTAATAATATAATAAATATTTATTAATATAACAATAAATTAATTCATTTTTAATTAAATTACTCTCTAGGAACGTCAGCACCGTATTTATAGTAGAAGTGACGCCAGAAGTATGCTCTGTCTGGTGTGAGAGGGGCCACGTATTGTGGTTCCAGGTTTATTTCCAGGTGGTAAGGATAAGGCAGCCATTCACCAGCTGTGGGGTCGGGGGTTGGTGATCTGGGGGTCATAACAACATATATAATATTAGTTATATATGAATAAGGCAGTATATAATATATATGTAATGTATTAATGTGGTTTTTAACTGCGATTTCCTCTGATTTCTTGGTTAAAGGAAATAAAACTCAAAACAGTACATATTAATGAACAAATATTTTTCGGATACTACATATTCAAACTACTACTACAACTAATTATAGTTTTTTTTTACAAAAATAGAGATTCGTGGTAAAATCCGAAAACTTAGTTTCATTTAAATAATAATTATTAATATTACTCACCCGTATTTGGCGAAGTTTGTCCACATCATGGTCATGAAAGTTACAATCCTGGCGTCATTTTCGTCCATTGGTAGAGGAAGTCTTTCCAGTTCAAACACATAGAATAATTCGTCTCTATTCGCTGTCGCTGGGAGACTGCTGTTAGTTAGCAGCCTTCCTAGATTTCTGTTGCCTATATAGCTGAATATACATTGGTAGATTGGCACACTGGTGTTTGAGTACATTTCAGCGAATAAAGATGATGGTCCTACGTATGAGAAATCTGTGTTTAAGTTTATAATGCCACCGACTAATGCTTCATCTGAAGTTATATTCGTGAAGTATGTTTCCGTGAGTGTATTCCTAAATTCCTCTCTCTCCTTTTTTGGTACTACAAGACTTCTTTGGTCCAACGCTGAGAAATCTTCGTTTTTGATCCTATCCATTTGACTAGTGATTGTGTAATAATCTAGAGTGCTTGTTAGTCCTTCTACCGTGTTTAGACTGATTATCATCGGTACAGGATTGAAAGATTTGTGCTCTTTACCTAATGCTAGCATATTGAATGGCGAATCTAATAAAAATGCTTCTTCATCATCAAAAATATCTTCAACTGATGGCAGGAAGACGGAACGTGAATTCATTTGCTTTGATATAGCTTCTTCGACCTCGTCTATCGGTGTGTCGGAGTATAGCTTCAATAATTCATCAGGCTCTTCGCTTATGAGGCCTAATGACTTGGCGACGTGACTCGCTGTCTTCAAAGGTCGAGGGTCGAATGATTGAGGCGCGAACGGCGTACCACTTTGTGAGATAACTCTATGGAAAAGTCCATTTGTGGTATCTGACATGGTCATATAAATCGCTGCCAAACCTCCACTGCCTTGACCAAAAAGTGTCACATTATCTGGGTTCCCATTGAAGTTTGCGATGTTATCCTGTAGCCAGCGCAACGCTGCTCTAATATCCTTTAAACCAGCATTTCCTGGAGCATCAGGGATTCCCAGATTGAGGAATCCGTACACATTGAGACGATAGTTCAATGTAACGACTATAACTCCATGGCTAATCAAGTATTGTGCGCCGTAGAAGCTTTTGGATCCTGAACCGATGCCGAAATCTCCTCCGTGGATGAAAACCATTACTGGGAAAGTGCTGTTGAGGAATGAAGGCACGTAGATGTTAAGAACGAGACAGTCTTCATTATCACTTGGAGCAGCTAGAGGGTCGTGTGTTGGGAATTGTGGGCAGAGGACATTCGGATTATTCGCCTGGTACACGCCAGAGAAACTCGGTGGTGGTGATGGAGCCTGGAATAAAATAGAATAGTTATATAACACTTTACTTTTGACATAAAACCTCTTATCCATGTATTCGCGGTGCGAGTGTCGGGTCCATCGTTGTAGTGAGAGGAGCTTCAACAGTGCCTGGGATTTGCGACCCAGGTGTAGGTTTAAGGGACCCTATCTAACGCGTTTAACGCTCACCTCCACCGTACAAGCTCCTCTCTCATAACTTACCCGAAATTTATTAGGCACTCCGTATCTTATTCCAAGATATTGGTAATACAGTCCGCTGGGATCCAAAGTTCCTTCCACTTTACCCTCAGTAGTAGTCACAATTTGAGTATTATTTAACGAAAGTACAACGCCGAAAATGGCGGTTAGAACTATCAATTCTTTGGTCGCCATACCTTTGAGTTTGACTTGGTACTACATACAATCGATATTTTGATCTTTTTTATATAACAAAATGATTCACAAAGTTTTCATTAACAGCTAATATTTTTGTGATAAATGATTTTGTTCCTTATACAGTTGGAAAAAGGCTGTTTAATCTACATTATAATTTATTTAACCGCAATGTAAAACGTGGTTTTAATTGTTTTGTAAATTCTGCTACGTGATTTTTTTCTATATAAGATAAATCTCGATTATCGAAAGGAAATTTTGTAATGTTATGTAACTGATAAGTTTAGAGATTCTTCATTGACTCATCTGTTGCCCCGACTTTGTTTATACTGTTTATGGATTTATTATAATTTATTTATTCAAGTTAATGACAGTTCAACTATTGTTTATTTCTTTAAAATACAATCTTAAATTTGTCTCTTATTCTTCCTAATAATATTTCTTGCCAAATTAGTGATGATTATTTTTTAAGTTTGTTTTAAAGTCTTGGGCCTTGTTTGTGTGTAAAGTTAAATCTAATAAATTAGAACTATAATAGTTCCCATAACAATTTAACTAGATAATCACTAAGATGTTTGGATTATAATTTATACAGGGTGACTGGTGAATTACTATCGATATTTGAGGACGTGATATTTGACGATCATATATGACAAAATAAAAATTAATATAACATAAATATTAATACACTTCTAAGTAAAGTTAACCAAAAGTTATGTAATTAATTACGCATCGTATGAACACCCTACAGATTAGGTATACACACACACACACACACATACGCGCGCGGAGGCGTGTTGTTGTATCAGCACGCCGCCGCACGCGTTCACACTTGGAACACTTGGAACGTGTCAACACTTTATTTATTTATACGGAAATTTGGACAAAAATTAAGTACCTATTTTTTTTACATAATTCGAATGAGAATCATGTACTGGGTATGCTCCTTAAATATTGATAGTAATTCACTAGTCACCCTGTATATTTTTAGTTACTTTCATGCAAAAGTAATTCTGTCTGTCTGTCTGTTACGTTTTCACGCCTAAGCCGCTGAACTGATTTTAATGGAATTTGGTACAGAGATAGAGTTGACCTCGAGAAAGAACATAGGATAGTTTTTATCACAGACTTTTTAAAGGTTCTCTTGGAAACGCGATATAACCGAACTCCACGCGGGCGAAGCTGCGGGCGGAAAGCTAGTAATTAAATAAACGTCTATTTCATCCAACAAACTCCTTCGTGTTTCCTCCACACAATACTCAAGTTTATAATTGAATCGGTCATTTCAAAAACCTCACAACTCACAAAATTAAAAGTTTTCAGAAATCAATAAAACTGTTTTATATACAAACAAATGAGTTTTGAAGAAATTTTTCATGTTTAATTTAGTATTTGAGTGATAAAAAACTAATGAAACGTATAATGTCTATAGTTTATTACCAGAAATCGAGAAAAAAAATCTGAATAACAGTTCTTGATTGATGTTGTTTTAGCGAAAAATAGATAAATGGTATATAATTTAACCAAAAAATTATTAATCCAATAAATAAAGATTTTAATTTTCCAAAATATTCCATGATTCCAGTGTGAATGAAGCCTAACTTAAAAAGTACAATCTGACTATATTATTATATTGTCTTGTCAACAGTAAAAAGTTTTGGGTTCCCTTAACAATGAATTATTGACTTAATCACGATAAATTCTTACAATTGATTATTATTATTTTCTAATTTATTTATTTATATATTCTTTATTGTACACCAATATAGACAAATAATAGGAGTAACATAAAGAAAAGAAAATGTACAACATGTTATTTTCTAATTTGAATTCATTCATTATTATTTTCTAATAACATTGAAATTAAGGCACTGTATAGGTTGATATCAATTAATATTAATCTTTATTCAAATAAACAAATAAATATGTTGTTGGCTAAGAGTACGTCATTGTGAATAAAAACGGGAACTATGTGGGGAAGAACCAAAAATCTGCCGGAAGACACTATTCCACGCGGACGAAGTCGCGGCAAAAGCTAGTGTTAGAATAAACTCGTCGCGATTGGCAGTCCGGATAATCGCGAATTCGGATAACCGAGGTCCGGATAATCGAGGTCCTACTGTATGTATTTTTCTTTAAAAATTGTGGTAAGAAAAAGAATCAAAAAGTCTTTTTGTAGAAAAAATAATCTCATTGATACATTTATAGAGGTTTGTTTAGAATTTGTTTGTTATGCCAAAATAATTTGTAGCTCGTGAAATTGGAATAACATAATTGGATTAAAAATTTATTTAAAGTATATTATAACACATTTTGTAAATTATTATATGAAGATCAAACATAAAATAAATATTGCTGACATAAAGGTGCTCACCATTTTAATATTAATTTAAGGTCTTTGTTTTAGTTTATAAGTCATTTTTTGTCTATTTGTAGTAAACTCATTAAATAAAAAGTGTGTAAAATTGGAATATTATGGTTCTGGAAATAAAGTGATTTATTATTATTATTATTTAAAAAAAAATAGTGGTTGTTTTTTGTTAATTATGTATTCTTGAATAGATAAATATAATAAATTTGTGTTCTTTTTTATAATAATTTAAGATAATATAAAATTAAAGTGATAAAACTTTCATTCAAATTTACGTTCCTAAATAATATATGCTTATAATTAAACGGTTTTTTAAATTTTATTTATAAAAACACTAAACACAGAAGTGAAAGTCCTCTGTAGTATATTTCGGAACGCAATACGTACAACTAAGTTTTTTGACGTTTCATATTTATTGGAAACAAATTTTCTAAATATTTAGATATTAAAATCATTTCACAGTTTTAAATTATCCGTTTAAATATTCCATTATTTTAAGATTCAAATCACAGTAATACAATATAACAGAATTCGTGTCGTTAAATTGGTTGCCTACGTGTATTCACAAAAATGCAATAAAATTAGGATAAACTGAAGATCAAGGCTCAGTTATGAATAAAAAACCTCAAAGAACTGGTCCAAGGATTCGGATAACGAGACCAGCTAACAGAATTAAGAAAGAGGAGTCCATACAGCTTCTAGATGAGAAGAAATACATATACACCTGTCAGTATTGTAGAGTAAAATTCACTCAAAATACTCAATATTTCCGCCATATGACGTCGAACCATCGGACACAACAGCAAGAAGCTACTTTCGAATGCAACGAATGCCAAATGGTGTTCAATAAGAAGAATAACTTGGATATACATTGCCAGACAAACCACCAAGTGAAAAGCAAATCTAAATGTGAAAGTTGTGCCATCACGTTCAAATCGCGATATTGTTTACGTAGACACATCAAGTTGAAGCAGATCCTCGCTGAGAACTCCTGCCTGAAGTGCCAGAAGAAGTTTATGTGTAAAGACGACCTCGCCAAACATGTGACGAACAAACACACATACAAGAACGTAACCTTTGAGTGTGAATACTGTCTTCTTAAATTCAAAGCGAAGCAGTCTCTACTCACGCATTTGAATCGTATACACAAGAGATTATGATTATATACTTAAAAAGCTCGCTAGTTTCATCGGAAATGTTTTACCGATCTTATGGTATTTTTCTTTAATTACATAGTACTGTCAATATTTGGATTAATGAATTTAAGAAATTTTAACAGTAGAATGCTTAAGTTATCTTTTAGTTGTAATTTAATTTCGAATGTTTAAAATATGAATACAATAGACTAAAGTGCCTGCAACTAAATGTACTTTTATATAAAATATATTAACGATTCTATCAGGGTACTTAAATGATTATTGTCTCATAATATCTTTGAATTTTATTTATTACAAATCAAAATCGATCCACAAATTCCCTAAAATTACCTCATATATGGAGGTTGTGCAAAATTACTTAAATGTATTTTTTTATTTATAAGTGAATCATGTAATATCCTTTTAAATTCTCTTATGTATTATTTAATGTTTAAAATAAATTATTTTTATTTTTTTTTTATTAAAATATCATTTATGTATGTACTTTTACATTTAAGACTATGAGTATTTTAAATTGTAGTTTTCATCACCGCACTTCAGAATAAATAAGTTATGAACATGTGAAATTTCATTTCAAGATTCTTTCTAATAAACTTAAACATGGCCGGCTTCAATTTGATGAATCTCAGGCAATATGTCACCTCTCATCACTCCATGTATTCACGGTGCGTGTGTCGTGTCCATCGTTGTAGTGAGAGGAGCTTCAACAGTGACTGTGACTTGTGACCCAGGTGTAGGTTTAAGGGGACCCTATCTAACGTTAAACACTCACCTCCACCCTCCAAGCTCCTTTCTCTACCTAACATAATTTATTATCATTGTATATATTCTTCTTCCTGGCAATTACCCAGCTTTAGCCAGGGTCTACCTTACATGTTGTGAATAATTTTGGTTAATTGTTTTTATGACCGGCCGCCTGCCTGACATCAACCCTCTTTGGGAATGTATTAATCATCATTGTATATATTACAATGTTCAAATAATTTTATTTACACAATTTAAGTAATTCTTATTTAATTAAAAATGAAAACAGCAGCATATTTTTCTCATGTATAAGTCGAAATTTTTCTCTTGTTATTTGTACTCAATATGAATAAAGTTGAAGTTGCTAGAAAAGGTTTGTAGTTTAAAAATAAATAACAAGTTACAATAGAAATTTAATATTTACAAGACAATATTCATTATAACAATTTCTTTTTAACTTAAATAATATTGTTTGAAATAAAGAAGATGTTTGAAATAAAGAAGATGACTCAAATATGTCAATCTTTATTGAGTATTGTAAATGTTGTGTCTATGTTTTTCCCGGATATGTCTCGAAACATGATCTGTTCTCTTAAATACTTGCTTGCACAACGGACATTCCGACGATTTATTTGAATGCTGTGTCTTAATGTGTCTCAACATGTGATCTCTACGTTTAAATGGCATCTTACAATGTTGACAATAATGCCATTCCGTTAATAGATGTGTGCTTCTATGTATTTCCAAATCATCTAAAGTATTGCACTGGTAATTGCATTCTCGGCAGTTGAAAATCTTCGGTTCTCCATAGTGATATAAATTTATATGTTTTTTAAGCGAATCCTTTCGTAAACAATTCTCTGAGCATATCGGGCATGTGTAGTAATTAACGTTTGAGTGTACGCTGAGTGTATGCCTCTTTAAATGGTCCCGTCGTTTAAAACTCACGTCGCAGACGTTACAAGTGAATTTTCTTGTACATAATTTCTTTATATTGTGTTCGTTGTAATCGGTTTCATTTATAAATGTGTTCTCGCATTGCTTGCAGTGCACTGTATTTGTATTTAAATCCGTATTCATATTTGGCAGTGTCATTTTAGTCCCATTAGTTATCACGCTATCCATTGTTTGAATTTAATTATTCTGAATGCATTTGGTTAGCTATTTATTTTGTATGTTACTATTAATTATTTAAACCAAGTCTTTTCTTTTATTGTCTATTGTGCCATACTCGGGATGTCAATTGTCAGTAGCATTTGAAAACAAGGACTTCATATTGACTTTGACCGAAATCAAAGTTCCGTTTCACGAAATAATTTTATTTTAATGAAAATTTTGTTATGAATAGATATATTCTTAAGTTGTAATATTATAGTTTAGTATAATTGTTTCGTGGCTTCTTTACGATCTAATATGGCTCCGAATTATTGAAATCAATATTAGGTAGGTGTATATTTGCTCATTTTTTTCATGCTATTCAAAATATTATAAGGTAAGAAATAATGAAACCTAAACATTTTTATTTACGTATTTCTTTATTTTACTTCTCATTCTATGTGAAACATGTTTCTGTTTGAGAAAAAGCTATTACTGTGAACTTAATTAGGTACATTACTTAAGGCAACTTTTTAGCGCTCTTTAGGCAAAGAAATTGTTACTATTGGGCTCCAGTAACAAAAGCGAGTTAGTTGTAAAATTGCATTAATCTAGCCCAATTACTAAAAAGTATACATTTTATTCATTATTTCCATATTTTTTACTATTTCTGTCGTCATTTTCTATAAAATCTCGACAAATCGTGAAATTTATTTTGGCTTTTAACCAGGTGTTGCCAGTTACATTACATACTATACAAATACACTACATACATAATTACATATTATATATATTATATATATCGGGTAAAAAAATAAAACAATCATATAAAGATTTAATATTGGACTAATATTTAGTAAAATACCATATTATAATCATAAAATTCATATAAAAATCCAAGTTTTTCAGTTTCCAAACAATATACTACAACTCGGCGGTCAAAAAACAGAAAAATCATGTTGATATTTCTTAACCCGCGTAAATAAAAACAAAATAAATAATAATAAAAGCGAGTACAACAAAAAAAAAGGCTGCAAACAAATAATGGCTACCAAATATCAACACGGGGCCAACCGCCGGGCAACTAACTCTATAGAAACAAACTAACTACGGTGTCAAATACAAATATATAAAAAGGTATTGCATCTCCACTTTAGACTTTAAATTATACAATAATAAAGCTCAGTATTCAACACTACAATACCGAAACGGCTCGCGCGTGACCCGCGAAGCTTACTAGCTATAGTTAAATACTATCAAATACTGAAAAAACAATTATACTAAATAAATCACTATAGGCTAAAAACTTTAACGCTATAATATTTCATATATAAAAAAAAAGATACAAAAAGTGGTGTAAAAAATAAATTAAGCGGCGATCGCTGGTTTTTTGGGACAAAAACTCGTCTTTTTGGTAAATTTGTCTTTGGTCAGACGCACGTCCAGTGTCTCCCATAGATATTCGTCACCACAAACCCCACCCAAACAACGCTACCATACAAAAAACTCGAGCAAGTTTCAAATTCATTTTAATATTTCCACAATATTCTAAAATTAATTGCACTTCAAATAAACGTGGGGGCGAATCGTTACAATAGAAAAGAAAAAAAAACATCAAACACTTGTTTACAAATACATTTCTATTAAATGGTAAAAACAATCGCTCGTTTCCCGCCCCTGGTCCGTCACGATCCAGTCTAGACTGAACCAGTCACAGTCTAGACTAGTCCTGTCTCAGTCTAGACTGGATCAGTCTCTGGACCGACGAGGCGGCCGTCTTCACTCGCACAGATAACATTAACTAGATAGGAGCAAAGTGATCGTGAAACGAACTAAACGTTTACAGTTATAGATTAAAAAAAACAGTTTTTATACACTAATCATTCAGGCGGCCGGCCGTGTGACGAGCGTAAAGCACCACTCGGGCCGCCGGCAGCCCTGCCGGCAGAGCAGCCAGAGACGCATCGTCACACGGCGGGCACTCAACAAAATTGATTGTAGGTACATACAACAACACGAAATAACCACCTATAAAAATATATAAATCTAATTTGAAATGATAACAGACAGATACAGATAAAGACAGACAGACAGACAGACGGGTCGCATCCGATACACACTATATAATAAAAAAATATCCTCCCGCCGTACCGTTATACAAAAATATCCAATAATAAAAAAGTGCCCAGAGAATTACAAAAAGCAATATTGTCCGGAAGTAATGTCGCACTATACTATAACTATATATTACTATTACTTCAATTCATCTACACTTTTGCTATATTTAAATTTATGTTATTATAATTTCACTAAAATTTCTAGTCGAGAAAATTTACAAGCCCTCATAGACGGGCGGCGCCGCGCCGGCCCTGCGACCGTCGTGCCACCAAACAAACGCACCGAACTACTAGATGTAGGACAAAAATAAAACAGACCGGGGACAAAACGGTCACAGGTCGGGCGCGGCGCAGAAAATTTGTCTAGCGTCAGTCCGCCGCCGACGATTCAATAAAAATATAGCGGATTTAAAATCTCTAAACAATATCATTACTATATATGCATGCAAGTGCCAAAAAATTTTCCACCCAAACGAGGGACAAGATCCAACGCACGGCAAAACGGTCCTCCAAAAACAAACACACAACGTGCCCCCCGCAGTGATGTGATATGCAAAATTACCATCTAAAACACAAGGGAGAAAAAAATAAACGACTCAATCTACAACAAACATGGCCGCCCGGCCGTAAACAAAACGAGCAAAACGAGCCTCCAACAAACAGTTGGACGGCCTCCTACAAACTAGAGAACAGAAATAAAAAGACGCCCCACCGGAAACTAAACAAAACACGCAAACGTCGTAAAACTAAACAAGTACAAAACTGGCGGAGCGGAGCCCACCAAACAAACAAGCGCGCCCAAAAACGCTAATCTAAAACACCAAACTACCTCCGTCCCAATCGGTAAACGACCAAATCAATTCAGACAAACTCCTCCGGCAGCTCTGCCAGAGAGTAATCTCTGGCAGGGCTGCCGGCAGGTCTGCCGCTAGAGCCCACCATCCAAGTCCAGCCTCAAGGTACAGTGCAAGCTAACATGGACCGCATATCCCAAACAACTCGGTTATTTTTAAACACCAATAGCGTCCCGCCGCGGACCGGAAGCTAATCACTCTGCAGACCGATGACGTCATTTCCCCTTTTAGTCCCGCCCCGATAATCTCTCTCTCTCTCTCTTTCCCTCCCCTCCACAATCCTCCATCGGTCCACAAGGCGAGCCGGTCCGCTCGGGTCAAAGTAAAAAATCACGTCCGAATTCCACGACAATAGTTTTTTATAAAAATACAAAAATACAAAACGGGACAACCTCGAACACTAGGGGGCATCAAACGAGTTCTAAACGTTCAGTTGAGCAACAAAACAGACACACAAACACGACAATGTATATACATATACAGAGTATAGGATTTTTGGGGAAATTTTACACCATTCCAGGGACAACCGTCGCTTGTACAGTGGCAACACCGTCCAAATCAACGGAGACTCAAACCGCCACCCATTTGGGGGCGCTCAAACGATAATCAAAACCAATGTGGACAAACGTGTACTACTTTATAGAGGAGAAACTGCTATCTAAACTATCCATCTAGCGCACTCGTGTGCATATATCTAAGGAAAAATATACATATTATATATAATATATATGTATTATATAATTCATCTACTCGGGAACGTCCGAAAGTGTGGCAAAGAATCTATATACCTATATTTGTCTACTTAACGCTTAACCGCTCTCAAACCGTTGGGTAATGAAATGCAGAAACTCTGGGTGGGAAACGGATATTGGGCTGTTGGCAACATTCACCCCGAGTTAGAAAGAGACAGCAACATACAGTGTGACAGAGATGGCAATAGTCAAACTGTCACCTACCCTCAATGTTGCACAAACCCATAGATAGCAACAGTATTGATATCATACAGTGTGACAGAGATAGATATAGTCCAAGTAAAACTGTCACCTACTAATGTTGTGAACCCACCCAATGTTAATTTGATAAAAATTACGACCAAAACATGAAACACACAGTTTGATGAGAATTTTTAATGTTCTTTATACATCCAAAACACTTTAAACCACACGGGAGGGGTCTTGTCTCGGAAAGGCACTTGCCAACACCGAAAACGCTATACGGAAAAAACGCCTACAAAAAACACGAAAAAACCATCAAAAAGTTACGCGCTAGCACAGTCTGTCCGTGGTCGTGTGGATACATGAAGCATCCGTTAAGTACACTCCCGAGCATAAACTATACACCCGAGAAGGGTCAGCCTAGCTTGGACGATATGACCAAAAATACACAAAAAATCATAGTGACATTAGATGTAATGCATGGTCAATTTAGGTCACGTTCCGTCAAGCCGAGCTCCCCCCACCAAACAAGCCGAGTCAACCGAGACATACACCCACGTCTAACTACCCATCTATTGCACTACCCCGGCGGTCTCAATAATAATAATAATAATATATAAATATATATTTACGCTAAGTAACTCTACAGCCAGAACTGGTAACGTTTGTACTCAACTACCTCCCGCTCCCGGTTGCTAGGAACAAAACCGAAACAACCAAACCGCCTCAAACAAACCAAAAAACAAACGGGGGATATACATATAGGAAATTCACGCTAGCTAACAGGTACAATAACGAGAAATGTGATCCACTTACGTCTTAATATAATCTTACGCTGGGAACAACTAAATGTTTCTGCCGAATACACATTACATTCGCTTATAACGACAACTCCCTTGGCCCCGCCCTCGGCCGCGGGGTCAACGTACTTGTACTTCAACTCTATACATTCTTCTTATCATTAACGTAAGGTAACGCCCCCTTCCCCCCCCTTTCTTCCCTCCACTCGTCGACTAACACCAGCGGAAGGGCACGGCCCTTGGTCGGTCGGCGCCCTCCTTGACTAACGGCTTGTGAAACTCCCGCCCGGGGCGAGAGTGTATGGTCGCCCAGCAGTGCTCGCAGTAATACTGAGAAATAATGATATGTACATTAGAAACAAATATATATACTCTTTATTGCACTGTAAAAATTTACATAGTTATTTTACATACAGAATTATTGTTCACAATGGCGGGTTTATTTCCAAAAGAAATTTCTTCCAGCCAACCCACAGCTGTAAGAGTTAGTGTGTACAGCAGGAAATAATTGTGCAATATGAGATGCTCTTAATAATATAATATAAAAAAACAATTTTAATATAATACATACTATAACACTTACATAGATATCCATGAAATAATACTATAATAATAAATACATATATACTTATACTACATCTAAATACATAAATATTATATATATATACAACAGTGAAAAAAAATATATATTAGTTAATTTCACAAATTCATAATAATTGTGACAGAAAGTGCTCTTTTAGTCTTTTTTTAAAGAGGTTAATGTTAGGACTCTTTTGTATGGTTTTTGGGAGATTGTTCCAGAGGTTCGCTGCACATTCAGAAAAAGAGTTATGCAGAAATTTTGTATTACTTCTGGGCACTTCTAACTCTGAAGTAATACAGGAACGTCTGGAACGTGTTGGAGGCGGGAGAAGGTCGAAAGGGGAGCGAAGGTAAGAAGGAGAATTTGGATAATTAAGAATATTAAAAAGGACCGCAAGGTATATATATCTCCATGTCACAATGTTTCCCAAACGGCTTTAGCAATTTTTACCAAATTTTATACACATATTCAGTAGGTCTGAGAATCAGTTTTCATACCTCTAAGTGCTAAGGGTTGTTCACCCTTAAATTTTTTGCCGACATTCTTTTGTAATGTGACATTAAAAATATATACAATCCTAAATTTTCACTATTTTTATAGGGCTAGACAAACATTTAATTTCTAATCTATGTTAATTTACCTGGAGACAAGTCACATTAGCGCAAAAGAACGGTGCAAACTTAGAGCCGCACCGCGCGCCCGCACATTCGTCACACATCTGATCGTCCAACACGTACGGCTTCACCTAGAATATACAAAAAGACAAATATTAGAGACAAAACTGTTAAAAATACTCTATGATCAAGTTTCTAGTCAAAGACAATAATAAAAATTTCGTCTAAATATTATATCTTTAAATGAGCAATTCTTGTATATATATAATTGAAATCTCGGAATCGGCTCCAACGATTTTTATAAAATTTAGTATATAGCGGGTTTCATTTTTAGAAAATGTCATTTTATAAAATGAAAAGGAGTCGTTTAAAAAATGACTTGTCCTGACATCTATTGCCGAATAGTAATACTTGTTGCTAATTGCTTTTACTAATTGCTTAAACGACACAACAGCAGATGGCGTTGTTAAGTACCAGGAAGTCAATGAGTGTTTGTTTTGACGTTAAACTAAGAAATTAATTATTGATTCATATTGTTTTGTGTCTTAACGTGTTCACTTAAAATGCCTGAACGGAAAAAAACACAAAAATAATTGCTAAATACCGAGCAAAGCTCAGTAACCAAAGGTTAGGTATATTGACGATCATAAACTACATACAAACTGGGTGACATTTTGGAGAAATCTCAATATATATGAATTATTTTCTTACATTTGACATATAAACTATATAATTTTACCAAATTAATGTAGTAAATATCAAAAGATCCAATTAGATCGAATTAGATCCATGTTTCAACAAACCTCCACTCTCTTGTCAATGTCTCCGTGTTGTAGCTGCACGAACCGGGCAGAGATGGCCGCTATATAAGACTGCTGGTTGGAGAACGCCACGCGACCAGCACCCTGTACATAATACATACACTAATAATTCTTCTGTGAGTGTGAATGTTTGTTACTTCTTCACGCTCAAACGGCTGAACCGATTTTAATATATTTTTGTATCCAGGAAGCTGACGTCCAGGAATAACACATAGGCTACTTTACATCCCGGAAATCCGCGGAAAACCGCGGGGCGCAGCTAGTATATAATAATTATTAAACTATCAATCCTCAAGCCACGTATATAAGGAGCGCCATTACTGACAATCGGACACATTTTGTTCTCAACTATTATCAAGAGAAGAAACTCTGAATTTATATCTTTAATATTAATAAATCAACCATTGGCTGGCGAACGTCTTTACAAAAAACTAAGTATTTTCTTTATAATATACATATACACTTGGAAATTCTTTGCAATAGATATTTTTTGTTCGACAATTTTAGTAATTGAAATGAAACTAATATTTTTTAGATACACTATCATTGCTGATAAATGACCAAAACGTCTAGAGTATGTAGTTTTTTACAAAAACAAAGCATGCATAGTTATATATGAAGAATATTAGTATGATTTATTTTAGTCTAAGGTACAATGTATCTACTACCTTGGGGTACTTTAGTTCGGGGTCCGTGTCGATCCCAGCGTAACAGACCCCGCCGTACAGCCGATCCATAATCATCGCGAGCTCCACTGGAATATTAAATATTCATCATCAACAAACATCCCTACTAATATAATAAATGCGAAAGTAACTCTGTCTGTCTGTCTGTAACGCTTTCACGCCTAAACCACTGAACTAGTTTTAATGAAAATTGGTACAGACAGAGTTGATCTTGAGAAAGAACATAGGATAGTTTTTATCCGAGACTTTTGAAAGGTTCTCTTGGAAACGCGATATAACCGAACTCCACGCAGGCGAAGCTGCGGGCGGGAAGCTAGTATACAATATATAATTAATAGTAAACTATTATACTCTCATTTCATCTAGTTTCCTAGCATCACAGTTACCGAAGAATTTTTTTTTGCAAAAATCCTAATTATATGGAAACTTTAAATCCAAATAAAAATAATAAATCTAACTTTTTTGTTTAAGGAAGATTGGCGGAAACAAAAGTTACAAAAACACGTTTCCATAGAAATATCAAAAACAACGTTAATTTATTTCTTCTTCTACCTGGCAATTTCCCAGCTTTAGGCAGGGTCTGCCTTGTAATTTTTTTAAGTATGATAAATCGCAAGGAAACAATTTCTTGTTTCTCTAGTGTGTAAAATTTAAACCAAAGAATGTTGACCATTGATCAGGAATGTTAAGTGAATTATGTAAATACAGTTCCAGAATTTTACATCATACATTGTACAAGATTTGTCAGACCCTGGCTAAAGCTGGGAAATTGGCAGGAAGAAGAAGATTGTATAAGCTTACATCTTACATTTTAGATAATTAGATTTTAAATAAATTACATAATTTAAAGTAATCTTTACTTTTACTTTCGACCTTCCGTCTTTAGCTAACGTAATTCAAAATCTAAATAGCAATCAATTGATCCTCCAACTTTGTTTGGCATTTGTAGAGGAAAAAAGCTTGATATTTTACAAATAAAGCATTTTTTGAATCTTTTTTTCGACATAAGATTATTTAGGGATATGGAGAAGAGAAAAATACTTGTTTCCTACAAAAATACATCGCAATTCTTGACCCTAAACTTGTCACAAACAGCTCTTTTTTAGACACAAAGAATAATTAGGTATTTGGAGAAGAGAAAAATGCTTGTTCCCTACATATATCTATAGTAACTTGCCACAAATAACTCACCAGCCTTCAGTGGTCGCGGAACTCCGCCCACGAACACAGTCTTGCGCGGATCTAGCGGCATGCTCGCGTCCAACACGAAGTCCGCATCCGCCAGCCGCCAGGGGCGGATCTGGACCGGCTTGTCGCGGATTGTGGGCGACGACACGCACAGATATAGCTTATCATCATCGGTGATGCAAGCCTCCATTAGAGCGGCCACCGAACTCTCATCCTGATATACGTACATACAAACCTCATCAACTTGACGTTTGAACTTAGCTCTACCTACTGTCTTTGGTGATTGTATATACATTGGCATACATTATTCTATCAAATTTATTTCTTTTCATACTCTAATATAACTATTTAGAAATAAAAAATTTGATCTATCTATCTATCTCTCAATCTAATTGGGCACTGATTAAATACTAAAAATATCGTAAGCATTTTGACGGAACGAAGTTTAACAGAATATAGTCTTCGGTCTATCAAAATGGCGTCAATAGAAAACAAAGTTCGGTTGGTTTGGTTTTCATTTGAATGATATACTTATCATTCACTACCTTGCCCTAATATTGTGACTACAAGAAAAAGAAAAATGATTTAACTTTTTAACATTGAGTTACATTGTATACCTATAACGAGACCAAAAATATTTGCGAGTATTGTCACGACTTGTATACCCTAAATTTATTCTGAAACCAAACAGCTTTATAATCAACAGCATTTCTAGGCCATTCTCGCCCTAGTTTCATTCCTTCCCTTCTAGGAATATTCTCCCAAGTAACCCACCAATCCAATCTCACCTGAAACAGTAGGAATGCATATCCCTTGGGCGGAAAGTAGCTCTTGCTCTCAGCCTTGTGAGGCCAGTCAACTACCAGTGGACCAAAGCGGCGGAACGACGATGTTATCTCATCTGCAAAGTGAAAATATATTCCTATAGCTTGGAAAAATCGTTGGAACAGACCAAGAAGAGAAAATTTACGCGTTTTGATGGTCCCTATAGTTTAAAACTCATTTTTTACTGCTTGCAAACAGCGATAATAATTATTGTAACATCACTCAAGTCTTTACTGCAACTCAGTCAAAGTAGAGCACATCGCAAACAATAAAAGTCCGGCAGCTATCAAAGTGACTTCACGATATTGACGTAAAGCAACAATTTTCCCATAAACTAGAAATGAACATAGAAATTCTCTTTTGGGACAAAAAACTATTAACTTTTTAAATTAGGCTTTTTGAATACATCTTTCTGTTTCTATTCCTTATTAATTTTGGAAGTTCGTTTCGCCAAAAATACGTCCAAATTCTTGTAAGGACAATGTACAGCATTTTGATGGCATCAAAAGCCTTTTGCGGCGAGTCTAAAAATATCGCGGCAAACGTATATGGATTATAAAATGTCTGTGGCACCTAACGAACTGGGTCGCAACGTATTGTTGGGTGACCTACATGGCCTATTGACTGGACTGGGGGTTTACAATATCTAGACTGATGCTCGCACAGCCTTTCATACCATTGTTTAGCTTGTCATGTACCTATATATATTTATATTTCTTGCACATTGATGCGAAATGAGTTTTATGTAAAAAAAGCTATAAATTGAATTGCAATACAATTTCAATAGATGGTTACACCATGATTTTTAAATAAATATTTTATCATCTTTTAGTTATTTTAATTGTCTTGGTATTTTTTAGTAATAAATTATATAGGTCATCAAAATAAATGAGATTAATAAAATAATAATTGTTAAGCAGTCAGTTTGTTAGAGTTTTTATATAAAGAGATTCCTTTCAGAACCATGATCTTGGACTGTGGAATAAAATATTCTTAAACATGTGAAATATTTTAAATAATGTGATGTATTGCAAATAAAAGGTTTAAAAATTTATTAGATCCAAATTTATCAGGAAAGTTTAAATGAAATTAATGTAAAAATCTCATACAAAGACCAAATCAGTATTTCATCATCTTCATTTCGATATCTGCTGAATTAGAAGCTATATAAAATTATATGCAATACATTCTGGATATTTTTTGGGAGCTGCCAAAACTAGGCCATTCATATTAGCCTATTACAGGACAAAATATCCTCATATCGATATCTGCTGAATTAAAACTAAACAAAATTATATGCCAATAAATTCTGCATATTTTTTGTGCGCTGCCAAAACTAGGTCATTCATATAAGGTTAGTTCGTCTAGTTATCACACAGTAGAGTCACCTCACCTTCATCAATGTCCGGGGGCAGTCCCCCAACGAACACCTTCCTACTGAACCTCTCCCCGTGCTCCGAGCCCGCAGACACCGGCGAAGAACGGGCCGGCGAGCCCAGCGCCGACACACACATCGATAGACCTACACACAATACGTAGATGATATTATAATATACTATACTAGAAGACTCGGCGAATTTTGTATCGCCCTATAATCAAGAAATATCTGTTACGTTTTTTTATTTATATTTTTGGAGATTACCTATTAAAGCCATAAATCAACGTGTTTTGAAGTGCGACAGAATGATTGACATATTAGTTAGCTGTCAAATCTAATGTCAAAAGAAAAGTTTGTATCAACAACTACTAATAAATTAAAAATTAATTAAAAAAACATTGTCCAGTGGACAAAATTGTGAATCTAAACCATTCCCAGATCCCCTTAAACACACAAAAAATTTCATCAAAATCGGTCCAGTCGTTTGAGAGAAGTTCAGTGACATACACACTCACAGAAGAATTATTATATATAAAGATAAAAAATAATGTTAGTTACACTATTTATAATTCAAGAACGGCTGTACGGGTTTGGATGAAGATTGGTGGAGAAATAGATTAGAACAATGAAAGGACATAGCATATTTAATTCTGTTCGATCGAAAGAACTTAATAAATTCCAATATCTGATTATTTATGACCTCTAAGACGGAATAGAGTTCGCCCGGTCAGCTAGCTATACATACATATATTACTTAATTCGAAATTAACGCCGACGATGTCGCGGTCACAAACTAGTGTATTATAAGAAATAGCTTTAGGAAATTTGAGATTCCTTCTAAAGTTAGATTTTTAGGAAACGCAAAACTATTAGACTTATAACATAAATCCATCCATCCATAAATGAATTCTGAAGACCTTTTAATCTCCTATGGTCTAGTCTAATGTACTTGTTCTTTACTCGAACTCTGAAAATATTCATTATAAGTGAAAACTTTGTCCATTGATCTGCAACTTTTACAAGCACAAAGTTGTGTTTACCACTTAACGCCTGCATTCAATTATCTATATGACAAATATAAATTCTATATAGAGAAACTAGAGCATTATTCAATTTAATCTTCTGCCAACATTTCGATCTAATACAGGTAACCCAGTAGTAAGGTAGCCGTTAAAACTTCGTTTACTACAGGTAGCCTATACTTCTATGCTAGCGTGTAATACGTAGTAACTTCCAGTATCTAGTTTCAACTCACCGGCAGCGCTGAGCCTCGAGACCACGTCTTGCGCCTGATCAGCCGGCCCCGAAGGCGAGCCGGCCGCCGCGCTGGCAACACCCGCCTCCTCCACCCCGGGAAAAAAGGGGGACTTGCCTGGAAAATACATACACTTTACATACAGCAGATATACCTACTGAAAAAATGTTTATTAACAAAAAAACAACATTATACAAAGAAATGTCCAGTGGTGTGCCCAATTGATAGTTTTACAGTACTTGTTTATTGTTATTGCTCGACTTAGAATATAAATTACATAATCGTTTAAGATACATTGCATAATTTAAATAGAATTAACTTACAAGTGGTCTTATGAATAGGTTACTATACTAAATGCAATAAAAGTTTTTAGGTGGTATTATAGGTCGATGAGGAGAGCCAAGAAATAATTTTTGTTTTGGCTTGGTTCTTAAAACTGACTTGGTTCTTAAAACATTCGTAGAGCCACACTTAAGTAATTTGTCAGAAAATCCTTGAAGTCAAAATTTTCTATTCTATAGTAAATAATTCATAGTTGATAATTGTGTAGAAGTGTAAAGACGCATACATTACCATGGTTCAAAATAAACAATTAGCATGCAAATTGCACTAAATAGTGAATGCTCTGGCCTTGAAAATGCAAAAAATATCACAATTCATGTATACCTAAACGTGAGTATTGACCAAGTTTCTGACAATTCAAATATGGGTCAAAAATTTTAAAACAAATGTTTTTGTATGATTATTATAGTGTAATATGGTTTCTATAAGCTGATAAGACAACTCGTAGGTTTTCCAACCAGATCGATCCCGCCACCTGGTCGGATTAAGCAAATTGGATTCCAACCATCTTGAGATGCGACGAGATGCACCAGCGATCTGGCATTCCGTTGCAAACAATCTATTTATGTCTCAAAATTAAGTGCCATTCAAATGTCATGATGGCATTTCAAATGACACAAAATATAGCCCATACCATTGGAATATTTGGTTTGGTGCAAGTTTTCTGACCTCAATAAGAAAATTTTAGTGGATTGTATTCCTGTAAAGTTTTTATTATTTATGTGAAGTTTAATTGTAAATATATTTAAGGTAATAGCAATATCTAAATAGGAATTAGATTCCTGTATATAAGCATAGGTATAAGGAATAATATAGGCATCAACGTAGAGAAAAGAAGGCATGAAAATCAACACATATGTATATGTATATATTAATATCTTTATCTACTCTAGCATATGATAATTTTGATCCCGATTACAATTATAACGTAAAAACATTAATCCTAAAAGTCAAGACCAGAAATGCAGTAATATTGGACCAACATATGCAATTTTTTTCGCTCTCCCAACGTTTTAATCAATTCCAAGTTAAAATCATTGCCATTTTTTTTGGGTTCAAGCAAATTTCTGTGCCGGTACGTCTCCTATCAATGTAGACGCCTCACGTCTCGCTGGTTCGACTCTAAAGTGTCCTGTTTACTACATTCAATGTGTAGCTCGCTGTGTGCTATTTAAATTACAGTTTGGCGCACGTCCAAAGAGACGTCGACTTTTAAAAATTGATACGCATCTTAGGTTATTGTATAGGCCAAACTTCCTCACTTGGATATAATGATACAATATATTATATCTTCTTCTTCCTGGCAATTTCCCAGCTTTAGCCAGAGTCTGCCTTACATGTTGTGAATAGCTTTGGCTAATTGTTTTTTTACCTGACATTAACCCTCTTTGGGAAAAATCAATATATTCTTTAAGTTATATACAAACAAAATTTAATTGCGTATATTATTCTCAATCTTAGAGACGAAGCTGAGGAATTAAACTAGTATTGTATAGTTTAAATTGAACTTAAATGTACCAAGTAAAAAGTTAATGAATATTTTGTAAATTTGTCTAAAACGAAATTGACATATCCATTGACAAAATTTTAAATGATATGTTAGAGATTTCAAAACATGGGTCATTTTCATTATGTTGGAACCTATAATATGTATATACTCGTATACAATATCATCAACTACAGTGATCTCTAATAGATAAGTATTCTAATAATATAAACTGCACTTTAGATGTATATACGACATAGTACACAATACAAAGTTTCCTAAAAAATATATATTTAAGCTGTACTTTTGGCAATTCATTTGTCGATGAAAAAAGAAACATAGTTATAGATTAAAACTTATCATAAGGCTAGAAATGAAAAATACATCTAACTATATATATACTTTGTATTTTAAATAAATCTTTATATATATACACAAGAGAAATTTTGTCTCAATCATCATACTCTGACAAAATTTCGGCACAATCATACTCTAAAAATTTTCATACATTTCTTCACCTACATTTTGAAACAAAATGAATTTTATTCATTTTTAAATACGGCAAAACGTCCATTGATCTAATACAAATATAGCGAACGAAGCCAGGGGCAGATGCATAGTATATTTCAGCCAGACGAGAGTTAAATTAACCCTTCAGAGGGTGAAAGTCTTATGAAAAAATATTAGTCTACAGACCCAAGTGACGAGGACATTCAGATTTTGTCTCAATCCCTCAAGATGTAGGCAAAACTAGTGTTTCAACGCGGCGTTGCTTGAGAGGGAAATTAAACTACCCTTTATAATATATGTTATGGAAATATGTCAAAAGAAAGTCGTGTTAGTTACACTATTTATAACTCTAACGACTGTACGGGTTTGGATGAAGATTGGTGGAGAGATAGATTAGAACATAGAAAGGACATAGGATACTTTACATACGATTGAAAAATAGAAGGTGATCAAATACAAAATCTTATCTACTGTATTTAAGGAACAGAGTTCGTCCGGTCTATACATTACTAATTATGAAACTAACGTAGACGAAGTCGCGTGCAATAACTAGTAATATGTATTATGGTGCAAATTTTAAAATTGTGTTTTCAGTTATATATATGTAGATATAATAATAATCTAGTGAGATCTAATACTTTCGCGAGTCTTCCTTTTAATGAAACTAATATTATTCCGATTACTACATATGTACTCGTATTTTATTATTTTAAAAATGACGGTTGCGGTAAACGAAATGTCGGGAGTATGTAGTTTAAAATACATAATAAAATTAGCGTCGTGATACGAAATTATTAGTTTAATTTAAATGAATACTTCAATCTTAGATCTCATTACAACAACTTGTTTTATGCCACTCATATAATATATAAAAAATAATCAATTACTCTGTATATATATAAAATAAACGAATTTTTACTATATATGTATATATATGTAATTTGGATATATTTTCCTTTCACATTGAGTAAAGATATTTCCATCCAGACTTGCTTACAATCGTTTTATGCGGGCAGAGTCGCGTGACTATTTAGAGTCTTTCGACCCCCCGGTCTAAGGTCAAATGTCAAAGAGTTCGTTTGGTCTACAAGTGCACAATTACAGGCAAATTTGTATATTTTAGGTTGATTTTACAAATGAAATATATTATCCATACGGTTGGACGCGTTGTTGTTTAAAAGTGTATACAATGAGGGGTCAATTTCGATGGTTCTGATTTCACGAGGGTTCATTAACCCTAAACTAGCTGGCCACGCAACTATTTTATCGTAATTTTAATTTTTTTTCATGTTAATATATAAATATTATAAAATATTGCGTATATTAATAAAGCTTTCATATGATTTCGATTGCAAAGGAGAGTAAAAATTTTGTTGGGAAATATGAAAAAATATAGATTTTTTTCTACGAAAAATGCTTAAAATATTTGATAAAACAAAAGTCTGGCGAATTATTATAATGTATTATTAAACTTACTCTTTCTATACGGGAATCTTGGTCCTCTTATGAAGGGCGTGATCAGGGGAATGGTGTGCACCGACATATTAATATATATTTGAACACAATTTACGTAAATACACCAACAAAAAAACACAAAACAAGCGCGCACACCGACAGACTTCCCCCGAATGGAAAAAAAATGCGATCGCGTTCCAGAAACGAAAAAAAAATGTTTTCTTCATTCAGCCAGTGTTGGAGTTTTATTGGGACTATTTGCTTGAAACTTTTTTGTTATATTACATTATTTTTAATAAATACTAGTTTTTGCCCGCGACTTCGTCCGCGTTAATTTCGTCATTAGTAATATAGGTATAGCTGACCGGGCAAACTATATTCCGTCTTCAATAACCCGGTATTGGTATTTATTAAATTTCTACTGTTTCAATCGAACAGAATGATTGACATATTAGTTAGTTGTCAAGTCTAATGTCAAAAAATCGTTTGTACGGGAAATAGAAAAGGGCTGTTTTTAGGGTTTTCTCGGCAATTATTTCAATTTTTCTCACCTTTTAAACCTTCCCTGGACTTCCAGGAGTATTTCAAGACTAAAATTAGCCAAATCGGTTCAGCCGTTCTCGAGTTTTAGCGAGACTAAGGAACAGCAATCCATTTTTATATCTATAGATAATGCTTAAATATTAATAATTAAATAGTAACTATTAATTTTTAATTCAAACTCCTTGCTCTGTAAAAGTTTTTGGTCAACGCTTCCTGTATCGCGCTCAAAAATAGCCATTGTCTCCAAACGATAGTTTTATTTATGTCTACACATTTTTTTCATTTCTCTCAACACGGCTGAAGTTATTTTAAAGACGTAAAAGTTTTAAATGTATTAATTATTATATTAAAATTTAGTAAACAAGTATTGTCACCGGTTTTGCTTGTTAATAGTTACTTATTTAGTAAGTGAATAAATAGAAATCAAATAAATTGAATAGTTTTGGAGTTACTCAGTAACATACATATATGTATACTAATAAATATTATTAAAAATTATATTTAAATGATTAAAAACATTTTATTTCCTAAATAGAGATATGAATATTTAATTTTTTTGTTTTATACATTCTTATAGTATTAAAAAGTAATTTTCTTGTATATATTAGTCATTATAATTACATTTACTATCTGTCAAACAAAGTTCCAGAGATTAGTCAGAACAAAAGGACACACAAATATAGTAAAAGACTTGTTTTATTTACCGTTTATAAACATTTTAAGAATACCGAACTGGATTTGATAAATATTTTCAATTATGTAGCAACTCGTAAAACTTCAG